ATTCAGATTTTGTTGGGTACAGGGTATTCATGGTCAAGTACCGTATTGATGTTTTATACACTTTTCTGGATTTCGAGTTATTTTGCAATTCATCGTTCTCATTTGGAGTCAAACGGACTGTTTTTGTAGTAGCGTAAAAGTCCATCTTTCTGTTCACGTATTATGTATGTTTTCAAATTGTACAAGTAATAATTCCTCACCAAATAGTTATAGAAATATACTGCAGTTACATGTAGTTATCACTCTTCAGGGACGCTTTACGTTGATGTATATTTATCAAACACTAAAACACTATATTTCAGATTGAAGCAATTTTCCAGATCGTCTCCCAGGGAAGGCTTCTAAAAGACGAATGTGAAGCAAGTGGTCACTGATAGGCTAGATACATTAACAAGGATCACATTTATATGAATATGAATAAAGCGACAAACCCCTTTCCAAATCCAATAGAAATCTCTGCATAAGGCAGAGTCGATTGTACAATTCCGACTTTATCATGAGCATGTGTTTATGAATCACTATCAAATAGTAGAGATACCAGGGACCACTTGCACAAAGCGATCTTAGCGTTTAGACGATCGTAACTCCCATACTTTAACATAGGCTTACAATAGTCGTAGCGCTAAGATCGCTTTGTGAAAGTGGGCCCTTGTGTTCGCGAAGAAAATCGAAAGCGCTGTTTCAATGACCCAACGTAGCTGAAACAGGTAGATACAATAATACTTCCAGAGACCAGAGGTTGTGTGAGACATGTAACATGCGCTACGTGGAGGGCGAATATAATTTCTTGTTAATTTGTAACGCATATGGTAACCTTCGCCAGCAGTATGTTCCAGAAATGTTTCATGTCCATCCCATCTTATCTAAGTTTAATACTCTAATGTCAAACCGAGAAAAATCTTTAATACGAAATACAGCCATTTTTGTACATCACACAATGAATCGCCGTTTGGCCATACTGTCTTCTGTCGACCATCAAAAATACTGAATACAGAATTAGACTTACCGTAGCGTTGTTATATTATTGATGGTACATGCAGACACGCTCATGAGAATTAGACGCTAGGTCCGTCATCTCAGTACACACTTGGCTAAACCCAATACTGTTTGCCAAAAGCATATTATTCCAATAAACAGGGGCAGTCGAGTAGCCTAGTGGCTAAAGCGTTCGCTCGTCACGCCGAAGACCCGGGTTCGATTCCCAACATGGGTACAATGTGTGAAGCCCATTTCTGGTGTCCCCCCGCCGTGATATTGCTGGAATATTGCTAAAAGGGGCGTAAAACCAAATTCACTCACTCCAATAATCAAAGAATCTTAGCTCTCACTTTAGATTGTTGAAGCGATCTGTTTCTAGGGGTCAACTTGAGTTTGTGTTATTCCATATCTGTTGGATATGTTAACTGGCAATATATAATATAGTCAAATGTGTCACACCTGTTTCCATGACTACGAGTACCTGATCTCCTTAACTTTGCTATCAAACATTTTGCCGATGCCTCATTTCTTGCTACACTTTCAGTTGATCCTCGAGGGTTTTACCCCCGGGAGTGCTACTCCATCCTGAACGATGAAGGCGACTGCCTGTTTCTGTCTGACCGCGTTGAGTATATTTGTTTAATATTTTAGGACGTACGGGGTCTTGAGCTCTAACTGCATGTGAGGTAGGGTGTAGTGAAATGGGGTTTAACTTCGCGTTCAAGTTTGTTACACTTGCGTATGGCATACATACACGTGTTTATGCACCGTCTGTTCGTACGAGTCCGGACTTATGCCGGTTAAATAGTGCTAGCCCACAGTTTAACTTGGACACCCCACTCAGACACTTTACAAGGACTCCGAGCCGACCCAGTTCACACAATTAGTGAACTCTGTTTTCATGAACCACTATATGACGCATGTGACAGGGAACTTTACATATTATGTTTGTTGTTTAACGCCGCCCTCAGCAATATCCTTGCCATATGACCGCTGTCTGTAAATAATCGAATCTGGACCAGACAATCCAGTGATTGACATCATGAGCATCGATCTACGCAATTGAGATACGATGACATGCACCAAGCAAGTCAGCGAGACTGACAAACCCGATCTCGTAAGTGACCTCAATTCCTTCATGAACCCAAGTCTGCCTCCCAGGCCCCAGAAAATGAATAATAAAATGAATCCAACTCAAAACTAGAATGAGTTGGCAAGTCTAGATTCCAGCTCGGAATTAACGCATTGTTCTGAGCTCCTTTTGGATTTTGTTCATATTTTGTAGATATATTGTTTTTTAATAAGTAGTCTATATGTGACACACGGGGTCACATGGAATATGTAGAAATTGACCGAGGGAAGGAAATACAATTCTCATTTCGGGAATATTGTTCCACAGGAACCAATACTCCTGGTATGAGGATTCCTCCAGAACAAGTGAGTGAATGAGTGAGCATGGTTTTACGCCGCACTTTTTAGCAATATTCCAGCAATTTCACGGCGGGGGACACCAGAAATGGGCATCACACATTGTACCCTTGTCGGGAATCGAATCCGGGTCTTCGGCGTGACGAGCGAACACTCTAACCACTAGGCTACCCGACTGCCCCTCCTCCAGAATAAACGTACTGTCCACTGCTGATCAGTTAAAGGGCAACGGTGATCTCATATTTGCTCTCTGTTGTGAGGGGGCGATGGGGTAGCTTAGTGGTTAAAGTGTTCGCTCGTCACGCCGAAAACCCGGGTTCAATTCCCCACATAGGTACGATCTGTGAAGCTCATATCTGACGTCCCCTGCCGCGATATTTCTGTAATGTTGCTAAAAAGCGGTGTTAAACAATACTCACTCAGTTGTGAAGTTTTCTCAAACCTCATTCATATGCCGCTACTATCTGACGTGTCTTCTAAATTGTTTAAAATAACAGATCAATTTACACATACCAAGGACACACTGACACTGATAATGTATGTTAACAGGTTTCATTTCTGCGTATATTGATTATGAAGCTTGATATATAATCGAATTGCTGATGAAACATACTCACTCACACAAATACTGACATCTTCATAAAGCCTTCTGTGTAACAGCTCGATTACAAAGTATACAAGAACATTATGATGCAGTGCATCAACAAACAGCCGCATGTTAGCATGAAGATCTGGGGTAAGATTGTTGTTGTTGGTTTGTTGTTTAACGCCGCACTCAGCAATGTTCCAGCTATATGACGGCGGTCTGTAAATAATCGAGTCTGGACCAGACAATCCAGTGATTGATATCATGAGCATCAAACCACGCAGTTGGGATCGATGACATGCATCGACCAAGTCAGCGAGCCTGACCACCCGATCCCGTTAGTCGCCTTTTAGGACAAGCATTAGTTGCTGGTAATCTGGGAATCTGGGGTAAGAATTGATCTTCAGCAACCCATTTACGACTAACGGGATCGGGTGGTCAGGCTAGCTGACGTGGCTGATGCGTGTTATCGTATCCTAATTGCGTAGATAGATACTCATGAGGTCTGTTACTGAATTGTCTGGTCCGTATATCAGGACTATTGCAAAGTGCAGCGTTTCACAAAAAACAATGACACAAACAAACATAAATATGATCACGAGGTCAACAATGTTTGGAACACCGCTCAAATATAACAGTACCTTCATTTTCGACAAAAGTGTATTTTTCAGTAGGTTAATAACACTCGTCCTTCATGTTAGATATCATCTTAATCGGCGGAAAATGAAGGTGACGTGAAGTGGGTAAATTTCCCCAATTAGTAACAGGCAATTCGTTCGATAGCTTGCCATTTGTGCAAATTCTCCTGAAGCAGTAAAGAAAATCTTGAGAGATATACTCTTAAAACAAAACCCACTCTCGTTTCGACATATGCCCAGTTCCAACAAAACTGTGAATATAAATTAATTGATCTTACAGAAAACTACTGAACGGCTTCCGAACACAAACTCTACTCTCATTTGCAATTTCTCAGAGAGAAACGCCACACCTTTTTCAGTTTTAAATTCCTGAATGGAAAAAGCTACAAGTTCATAAGTTGCGGTTGTGCATTTCAGGAAACTCTTCTTCAACAGTCAGGTGGGGAAGCCTAGTGGTGCTCGTCACAGAACCGGGTTAGTATATAATGGTAGGTTATAGTGTGTGGAATCCATTTCTTGTCTCCCGCCGTAGTGTTGATGGAATATTGCTGAAGGTGGCGTAAAACCATACTTACTCACTCACTCATGTCACTGAAGAGTACGTACCATATTCAGGAATGTTCTCCCAAGATGATGTAAAAAAAAACATGTATCGCTCTCATTATTGTAGCGAAATGACTTGTAGAAATAAAACTATGATTTATATTATGCTTATGTAGATGTGTAAAAAACATTTCAAGTAAACTAAAAGACAAAAACACACTTTAAACAAATTGGCAATGCGTGTATTTCTCATTCAATACATGTCAATATGGAACGTCAAAGCCAGAGGATAATTAGTCTCCATTATGTAGAGGGGAATGTCCGAGTAACTCTCCATTCCTTAAAAATAATGGAGCAGAGGCCCCGCAGGGGCCGAGGCCCATTGTTTTTAAGGAATGGAGAGTTACGAGGATATTCCCCTACTTAAAACTCATCCCTACTTTTACAAAATATTCTGTAGTTGAAAATATTTGAAAAATTCAAATGCTGCTTCAAGATAATGTACAGTTGACAAGCAACTCTCCATTCCTGAAAAATAATGGAGCGTTCAAACAATAGAATGACGTCACAGATGTTTTAACTGCCGATCCATTAGGCGTAAAGGGAAAAATAGCGGCGAAAGTTCTACACCTGACACCAGGGCCCACTTGCACAAAGCGATCTTAGCGCTAAGTTATTCGTAACTCTCATACTTTAACATAGGCTTACGATAGTCGTAGCGTTAAGAGTAAGCATAGGCTGTCCTCTCATAGTCCAAAATTATTATCGACAAAGAGAATAACATGTGGAATTTGTGAACAGTCTCGCCACTGTTGCTCACTCGAACATTCAACTTAACATACCAACAAAAGCAGACACAGCAGCATGTGTTGCGTCATAATATAGTCCCCTGAACGAAAGTAGTTCAAATATGGATTCAAATTGGTACCAATTTAATTTATGGCTAATTAGCCATGCACTGAAATGACACATGTAACATAAAAGAATCACCAATTCTTCTAAAGACTCTTCCTACACGGATCCATAATCTGCAAATTTAACACCTGTGAGATCCACAATGAGATCAATTTCCTTATGAGCAGTAATTTGTGTCTCGCTCTCTACTACCGGCACATTCGACGTGGACGCAGATCCATCACTTCCGGAAGGGGAGATAACTGTAGGTCTCGCCCTGTCTACATCTGCCACGGGAATAATGTCGTGCACGGGCCATGCCTGCCGGAAAGTGTTCTGTAGGTCGTCAAATTGCGTGGTGAACCGCAGATTCTTAACATCAATAATGGAGACGGTGGTTTTTTTTAGAAAGAAAAATTCTTTAAGTGCGAATGGTATCAAGCCGCAAGCAAAGGTAGCAAAGAATCGACCCTCTGGAGAGATGAAGCCGATATCGCCGTACGCCATAACGATTATGAGGAGACAGAACAAGAATAGAAATACTCGACTAAGTTCAAATATTGCTTTTATGACGGAATGTGAAATGTGCCCTGGCGCTCCACGACAGTCAATACCTGTCGCCTGATGGAAGAATTTCTTCGACAAATAGGGCGTGTCGTCCTTGTGAAGAAGCAATCCCAAACTCCTGGTATTCATACGTAAGTCGCCGCCTTTTAACAAGAAAGTAGGCCCTAAGAAGCAATGTTCGTCCTCTTGGGTACAGACTTCAAATACAATATTTTCCCGGTTCTGTGGGCTGTTCTTCGCGACATCCCGAGCTGCCTCCATCTTGTCAGCCATGATGAGCCCCAGGATGATGTTATGGTAGGACAGGTACTCGGAGCTCACGTGACCGAAAGTGTCCCGGATGTAGAAGACAGGAAGAATCACGACAGGCAGGATCCGCATCGTGAGTTGAATGTTGACGAGCATGTCTATTATGACCACACTGGCTGCATGCAACAAGAAGTTGAAACCAATTGCAAGCACCACGAACACAGCAAATATTGTAACAATGAAGGCTACTTCAAATGTCCGTCCACCTACCTCTTCCTGACCCTTACGCTCTCGCTGACATGTTCCTAATAGGATCCTCAGGACGCGGTGGGCGATTCTGAACACCGGTGACGTCACAATGAAGTACAAAAAAATTGTTGCCGGGGATATAATAAAACATACCAACCACAGTGGGAGGACAATAATCCCTAACTTCTGAAGCGGGCGAACAGAGTTCTTAACTAACGATTGCAACATTTTCGTTCTGTAAGTTAAAGAAAATCGTTCATTGTTGATGCACAGTAATTGCCCATACAGTCTGGCCAGGTTTCTGTCAAATATTCCGTCAACAACGACGATTACGACGTGTAGGACATAAACGGCGCTTAACACAGTGGCGATGGCAGTACCAGTAGTGCTGTTGGTATGGTCGTCAATATGGCCAGCCTCGTCCATTATGTTGACTTCCTCGGGGTGATGAAGGTGGGGCGTGCAGAGGTAATACAACCTTGGGACAGCCGGTAAAGCAAGGACCGCGAAGATGGTGATAGTCCGGACTGCCCTTAGAACATCCTGCCACTCTGGGCATGCGCGGCAACTACACTGACCACAAATCCTGCTCGTGCAGCAATCTTCAAAAGGGTCACTGTGGCGTAATTTAAACTTGATCAAACAATCAAACAGTGTGCGAAAGACCCCAAATGGCGGTTCATTTTCAGCTATAAAGCGATCAAAGCCTGCTTGGAAATCGATTCTCTTAATTTGAAACGTGTACACGACGTCTCTCGGTATTTCAGATATAAGCGTACGAAATGTATCCATCGCCTGACATTTCTTGTATGGAACTAATAAAGTTCTCGGCGTCAAATTTTTAAACTCAGGGTTTCGCGTTGTCATAATATTTATGAATTTCGAAGTTCCAGGAATATATGTAAACACGTCAACATTTAAGCTTTTAGGTATCAATAATGGAAAGTATAGAGTGAGAATAATAGAAAGAGTAGTTATTGCAAACTGGAAAATTAATATCCAAATGTCGTGTGCAACTAGATAGCAGGTTACGTGGTCAACAGACGACACTCGGCAGCATCTGAAGACGTGTTTCTCCCGGCCATTGTCGTCAGTGATTCTCATAGAACATACACTCGCTTCGGACACAGTCTTCTGGGTGGCGTTGCTGGTTGGGAACAGGTTGTTGAAAATATAGAGTTTAATTAACGTTTCAATCTCCTCGCTCGTCATTGTGTTCAAACAATCTGAAGGTTCGGTAGTGACGTTCACCTCCTGCAACCTCTGGCCAACATGTACTAAAGTTTTGAACATTCCGTGATAATAGTGAAACAAGAGGAGATATTTCTCTGTTGATGGGCCACTGCATTTATACAATCTGGTGGGTGTGTACCAATTGCGTCCAGCTACCCGACTCCAGAAGTCCTGGGTGTACCCGTTAAATTTAAGATTATATTCGATGACATAGACGCGGTCACCATGTTCCTCCAGGATTGCCGAGTCCGCCGATGACACAACACACCCAGCACACAAGCACTGACAAGACAGAACACATACTAGACACACGATGCCAAACACCAGACTGTTTCCTTCCATAGCTGGTTGCTCTATAACGTCGACAGATCGACTGCCGTTACAGTCCCCTGGTAGCCTTAGGGACCAAGGTAGTAAGGCCTCCACGTCTGTATGTTTGTTTCACGACCTCTTCTCGGACTGATAGCCATGAGTACACTTGTTCGTTTCTAGAGCCGAAGTCATGAAAGTGTAGTCGTTTAGTCACGGACATGCCATCAGAAGCAAACGTGTCTTCAGTCGATGTGACGGAACTTGTCATCTGTCCATGTGACTGACTTGTCATCAGAAACACCACTGTCATCAGAAACAACATTGTCATCAGTCCATGTGACGGACTTGTCATCAGAAACAACTGTGTCTTCAGTCCACATGACGGACTTGTCATCAGAAACACCATTGTCATCAGAAACAACATTGTCATCAGTCCACGTGACGGACTTGTCATCAGAAACAACATTGTCATCAATCCATGTGACGAATTTGTCATCAGAAACACCATTGTCATCAGAAACAACATTGCCATCAGTCCACATGAAGGACTTGTCATCAGAAACAACATTGTCATCAGTCCACATTACTGACTTGTCATCAGAAACACCACTGTCATCAGAAACAACATTGTCATCAGTCCATGTGCCGGACTTGTCATCAGAAACACCATTGTCATCAGTCCACATGACGGACTTGTCATCAGAAATAACATTGTCATCAATCCATGTGACGGACTTGTCATCAGAAACAACATTGTCATCAATCCATGTGACGGACTTGTCATCAGAAACAACCGTGTCTTCAGTCCACATGACAGACTTGTCATCAGAAACAACATTGTCATCAGTCCACATGACTGACTGGTCATCAGAAACAACTGTGTCTTCAGTCCATGTGACGGACTTGCCATCAGAAAAAACTGTGTCATCAGTCCACATGACAGACTTGTCATCAGAAACAACTGTGTCTTCAGTCCATTGAAGGACTTGTCATCAAAAACAACTGTGTCTTCAGTCCATTGAAGGACTTGTCATCAGAAACAACTGTGTCTTCAGTCCATTGAAGGACTTGTCATCAAAAACAACTGTGTCTTCAGTCCATTGAAGGACTTGTCATCAGAAACAACTGTGTCTTCAGTCCATATGACAAACTTGTCATCAAAAACAACTGTGTCTTCAGTCCATTGAAGGACTTGCCATCAGAAGAAACTGTGTCATCAGTCCACATGACAGACTTGTCGTCAGAAACAACTGTGTCTTCAGTCCATTGAAGGACTTGTCATAAAAAACAACTGTGTCTTCAGTCCATTGAAGGACTTGTCATCAGAAACAACCTTGTCATCAGTCCACATGAAGGACTTGTCATCAGAAACAACTGTGTCGTCAGTCCACATGACAGACTCGTCATCAGAAACAACTGTGTCTTCAGTCCATATGACAAACTTGTCATCAGAAACAACTGTGTCTTCAGTCCATTGAAGGACTTGCCATCAGAAACAACTGTGTCATCAGTCCACATGAAGGACTTGTCATCAGAAACAACTGTGTCTTCAGTCCACATGACAAACTTGTCATCAAAAACAAATGTGTCTTCAGTCCATTGAAATACTTGTCATCAGAAACATCTGTGTCTTCAGTCCATTGAAGGACTTGTCATCAGAAACAACTGTGTCATCAGTCCACATGACGGACTTGTCATCAGAAACAACTGTGTCTTCAGTCCATTGAAGGACTTGTCATCAGAAACAACTGTGTCTTCAGTCCATTGAAGGACTTGTCATCAGAAACAACCGTGTCATCAGTCCACATGACGGACTTGCCATCAGAAACAACCGTGTCATCAGTCCATGTGAAGGACTTGTCATCAGAAACAACTGTGTCTTCAGTCCATTGAAGGACTTGTAATCAGAAACAACTGTATCTTCAGTCCATTGAAGGACTTATCATCAGAAACAACCGTGTCATCAGTCCATCTGAAGGACTTGTCATCAGAAACAACTGTGTCATCAGTCCACATGACGGACTTGTCATCAGAAACAACTGTGTCATCAGTCCAAATGACGGACTTGTCATCAGAAACAACCGTGTCATCAGTCCATGTGACAGACTTTCCTTCAGAAAAAAATATGACATCATTATGGAAGCATAAAGCTGATTAATGACATGGCCTAAGATAAAGTGGCGTATATTGGCTTTTTAATGAATGGGCCTATAAACAAAACAGCCATAAACATGTAACTAAATCCATGTGCTTCAAACTGTATTGCACCATGTGTTCATTCAGAGCATCATTTTACAAAAGATTGCGGAAAGCTTTACCTATACACCATATACAAGCAGGCATGTGGGTTGGGGTATAATGCAACTTTCAAAAAATAATTCATAGGCCAAACTGTAGTCGTTTACAGATTTGATCAAAGCAAATACCTACGAGTACTTGTGAATCGAAAGTTGGCAAGCCATGGGCAAGAATTGGAGCAAAGTGGTGCCAAGATCTGTCCACCCATGCACCCAATACAATTATGTGTCAACACTGGGCCGGGCATGTAATCAATATATGTGTTGATACTGGACCACCCATGCCATCAATATGTGTTGACACTGGGCACCCATTCAATCAATATATGTGTTGACACTGGGCACCCATGTCATCAACATATATGTCATCATTGGTACCCATGCAATCAAAATATATACACATGGAAATTAATCAAGCAACACCTAATTCATAGACCTATAATTCTGTGAATTAAGAAAACAGCATTTTACTGATTGATCATTGTGACATGTTGCATCTTGCTCTTCAGCCTGACTTTTTTGGAGACATGAAATGCACGTGCAACGACGCGCAATGCACGGGCAATGTCAAACCGACAACATTGTTGAAATCAAGTTTGGAATCATGACATGTCGCACTCTCTCCTTTCAATTTGTATTGCGTATTCAGTACCCAAATTGTCATGGCACGTCGTAAATTGTCAGAGGCTACAAGGTGGCAAATTACTGGCATGATAAATGCAGGAATGTCCCTCAGACAAATTGGATGTCAACTTGGGCACAACCCTTCCATCATTTCAAGACTCGTGAACAAACACAGGGCTACCAATAATGTGAAAGATCGTCCAAGACCTTGCAGGCCCTGTAAGACAAGAAGATAGGATAGAGCATTGTTCAGACTTGTTAGGTGCCGTCTATTGGACTGAAGCAAATCTTTAAAGCAACAGTGGCTACCAGGGAGAGCCCTTTCCTTCAGGACACTCAGAAATCGCCTGAAAGCAGCAGGATACAGTGTCAGAAGACCAACCAAACGTATTAAACTGTCTCCTACTCACAATACCCGTGAAGATTCCGGGGTAGATCAGATCTTCAGCAACCCATGCTTGCCGTAAAAGATGACTATGCTTGTCGTAAAAGGCGACTAACGGGATCGGGTGGTCAGGCTCGCTGACTTGGTTGATGCTTGTCATCGATCCCAATTGCGTGGATCGATGCTCATGATATTAATCACTGGATTGTCTGGTCCAGACTCCATTATTTACAGACCGCCGTCATATAGCTGGAATATTGCTGAGTGCGGCATAAAACAACAAACCAACCAACCAACCAACCAACCTACTCACGAATTAGCCCGACTTGGCTGGTTTAAGCAGTATGTTCGCTGGAACAGTCCATCATGGCGGAGGTTTAACTTTTCAGATGAGAGTCAGTTCTTTTTTGCATATGGTGGATGGACAAATGGACACAGCTATGGTTCCCCGCAATATCCAGGAGACGGTTCCCTATGGAGGAGGGTCAGTCATGGTATGGTGATGCATTTCCTTGGGTTGCAGGATGGACCTCATCACCATTCGTGGTAACCTCAATGGGCCTCGTTATCAACAGGAGATCCTTGGGAGATCTGTTGTCCCCCATTTTGATTATCATCCTATTGCCACATGGCCCATCTTCATGAATGACAATGCCAGGCCTCACAGAGCATGTGCTGTCACTCAGATCTTGCAACAGAATGCCGCTGAGACCATTCCATGGCCAGCCATAAGTTCAATCCAATTGAGCTTCTGAGGGACATTTTAGGCCGTCGTGTTCGACAAAGAGACCCTACTGTCCATACGCTCAATGGATTGACAGCTGCTTTGCATGAGAAATGGGACAGGATTCCTCAGAATCAAATCAAAAGATTGATCCAAAGAATGAGGAGGCATCTTGGAGCAGTTGTTCGGGTTCTGGGAGGTTACACAGGATACTGATGGAAAGTCAATATTTGGACTTGCAGGACATTGTTGTTGACACTGGGCCACACATGCCATCAATATGTGTTGACACTGGGCCACACATGCCATCAATGTGTTGACACTGGGCCATGCATGCCATCAATATATGTTGACACTGGGCCACACATGCAATCAATGTGTTGACACTGGGCCACACATGCCATCAATATGTTGACACTGGGCCACACATGCCATCAATATGTGTTGACACTGGGCCACGCATGCCATCAATATATGTTGACACTTGGCCACGCATGCTATCAATATGTGTTGACACTGGGCCACACATGCCATCAATATGTTGACACTGGGCCACACATGCAATCAATATATGTTGACACTGGGCCATGCATGCCATCAATATATGTTGACACTGGGCCACGCATGCCATCAATATATGTTGACACTGGGCCACACATGCCATCAATATGTGTAGACAAGGGGCCACACATGCCATTAATATGTTGACACTGGGCCACACATGCCATCAATATGTGTTGACACTGGGCCACACATGCCATCAATATATGTTGACACTGGGCCACGCATGCCATCAATATATGTTGACACTGGGCCACACATGCCATCAATATGTGTTGACACTGGCCAACACATGCCATCAATATGTGTTGACACTGGGCCACACATGCCATCAATAAATGTTGACACTGGGCCACGCATGCCATCAATATATGGTGACACTGGGCCACACATGCCATCAATATGTTTAGACAAGGGGCCACACATGCCATCAATATGTGTTGACACTGGGACACACATGCAATCAATATGTTGACACTGGGCCACGCATGCCATCAATATATGTTGACACTGGGCCACACATGCCATCAATATATGTTGACACTGGGCCACACATGCCATCAATATGTGTTGACACTGGGCCATGCATGCCATCAATATACGTTGACACTGGGCCACACATGCCATCAATATATGTTGACACTATATGTTGGCGCTCAGCATCAAGGGGCTAAAACAAGGACTGGTCGGCTCTGAGTCAGTATACTGTGTCTGAGTGGGATATTCATGTCAAACTGCTGCATCTCAGTGTGCTAGCACTATAAATCGGCATCAGTCCGGACTAGTACAAGCAGCCACACAAACACACACGTACATGCACGTCGCTATATAAGTGCAATAATCTTGGACGCGACGTTAAACCCCATTTCACCTTGCCTCAAATGAATAATCATGAAATTTGATATAAAGTGTAATTTTGTATGCAGTAAATATGTAACATACACTGTATCACACATTTCTTGAGTTGAGTTGCCAATATGGCCTCACATTCACCAAGATTTACTGCACTTTCAACAGCTCAAAACCTCTAGCAAGATGATAATTAGTATATTTGATCAAGGTGCGTTTTAAGTTTTCTCACTAAATTCTTTACCAATTGTTTCTATATTCTTATAACTATGTAGTCTTCTATTTTAAATTGTCAAAGTTACCTGTAACATATATTCAACATACAAAACACATGTGGCAAAACACAATACTGCAGTCTGTGCCAAAATCTTTGAGACAACCAGCACGAACATAGCTCTTAGCATCATTTTCCTTTGTTTGTTGTTTTATGCTGCACTCAGCAATATTCCAGCCATATGATGGCGGTCTGTAAATAATCAAGTCTGCACCAGACAATCCAGTGATTGACATCACGAGCATTGATCTAAGCAATTGGGATACGATGACAAGCATCAACCAAGCCTGACCACCCGATCCCGTTAGTCGCCTCTTACGACAAGCATAGTCGCCTTTTATGGCAAGCATGGGTTGCTGAAGACCTATTCTACCCCGGATCTTCACGGGTAAGCATCATTTTCAGTAGAGTTTCGTGTTATGTTGACTATTATTAGATGAGCTTACTACAACAAACAGAATTTTACAAGACTTGGGCTTCGGACTTGTGGCTTGTGTCGCAGACTGATACTGTGTTAGGGGATAAGTTATTAAATATCTAATAAAACCCCAGTTATATATTAACTGAGGGACAGAAATAAAAAGAAATAAACAACTCTCCCTTGTTTGGTTCTATTGTTTATTCATACACTACTGAGTCAAAATGAGACCCTTTTTTGATAAACAACACATATATCATTCTCAAGTAAGTCAAAATGAGACCCCTTCTTGATAAACAACACATATATCATTCTCAAGTAAGTCAAAATGACACCCCTTCTTGATAAACAACACATATATCATTTTCAAGTAAGTCAAAATGAGACCCCTTCTTGATAAATAACACATATATCATTCTCAAGTAAATACCAAAATTATTTTCTGAGAAGTTCTTATCAATATATATATCACATTGTAGCTCATATTTCCTCAATCAAATATAGAATAAAATATTACCTGATGATAATAATACAACACATTACAAGTGATGTTTGTGTGTCTTACAAAAGATCCGAGACAAGTCGTTTGTATTATCTAGCCATGTTGACCGCCTAATAGGAAAGCAGTCATATACATGGTGTAGCTAAGGACAACATCAGGCAACAGTTCAAAATTTTGATGTCTAATAGACACCCCCCCAAAACACTAAAGGAAATAACAAAAGAAAACCCCACAATTTTGTTTGTTTGTTTGTTGTTTGATACTGCACTCCAGCTATATGACAGTGGTCTGGACCAGACTAACAAGTGATTGGTATTGTGAGCAATGATCCACACCGTCGGAGTACGATGATACACACTCAACGAGTCTGACCACTGATCCATTTGGTCACCTCTCAGCATCGGTTGGAGGGGGTGGTGTGTGTATTTTAAGCAAATACACAGCACGAACTTCTAAAACAGCTGAGAGAGCCTCTTAATCATCACATCATTCTATAACAGACTCCTTGACATCCAACATTTGAAGTAAACAAACTAATTAATCTGTTAGTTTTAAGCACCCTGTCCTCTCCCAACATACTTTCAACAAAATAACCTTCACGTATGTCTTTGTGTCTTCATGTCTTATTTACAGGTCTAGATAGCATTGAATAAATCCAACTAGTTCGCAGGTGATTTTGCTCCAGTGGTTTATGTATAATAGCTATATTTGGGAAGAAAACAACTAATCCTTCTGGATTTTAACTTGTCTCAGACTAATGGACTTGTGCCATGTCTATCCCTGACTTATCCAAGATACTGCTGTTTTAGCTGTATAGCTTAACTTTTAATGATTACACATTTCAAAAATTAAATCTTGATTTCACAAAGCACATCAACAAAACTGTCTCAATGTGCCTTCAAAGATGACTTGGATGAGGTGATTCTTTAAGTTCCTACACAACATTATCTGAACTCCTTGGGTACATCGACTCTACTTCCATAGTTGAGAGTAAACAGTGACGGTCCTGGTCGTAAGATCCTGGCGCTTCCCAGACACTCGTCTCCCCGGTAGAACACAGCATACTGCCCGGCTGTTATGGCGCGCAGTGGCAGTTCAATACTGATGATGAGGCAGTTGGAGCCAGACAGGGTGGCTGTGCATCGGATGATAGGGTGCACGCTCTGGAAGCGAAACCCTGCTGTGAACATGTGACCACTGATGAGTTCTGGTGGGGTTCCCCTGATCCAGTGGGGGGGTTCTGTGAAGAGAGTCTGGGTGAACAGGGAAGGGTGGTCGGTTCCTGGTGCCTATAACACATACATTGATAATCAGATATGGGGAGGGTGGCCGGTTCCTGGTGCCTATAACACATACATTGATAATCAGATATAGGGAGGGTGGTCGGTTCCTGGTGCCTATAACACATACATTGATAATCAGATATAGGGAGGGTGGTCGGTTCCTGGTGCCTATAACACATACATTGATAATCAGATATAGGGAGGGTGGTCGGTTCCTGGTGCCTATAACACATACATTGATAATCAGATATAGGGAGGGTGGTCGGTTCCTGTTGCCTATAACACATACATTGATAATCAGATATAGGGAGGGTGGTCAGTTCCTATTGCCTATAACACATACATTGATAATCAGATATAGGGAGGGTGGTCGGTTCCTGGTGCCTATAACACATACATTGATAATCAGATATAGGGAGGGTGGTCGGTTCCTGGTGCCTATAACACATACATTGATAATCAGATATAGGGAGGGTGGTCGGTTCCTGGTGCCTATAACACATACATTGATAATCAGATATAGGGAGGGTGGTCGGTTCCTGTTGCCTATAACACATACATTGATAATCAGATATAGGGAGGGTGGTCGGTTCCTGTTGCCTATAACACATACATTGATAATCAGATATAGGGAGGGTGGTCGGTTCCTGTTGCCTATAACACATACATTGATAATCAGATATAGGGAGGGTGGTCGGTTCCTGGTGCCTATAACACATACATTGATAATCAGATATAGGGAGGGTGGTCGGTTCCTGGTGCCTATAACACATACATTGATAATCAGATATAGGGAGGGTGGTCGGTTCCTGGTGCCTATAACACATACATTGATAATCAGATATAGGGAGGGTGGTCGGTTCCTGGTGCCTATAACACATACATTGATAATCAGATATAGGGAGGGTGGTCGGTTCCTGGTGCATATAACACATACATTGATAATCAGATATAGGGAGGGTGGTCAGTTCCTGGTGCCTATAACACATACATTGATAATCAGATATAGGAAGGGTGGTCGGTTCCTGATGCCTATAACACACACATTGATAATCAGATATAGGGAGGGTGGTCAGTTCCTGGTGCCTATAACACACACATTGATAATCAGATATAGGAAGGGTGGTCAGTTCCTGATGCCTATAACACATACCGGTACATTGATAATCAGATATAGGGAGGGTGGTCGGTTCCTGATGCCTATAACACATGCATTGATAATCAGATATAGGAAGGGTGGTCGGTTCCTGATGCCTATGACACATACATTGATAATCAGATATAGGAAGGGTGGTCGGTTCCTGATGCCTATGACACATACATTGATAATCAGATGTACGAAGGGTGGTCAGTTCCTGATGCCTATGACACATACATTGATAATCAGATGTAGGAAGGGTGGTCGATTCCTTGTGCCTGTAACACATGCTAGGATAATCATAATAAAATATTCCACATATTAAGTGCCCTGGGTACTTCATAAAAACAAGGAAGAAACGTATGATGAAACTAAACAGGTCAGAACTCAATGTCTATGTGTAAAATACACACACCCTTTTCTAAAGATGTATTTTCTGTAAGAAATGTGTTTCATACACAAGATATGGGGTGCTTAACGGTGGCTTGCAGACTGATCTGATCGAGAGATGCTTACTGCTTATTGAAGTGGTGTGTGTGTATTGTTAATATGGTGACTATGGTAGGACCAAAAACAGCTACAATGCTTTATTTTTGTATCCCTTTATATGCCATTATGAACAACAAAGTACACTGACAAAATATTAATAAACATTGATGTTGGTGATCTGATGATTGATTTCTTGCTTCATTGTTCCATATTTTCTGGTTACATGTACTGCATTTTGGATTTCAAAAGAGAGATCTTGTATAGACTTCTCAAGTTATATGTTAACACTTTCTGTACAGTTTAATACTGTCACAGTATCTTCATCATTTGAAGTGATGAAATAGCTAGTCATATAGAAAGTCAATCATCATCCCTGAGCATCATAGTGAGGATCAATCATTCTGAACACTACTTAAAACGCACAAATACCATTTTGAAAGTGGTCAAATGTAACAAATGTTATATTTGGGAACACACTTTCTCAGTAAAGTACTACATTCTCGTAACTTGTCGGGTTGAGTCCAATACAGGATTCGAACCCGCACTCACCCCCCAAAAAGTATGAGAATCTGTACTGTACAAAGAAAGTGTTATCCCAACTATAACGTGTTACAACTCACAACTATAACATCTTGAGTGCGTGGGTGAAGCTCGGCAATGAAGTACGGTAGGTCCTGTCCAGCTATCTGGGCCCTCTGTCCGACAGTCCAGTAGTGAGTGCCTGTAAACAGCCCAACCATTGTATCACATCCACATGAATGTAGCAGCTCTTACATCAACACACCCCAAAACTGTACAAACTTTCGTCAACTTTCTATGTCCTGTTAACAAAAAATCAATGTAACTGTTTCAAATAGCTTGACATTACTAATGAAATGCTGCAATTTTAGCCACAACTCTGAAGCTTGAGTCTTGTAAAAGTTCCATCCAGCAAGATCAGGTCATGAGCCCACATGTTAACATTAATAGCTATCACCGGGTAATAAAGATTCCACCCATTACACCCATTACCGTCAAGATGCTGTTATCTTTATTGATGTTAGGGGCACCTGCTGTAACTATTTCAGACAGAAAATCATCACACAAAATATTAGGGATGTTGCAGTTTGAAAAAACGGTTACTCGTCTTACTGAAACGATTAACTGGTTTTCCGATTAACTGGTTTTGTGATATCAAACTATTGAAATAACTACAATGAAAGGTACTACTGTCCACACAACCATTCACTCCCCAATAATGACAGTAATTGCATGATTTCCTGTTTCCCATGGACTTGTATTGAATCTCACTGACACATTTAAAAGATGTGTGGAACATAAATCATATAAACAGTGAAGACATGAAACTGTTCGGAAAACAACTGCTTTTATTATTGTTTGTAACAACGCTACATCATGCCCTTCATCTTTCACATGAACAGTAGTCCTGAAATGTTGTTACTAACAATAAAGAAGCTGTTATCCTAAAACAGTTTATGTCCTCACATTCTTCAAACTTCTAATTGCCCATATATAAGATAGCTAGGCGATAAATCGCAAAGAACAATGAAGAACAAAGTGTGGTTTTTTTCACGATAAACTTTGTTCTATCATGACGTCATTCCTGGAGATTCAAACATGCGCTCGCAACTTGATGACATAGTACATTGAAGGATGTTATTTTTGAGAGGGGAGTGTCTAGTGAGTTGTTCCCCATAGATGTAGCTGGGCATCGCAGATAAACATGATGGCCGAATGATCGTATCCAAAAGCAGGAGACACATGACAATCAGTATTGGGAGAAAAGGTGCAGATAACTGATGTGACGATTGTGGGAAATACCCACCTATGCATAAAATGGACTTGTCCGACATTGCCATGGTCGGATTCTATTGAGGGAGTCATCATTATTAAAATACAGGTAAATATGCTTAAAGCTTGTACGTCTTAGTAACATCCTTAAAGAGGCTGTACATAATGTTGATATCTTATGGTTTATTCTCCCTGCAGAGTTTTATTGTACTATAAACAACAACCACAAGCTTCAGAAGATACCTCACCTTTATGATAGCCCATAACCTTCCCTGTTTCCACGTGAAGGAACCTGCCCTTCTTCGGCTCTATATACTGAAAACAACACATAGTTCCTTGTGAAACACTCATTCCTATGTCTGTTGCATATACAGGTTATGCATGCTGAAAGGTTAGAAATATTCCTGAACATCTTTGCCAATTTTAAATTGTTATTTGGAGTAGATATCTGTTGAGCTGAGCAATTTGTTTTCAGATTGTTTGATGACTGCATAGAATGTTTTGATTGAGGATAAGGTTCATACAGAACTTCAGTCAACAAATCATCTTTTTCCCATTCTGATTGGCCAAAATCGTGTCAAATTTGAACAAGCATATATAATCCCCTGTATGTGCACAGGGAAGAGTGCTATGCTTTGGGCTCCTCTATACAATGTGTTACTGATCCAGATCTAACAGAAGCTGACATTTATTGGAAGGGAGATAACTCTATGATTACTGGCTGTCAACAGTTCATATTCAAATTGTCTTCTTAAAGACTTCCAACAATAAAACAAGATTTTGTTTACTTTAGCTAATATACTTGAGATGGGGATTGGGTAGGAAAATTCAAAGCAATTACAAGGCACATTATCCATTTTCATGGCCTTTCAAGGCTGAATCATCACTATATGGCTGAAATAATGCTGATGTGATGTTAGATTATAACTCACTCAAGGCAGAATCAAACTTCAAGGACTTTACATGACAGACATCAAATTTCAAGTCTTTCAAGTGCAAACACCGTAGCAACACAAAACCCTCAACTGATGGCATGTGTCAATCAATACCAAACAATTAGGATATGTGTAAAAACGTTTGTTTTCTGTAATTTCATTCAGAGACCAAAGCACATGAAATACAAACCTCTTCGATAAAGTTCTGGAAATTCCTGGTACCAATAAAACAAATACCCATACTCTGAAATCATAAAAAAGTCATTGTAAACCAATGTTTTTCACCACATAAATACAAGTCCCTCAGGTCATTTGTTCATGCAAAAACATGAAAATGCTGACATTGCAACATACGACCAACTTTCGTGCAGACAGGAGATACTCAAGCACTGTTTGAGATACCACAGCAAATATTATGCTTGACTGACATATGCACAGGAATATAATGATTTTCAACAAATATAAACGTGATAAATGATTACTGAAGGTGAATTGACAAATCATAAAATTTACCCCTCCTTTCCAAACAGCTGATCAGCACTTCAGTATGAAAGGGGATACTTACCTCCTTTTTCTTTGCAATTTTCTCTAAACCTGCATTAGAGGCTATTTTCTTGACAAAGTCTTTAGTGAGATCTCCTATGGGAAACAAAGACCTCTGCAATGCATTCTGGGAGATTTGTGACAGAAAAAATGTTTGGTCTTTGGTATTGTCGGCAGCTGTCAACAGCTTCACCCCTGCAGATATAAAATATATTGGTATGTGTACAAGTTCGCAAACTGCTTGATGACACAAGAGTGGAAAAATGAACAGTGGTTAGCTGAGGGTTTTGTCTATAATATATCATGTACATCACTCACAGAAAGGTGTCTAACATCATATCATGATATGGGAAGGATTTTTTCAAACCAAAGAAATTAAATTAATAGTGCTAATATTAGACACAACATGACTACAATAAGATCAAGATCTGATCTTGCAACGTGTGTACAAGTTACCTGTTGCTTCCAACACTGGATTATAGACTCAGAGATTTAAGCTTCAGTAAAATTTAATTTGGGTGAAAGTTTACACTTGTAAAACGTTTTTGACTTGAAATTGGCAGGGCAAGGATTTTGTCTTTGTATAACAATCCCAGAGAAATCTAACAATAATGCCTGGTCTTAGGATGTTGCTATAGTCTTTTAGTGTTAGTGTTAGTGTTAGTGTGTAGCCTAATGCTGCTTCTGATGGTTGCTTATAAATAATGAACTCTGCAGAGCTACAGATAAGCTGGGTATTTTCGTAATTGCGTAAAATACCCAGCCCCCAAAAATATTCAAAACCAAATTACTTTCAATTAACTTGCGTACAGAAACGCGTCCAAAGAGCTAATTTCCGAAACACAATTACAAGCTAATTTACTTTTGGAGTGAAGCCTATATATTTCAAAACACTTATATACATCAAAAACATTATTTCATTTTTTAAATTCTTAAAATGTTCACTAATTGTGGGGAAAACCCAATAGAGTGATGACTAGATGAGTGAAAAAATATTGGTTACCCAATCAAAAATGTAATAACCCAAATTAAAATAGAAACTCTGGAGTAAAAACTCAATTTGATAAAAAAGTTAACTGGAGCTCTGACTCTGGACATGCCAGTGATCAGTATGCCATCTGGGTATGAAGACACACAGTCAACCAAGCCACTAAGCCAGGCCACCCGACCCATTTGGTAGCCCCTCCCAACCAGCACAGGTTGCTCGGCACCTATTCACCCCACACAAGAGCCATACTCTTTTTAAGTAAAGTTAACCTGTTGGAAGTCATAAGTACTAATATTGACTTCCAGATGAAAACATAAAACATTTTCTATTATGATTGGAGGTGAAATGAAAGGAGGAGGCAAGAATCTAATTGACAACAAATAATTGTTTAACGAATGAAACTTTGGAGCACTTTGGTTTGGGCTATAGGATACTGCAAGTTAGGTACTACCGTATTCGACGTAATAAGCGCCCAGGGTGCTCTCAAAATTAGAAATAGGGGGCTCTTATTAGAATATTATTTTGGTGGAAAAAAGAGAGTTGAAAGATAAATTTTGTGGTTTATGCTGACACACTGAAATGTTTATATGCGACAGATACATTTTTCCAGAATTTAATTGCCCATAATTAAGAATGCATATAACACACGACACGAATACGCGAATAAAGAAGTCTTGTGTACATTGATCAATAGGAAGGAGTGCCAATTGGGATTGTTCACTAGCCAATATATTAGCAAATATCGCCGTGGACGCTTATTAGAGCGGGGCGCTTATTACGTCGAATACGGTATATGGTATAAAAATCTTGTTTTTACCTTTTACTGGATCAACTGTCTCTAGGTCGTACCCACAGGAAGTACGGGCATAGTGACCAGTTGCTATGGCATCGGCTCCAAGTCTCTCAAAAGCATGTTTAAAGAAGGCATCAAATTTGATCACCTTGTTACACATGATGTCTGGATTCGGTGTTGTTCCATTTTCATATCCTTTTATCAACTCACTGGGAAAATGAAAATAAATAAGAAATTTAATAAACAAATATAGCCATCAAGGGTCAGCTATCATATTCAAACTCAGTTGTACTCTTTCAAATCAACCATGACTCACTAAATGGTGTCAAACAATAATCTCTACATTTCATACACCGGGGTCCACATGTAAACATCACAGATGGATATCAACATTGCAAAATTACTCAAAAATAAAAATTCTATAATGAAGTGCCATAATCTTATCAGTGACTTCCTTCGGGGCCACATTTCAACAAACACGTAGTATTTTTCATGAACTTTGGTAACTAAAAATTAACATTATTTACTAAAGAATATAGTTGATGCCATTGTGAAGGGTCTAAACGCCCTAACACCTCTGTTATTTAAGCGAGGAGGCCAAAAATAGCACCTGAAAAACTTAGAAACATGCAGTTACAAAGGGAAAAGCCTGAGCATAGGTACCCGGGTATCTAGTAAACTGAATACTTGCCAACTCTATTAATATGTTTTGATCTACCTTAAACTATTTTAATCTGAAGCTTAACATCGCAATAACATATCATGCAAAATGTACACAGCTCAGGCTGTTATGAAATCAAACAGATCTTTTGAAGCTTTAAGGCAGATTTCTCTTAATTTTTTTCAATAATTTTAAGATACTAAAATGATCAGCTGTATGTATTTATTTTCTACTGACTATGGCATAAGTATGATAAGTGATCTGAACATGCTGAATAGTAAAGAATTTTGCAATTTTTAAAAGTAGAAATTCCTAATGTCTTCCTGATAAAAACACCCAACTAATTTCTGTCAGTTTTGTGATATGTTGCATGTTCAGTCCTGTGCTATATTCCATGTTCAATCATTTAGGATAATGTATGCTTCACATTTCTCCAAGAAGAGAATTTTTTTTATGGAAATGTACCATGTGACTACTTTGAGCTATGCTCCCTTGCGGGCTGGGGAATGAAGGGACGGGGCCAGACACCATGACTACTTGATTTTCATCCTTTAGCCGCAATACCACAGGGTACTTTTAAGTTTGCAATTTGGGCTAATGATTTGCATGACTTCACAATCAAATTCTATTCCTATCATAGGAAAACTGTATGTCAAGGGTAGCCACAACTGGTCATATCCAACTAGTCCGTAGCTCAATTAGGACTAGTGGTTTATGTAAAGTATATAGAAAACAACTTATCCCTTCAGATTTTTGAGTTGATTGTTGCATTTTCTAACACACCTACCTAAATACTCCATTCCAGTATTCCTTGACAAAGTTGACCTGGTGAAGGGGTATCTGAAGATGTTCACAGATCATGTTGGCATCTTCAAAATCTGCATCAGCCAAACACTTTCCAGTCTCATTGGCCACATCCCAGTTCCTCATGAAGAGTCCATGAACATCATACCCTACACAACAAAAACAACACATCTGAATGATTGTCATTGGCAAACAAAAGCACTGTTCTGTAGCAGCCAAGTTATAAACTTAATTAGGGTAAATAAGTTTATCAAGTTTGATTTAATTATTTATTGAACTTCTTCAATTATTGGAATTTGGATTTTACAAAGTTATTGCAAATACTGCAGTCTACCCAAGCTATTTGTAAGTCATGGGCGACAGAAACTGTCACTCTATCTCATCATAAATGGCAAAGTAGTGATAATTCGTCACAAACTAACTAACTGACAAGATAAAAGAAAAGTCGGTCTTACACTGAACAAACATAGCCAAAAGCTACTTCTAGTTCGTCATGTTTTTCAGTTCTAGAACATGTGAATATGACTCTGGATCGCCTCTGAGACTTTCGATTTCATTACCTCTTTTCTTTAAAATAAGAGCCGCCATTGCACTGTCAACACCTCCAGACATACCGACTATAACTTTTCGTACCATAAAACCTGGCATCGTCAAATCTTTTTTTAATTCTGATCACTTATGATAACAAATTCTACATAGTTTTGACCGTTTAGATTTTAGCAGACGCCATGTCTTGTGGGGACCATAGTTCGAGATAACAACACATTCTATTGGTTCATGGTATGACCTTTATCCAATGAGCATCGACGTAAGTAGAAACAATAGTAGCCTATAAAAGTAACTTTCAATGGACACAAATATGCCAAATGATCCAATCAAAATAATCTTTGGAAAAATGGGGCGTTAATGTGTTTCCTCAAAAGAAGAGTTCTCTTTTGCAAACGTTGTCTCCCGGAAATATCGTAAGCCTATTCGAAAATAGGTGTTTATTATTGAGAACAACGCGATTATCGCCTCAAGAGAACAAGATTGATGATGAACGAAAGTAGTGATGGTGGGGCTATCGGACAGGAAGATGTCCATCGACTGCTCGAACATTTTTCTAAAACGACACACAAAGTTAGAGCAGGTGACATGAAGGTACGTTTCAGAAGTGAATGACTGTCAGTGACAGGGACTTTCCTTTTCAGACTCAGCTCGATTCAGTTTCAATATATCATACTTTTTTTCTATCATAAATGATCAACATTTAGTTATATTTGTTGAAAAAGGTAGCGTCCTTGTTCATCTGCCACGGTTTAGGTGACGTGATGTCCCTTTAATAACTTGGCATTAACATGATTGATAGGGTCTCTGACCATGCTAACAGCTGATTAAATAATAAGAGCACACGGATGAGGCATTTATACTTGGAACACCGCTTAAACTCCAGTATCTGTATGAACTTAATGCAGTTTGATATGTTCTTTTGTGTTCTTTAAGAAAATACACATTGATTCTGATAAATGATAATTGAAGATATTGATTGATTATTTATCATGTGGTTATTATGTAATTACGTAGCATATTTCGTACCAAAAAAATGTTCATTATAACAATCAGACATATACCAGTAATGAGTTGCTGTTTTTTATGGTCTATGTATTTGGAACCTAATCCTGATCCATGTATAAGCTTGTTCAGGCTAATCATGCTAATAGAATGTAAATTTTACTTCACTTTCTATACATTCCAAGTTGTTTTTCTTCAACAAGTCTTTGTATCTGTTTGAAGTGTTTATATGAATTAACCACATTTTATTATGTTGATTTACCTGAATAAACTCAAAGATAATATAGACACATAGTCATATTCAACATGTTCAAGGCTATAGTGAAGTGGTGTTTGATAAAATATTGAAACACTAAACTCAGCAACCTATATTGTTGTTGGGGTATGTTTTCACCAATGAAAACATGCACCATTTCTGTCAATATGGGTCTTACTTTACTAACCAAATATTGATCTGTTTTGGAACAGAGCCATTTTAGCCTGCTCCCATTGTATAACTGCAGTACTGTCAACATGGTCAAAATCACAAGAAGAGTTTGCTACAATAATCAATCTAAAATGAAATCAAGACCTTGTAATTTATGTAAATGCCTGATAGTGATGTCATTAAAGCAAGCCAAGCTATCTGTGAACATGGTGAAGTGTAATGGCTATGTTTTGTACAGTTTGGCTCATTATCAGTTAACATCTAGATTGCTAGTCTGTGCCAAAAAACCCGTTTGAGACTACTAACTTGATCCATAGAATTAAGTGATTCTTGGTGGTGAGATGATACACCGATGCATCGGTGGATCCCGTTTTTTTACTTCTCAATACAAGTATCGATCACAATCGTACACTAAGTAAAAAGTGTCGATTCTCACCTTAAATGTTTTCTGGAATAAGTGTTACACCAAACACTAATTACTAGTGAAAATGAGTAATGAAAACGTAAATATTTACATCCAATGCATCACACCTGACACTGCCAACTGTTAATCATTAGTGTGCCAGGTACTTGGCAATCCTGTCTGTGAAAAAGATGGCTTACGCACCACAGATAAGTGCACATGCAAGTATCGTGATACATGGCAGATCGTGAACAAGGTATTGTGATATGTATCGGATCGCACAGTTGGTTTATCGTCCCAGCTCAAGTGTTACTATTTCGATTATAATTAGCTGAGGACTGGTCGGGTAGCCCAGTGGTTAAAGCGTTCGCTCGTCACGCTGAAGACCTGGGTTCCATTCCAGGCAGCGGTACAATGTGTGAAGCCAATTTCTGGTGTCCCCCGCCGTGATATTGCTGGAATATTGCTAAAAATGGTGTAAAACCATACTCACTCACTCACTCATTATAATTAGCTGAGGTAACTTGACATAACAGAATTTTACTAGACCCTAGCTTCAGACTATACTGGTTACTAAAGCGGCTGACATGCTGGCATACTATCTCATTAAAATTATCATAATTATCCGGCATGTTGGTGAAAAATCAATGCTCACATTGTCATGATTGTAGTGTGAGATAACACTAGAACTGACCAGGTTGTGTTCATGAGGAAGCTGCAAGGGTTCGGTGGTTTCAAGTTCCTTTTGTTGAAGCAGCTGTCTGTCGGACGATGTTCATCATCATTACGGCAGCCAAAATATCTTCCTGCTCATAACTCTGTGGCAGACTAGGAACCTTTTAAGCATTTTATCTCACCCTTCTGGTATTGTTTGTGCAAAACTGTCCACATCAGAAACACTTGTATTCCTCTGTCTAATCATAACACCAAAGTGATCAAAGAAATAAAGTTTGTGATTGTGGTGATTAGCCATGTCATCTCTTTTTGTTGCCCAAGACTGTCTGAGGACAGATAGCCTTCAGTGTCAGTAGAAAGATAAAATTATTGCAAAGCCCCCAGGAAGGATGGTGTTGGCACTGGATAAAGTGCAATAATGTGTTTGCTGCATCCTGTAGATGTTTCTGTCTGCTTCCTGTTCTGCTTTCCTGATGACATCACATTCACCAGGAAATTCATGTGAGGTTTGAAACTAACATATGAATCATTATGATCATAAGGCATTGTAATATGGCAAGGCTAAAAAATATTTTTTTTATTGAGCATGTTGAGTCCACAGACCCTAAAAATAGATATAATCTGAATCTTTAATCCACCAAAAAAGAATGTACATGTTCACCACAATATTATTGTATATTCAATAGTTGTAACTGCCAGTCAGTAGGATGCAATAGATTTAACATGGTTGAATGTCGAGACAAGATTTAGTAACACTCCAGGCATAGCCATGATGGCCACATATTCTAATAACAGTTTATGTTTAATAAACAAAAAACAGTTATCTGAAATATCTTTTTTAGTATATTTCTTTCCCCCATCTGTACATGTCATATCATCTGTGTTCCTCATGATTTGACTCCGCACCATTTCCTGCCTTCAGTAGATTGCTATGAAAGTTCTAACGAGCTACATGAGTTAGATCTGCAGAGCTCAAGATAAGCTCCGTATTTGTGTAAAATACTGAAAATATGCCATCATTACCCAATTAACTGCGACTTACTCGGGTACAAATATGTTTGAGTAAAAATATCAATAGTATAACACCAATGTAACCAATTTAACTTGCATATAGATCCCGAGATAGAATAGGTCTTCAGCAACCCATGCTTGCCGTAAAAGGTGACTATGCTTGTCGTAAAAGGCGATTAACGGAATTGGGTGGCCAGGCTTGCTGACTTGGTTGATGCATGTCATTGATCCCAATTGCTTGGATCCCAATTGCGTCGATCGATGTGCATGATATTAATCACTGGATTGTCTGGCCCAGACTCGATTATTTACAGACCGCCGTCATATAGCTGGACTATTGCTGAGTGTGGCGTTAAACAACAAACCAACCAACCAACAGCATACATGTATTTACTGATCTAGAACTCTACTGCAATGAATAATGCATTAAATAAATAGGCTATGTCTTGCTCATTGTTGAATTGTTGATTAGATGTGTATATTGCTCTTGTGAGATTATGTGACATGTTGCACACTGGGTTCAGCACATGAATAGATACAAATTAGAAGTCACCTGAAACAGCATTCAAAGGGAATTATAAAAAAAATCATGTCTACGTTTTGGTGTAAAGAGAACCAGGACCCAGGAAAGTAAAAAATATACCGAATATCCAAGGTAAACTATCACTACCCAATGTGAATAACACCTGTGTAAGTACTCAGGGGCTCAGAAAATCATCTACAGCCCTGTTCTGACATGTCTGTCCATCATGTTCACAGTTCTAACATATATGTTGTGCATTGATTTATAAGATAGCCAGTATCATTAGTATTTTCCTTCCTTAATGCCTCGCATAACAATGGATCTAACAATTGACAAGATTGATGTCCGATATTGATAGTTTGACACATTATCATTCTTGTTGTCAATCAACATGATCAAACTAGTCAGTCATTACTTTTAACCAAATGATTGTGTCTATTTTCAGGGGGACAATGTCAACGAGACGTGCTTGTTGTTATTTGCCAAAGATTATAGGTATTCTGTAAGTATCTAGTTATTCGTCAGTTCTGTTTGATCTCTACAATTCCCTCATTTCTAATTGATATATAATTGCAAAGAAAACATCATAGATTATTACTTTATCAACTATTTAAACAAAATACAAGTTGAGGTGAAATGGGACTAACTTCGCATTCAAAATTATTGCACTTATATAGCGATATGCATGCATGTGGGTTTGCTTGTACTAGTCCAGACTAGTACTGGTGTTACCGTGCTAGCCCACTGAAATACAAGACCGCAGTATAACATGGCTACTCCTACAGTATACTGACTCCATGCCGACCAGTCCTTGTTTAACCGGCTTCATGCCGAGCACCAGGCAGGGTAACAACAAGTACCACCTTTTAATGTTTTTGGTATGACACAGCCATGGAATCAAACCACGCACCTTCCACTCTCCGGGCGAAGCTCTATCCTCTTGACCACGGAGGCGGTCCAAAAGGAAATAGAACACTTGTTCAATGCAATGTTGAGGCAGCTGAAGAATGACATTCATGTGCCACAGTTAACTCTGGATGCAGATGATCAGCAATCTCATTAAAATCAGACCTTAGTTCTCGCTACCGCTAAACAAAGATCTGAAGACATCCCATTAGAGGTCACGTCAGAACGACATTTCATCCGACCAATCAGTCCGTCGCTTAGCAGATTATGAAAGTGACAGTCGGAATGTGATTTCTAATCATGCAATCTCGAAAAGTTTAACATGGGGCATTCCAAACGATAGTTACGGGTTTGACGACTGAATCCTTACATTGGCCATTTCAGAATGTTTTTTTGTACAGGTTTCAAATTTGTTATCGAGAATTTGTCAAAATATGTTTTGAACCGTAGTCGCCAATTTGAAATTTGTGCCGTAAAGCTCGAGAAAGCTGCCTTCTGATTGGTCATTCCATTGGTCGGTCAAAGGTCGGTCTGACGTGACTTGTAATAGGATGTCCTCAGATCTTTGTTTAGCGGTAGCGAGATCTAAGATCTGGTTTTAATGAGATTGAGATGATGAGTTGACTGAATTCTGCCACAATATGACAATAACAGAAAATGAATATCTTCCTTCTCCACTGCTGACAGAATATGAGCATGATATTTACAAAATAGTTTTTCATATGTAATGAACAGAGTGTGGCTTCAAGTTTAAGTTTGTTTGTTGTAAAACGCCACACTCGGCAGTATTCCAGCTATATGATTGCAGTTTGTAGATAATCTAGTCTGGACCAGACAATTCAGTGATTCACATCATGAGCATGGCTCTACACAATTGGGATATAATGCCAAGCATCAACCAAGTCAGCGAGCCTCACCACCCGATTCTTTTAGTCACCTCTTATGACAAGCAAGGTTTGCTGTAGACCAATTCTAACCCGGCTCTTCACGGGACAATCACCTGAAGTGAGGATGATTATTGTGATGCATGGTGTTCCAGATCATCCCTAACTTCAGTGGCGAACTGTGTGCACATTACCCTGGGAAGATCATCTTGACGGAGTATGAGTACCAGAAGGACTGTCCGGCCCCTCATGATGATAGGTAAGCTGCCTCTACCAAAAACTTCGAGTCTACAAGCCTGAACTTAGCTCATTCTTTGGACTATTATTGTTGAGCTTACTAGACCGAACAGGATTTTACTAGACTAGGGTTTTTAACTCGTTTTACTAGATTAGGGTCTTTAACTATTTGCTAAATTTGCAGACTGAGTAAGGCTGGGAATACATCAGATACTATTATTATACAGGTTCCAAAAGTTTATTAGAATTTGAATAAGGGCAATTCTGATGTCAGCAAAGTCAGCAAGCTCAAATGAAGAAAACAATACTTAGCCTAAGTCAGTGATGTTTCACGTTAATGTCAAAATATATTGAAGCTATTTAAAGTTTTATTGTATATATTATTTTGTTTTTTTTATTCTGAAAATTTGAATTTAAATACCGTATTCGACGTAATAAGCGCCCCGCTCTAATAAGCACCCACACGATATTTGCTAATATATTGGCAAGGGAACAATCCCAATGAGCACCCCTTCCGATTGATCAATGTACACAAGACTTATATTTATTCGTGTATAATACGCACTCGTGTGTTATGTGCATCCTTAATTACAGGCAATTTAATTCTGGAAAAATATATTTGTCGTATATAAACATTTCAGGCTGTCATTTAAACCATGACATTAACGATCTTTCAACTCTGTTTTTTTCCACCAAAATAATATTCTAATAAGAGTCCCCTATATCTAATTTTGAGAGCACCCTGAGCGCTTATTATTTGAAATGTTTCACTAGACTAGTCCTATGGCCTTGTTATATGTCAGCTTTGTTTGAGATACAATGTATTTCATTTGACATAAGATGATATAGCAATTTGTGTTCCAGCAGCACCTTTGATTTACATTCTCTCATGCAAAATGTCATGAAACAAAATGTTATGTTGTGAAAGCATTATTGTTATGCTTGTCAGATTTGATAATCAAAGCATGGTTACTATGGTCATGCTTACGATAAATTTTGATACATATTTCTTATTCTAATCAATGATAATTTTTTTCCAGTGTTGAGAGCATCTTTGATCTGTCAAAACTGAAGGATCTGTCAAAACAGGCAAGATTTGCTCGCTGTCGATCCCGCTTTGTGGTACCTGTCATTCTGTTTGAGGGAAAGGTGAGTCTAGTCCTTATCCTGGTGAGTCTAGTCCTTATCCTGGTGAGTCTAGTCCTTATCCTGGTGAGTCAAGTCCTTATCCTGGTGAGTCTAGCCCTTATCCTGGTGAGTCTAGTCCTTATCCTGGTGAGTCTAGTCCTCATCCTGGTGAGTCAAGTCCTTATCCTGGTCACAGTGGTGAGTCTAGTCCTTATCATGGTGAGTCTTGTCCTTATCCTGGTGAGTCTAGTCCTTATCCTGGTGAGTCTAGTCCTTATCCTGGTGAGTCTAGTCCTTATCCTGGTGAGTCTAGTCCTTATCCTGGTGAGTCTAGTCCTTATCCTGGTGAGTCTAGTCGTCCTGGGGACTTTTGTGACAGTCAACTACAATGGGCATCAATGACCACAGTGGGTGCAGGGGGCTTGTTACAATACACTCTGTCGTAACACGATACATATCTCGATAGCAAGGTCACAATATGATCCTGATTGAGCTTTACACACTCATCATTCTTGACTGAAGTGTAGAAGACATTGTGTAATGCATGTTTGTTTATGTCACAGCACATCTGTAGATCAGCTACACTCTCAAGCGGAGCGGAGATGTACGGCAGATCAGGATTTGACTTCTTTTTCTCAGGTTTGTACAAAGGTCACTCAGTTGAAAGTTTGTTTTGAGATCCCTAACACATATCATCGTCATGTCCAGGGCTTGCATTTCGGTAAACCTACACTAACTCCTGGATCTATTCCCGTGGTTCTTGAGATCTCAAACCCACCCTTGATTTTCATTAACATTTTACCGACCAATCAAACGCCGAGTTAAGGAAAAAGGAAATGGGACTTGCCACTGCCAGTTTTATTGGACATGAAACATCCGATCCATCAAAAAAGCCTTACACAATGCATGGCAACCATAGTGTCAATTTAACAAACCATAATGCTGAAATCACACATTGTTCAGCCTTAGAAGTTGTCTTTTCATGATTAGTTCAGAGGACCAGTGTAAATCTTATTTTACGATCGTACCAGTCCTCAGAGTTTGAAGCTCGTCCTGCTTGAATGAGACAAAATTGTTTACCATGTTTACACTTTCTGTCAGTTTTATTCAGTTCCAATTTGTAGCAGAATCGAAAGCATTGAGGACTGGTTCAGAATTACGGCTCTCAAATGCTGCTTAGTCAGTGGGGACTGCTATGATTGGATATTTTCTTGTCCTCAGCACAATTTCGTAGACTTGAACTAGCAGACTTGCATGAAGACAGAAGACTATCACTCTTCCTGTTAAGGAGGACATATGCTCCACGATCTTTTGTCAGTTTCAGTCTGGGTCATTGTCTTGTGGGCGGAACCCGTGAAGATCCGGGTTGCTTGCTTGCTGTAAAAGGCGATTATGCTTGTCATAGAAGGCGACTAACGGGATCAGGTGGTCAGGCTCGCTGACTTGGTTTGATGCATGTCATCGATCCCAATTGCGTTTATGGATGTTCATGCTGTCAATCACTGAATTGTCTGGTCCAGACTCGATTATTTACAGACCGCCGTCATATAGCTGGAATATTGCTGAGTGCGGCGTAAAACAACAAACCAACCAACCAACCATGTGCGGAGCTCATGATAAACTGTGTATACGTGTGTGTATCACAGTGACACTGTTGTTGGTTTATGCAATATGTTTCACACTTGGTGCAGCACACAAACAGCTACAAGTTAGAAGTCACCTGAAACAGCATTTACTGATAGTCAGAAATATTTAAAAATTGTCTCTTCATTTGCGTAAAAATACCAAGTAGACTGGACCCAAGGGAGTAAAAACATATTGAAGGGGTAGACACCATTTATTATATCCATTTAGTCCGCAGCTAAACTTTGAGAGAAAACACCCAATCTGTCTAGATTTTCACAAGTCTTGGACTGGCGGACTAGTGGCTGTGTCTTTATATTTTTGCAGGGGGTGAAAATTCTAGTCCTGGACCAAACTTCAGAAATTTCTGATCCATCAATAAATATATAACCAATGAATGTTTTGTTATTAATTGAATTTAATTTGAATACGATCTGGCCCATTAAAACACTAGGTCCCACGTGTAATGTGTCTATTCTTGGACCATGGGCCTGTGGAATTTTCAGCCTCTGTATTGAATACCAAAAGAAAACTGTGAATACCCAATATAAATGATAACTTATGAGTAAATTCTCCGTGGCACAAAAACCTTGAGCCCTGCCATGTGTGAGATATGAGGCATGGTCTCTGAGTGATGTGAGTTATCAGACAAGAAAAATGGTGCTTGAATGACTTGATTCAAATTTGCTTTGACTGCTAATTTTTCCAACCTTTGTCCCCCTTTAAACATGAATCAAAGAGAATGCTGTTGTTTCCTAAGTGTTTATGATATGACCAGAGCTGTTCTAACGATGTACGTTCCTGTTTCAGGAGGAGAGAGCTTCCCCGGGACCAATGGAGAAGAACCTGATGATCAGGGGTAGGGTTCATATTTTGGACATTTTGCTCAAGCACAAAACAATTTTTCATAGCCAGAACAGGGTTATAAGTGGTCTATGGCACTGGGCCTAGATTTTCGAAACGATCTTAGCTAAGATAAATCTTAACAACTTACGTTCAAAGATAAGATATCTTAAGGTTAAGATGATATATATTTTCGAAACTTTCGTAAACCTGTCGCAGATCGTCCAGAGTTAAGATACCTTTCGTAACTCTGACAGAGAACTCATTTGTGTTAGAGACTGAAAAAGCGGGGTGTTTCCCAATGACGTCACGGGGATTTCCCAGCTGCTGACAATAACAATAACATAGATAAGTGACATGGAATTCATGATCACATTGTCAGGTCACATTATTTAACATGCACATATTTGAGTGAAATTCTGTACAATCCTACATGTAGACGTTTTGTTCTTATGATTAAAGATACCATGACTACCCGAACACAAATAGCATTCGTGTGCCATGCAATAGCATTTTTCAAAACCAATAAATGTTATAATCAATAAGTGTAGTGTTACCACACTTTAACTATTAGAATTGAAATAATATGCCAAAAGATTCTTCATTATTTTCCCTTCAAATGGTCCTCTCGTGAGCGCGCAGAACTGTATGATATAAGCACATCGCGTACAAAGTCAATGACGAAAGTAAGGGACGTTATTCTAAATGACAATGACGAGACCTTTGATCGAACTGCATATGCGTTCAGCATTTAACATGCGTGTTCAAGTCTGATGTTAAGTGATGTATGCTGTATATTTTTGTGTTTATGTCAAAAGTCAAGTTTATTAGTGTAAACACCCAACATTATACGTGGAAACACTTAAAACAAAAATTGTTCAGGACGCAGCGCACCCACAAGCAAGTTTTTATAACAATCTAAGCTTGTTAAGTTTTGTTTTGTTACTTATGTATCCAATATATTTCACGAACTAACCAAGGATTTAAATACATTATCGAGCTATTAGTATTTAGATGATGAAATTATTTTTTTTATCTATCTAGATCCATAATTATTTTCAAAATTTGAAAGTGACACAAATTTTCATTCGCATAGAGAGATAATTTAGGAATTGTCAAGTTATGTTGTCTCATGGAACACGCCACAAGTTAACGTGAACATACATATAATGTAGTCATTTTATATCCTTTTAAATTAAGTAGAGCTAGTAAACTGATTTGTCTGATTTCTTTTAAAAAAATATATAAACTGTGAACTTAAAATTCAATTATTAAAACCGCCCCCCCAACACGATTATATATGTAAAAACTTATGCGAAACCTTTATGGTTTTTTTTACATATGTAGATTGATATAATTTTATAAAATGCCAAAATAAAGACTAAAGCATTGACACAAATGCGATCCAGAAAATATAACAGCGGAACTCTGCGCTTCATGAAAACTGTAACATTGAGCGAGTGTCCCGGGCGAATACAAAGGGAAACAACTCTCAACTAGAGTTTGAACTAAGATTAGCTCCCCCTGAGTTATCAATGATGTCACGGTCATTACTGTAGCCTGCCGACATCTTCCGTTGTTTTCCTTCCCTAATTATCGAAAAGGTATGTTGTTTCACACTTCTTCAGCATGGACTCGGATAGAAATATATTGTAAGCTATCGACTCCACAGTTATGTGGATCGTTGTCGCGATTGAGAACATTTTTGACGCGAAATCCTTGATGCGTTCTTTGTGTTTTCGAAGTGTCAATTTGAATCACTCAGTTTTACCAAATGAAATGTCAATGTTTGAACGTAAAGCAGACTAATTGTTTGGCAAAATATCTATGGAAAAGTATGCCGCCATCTTGGATGAAGATAAAATAAACTTACGACAGGTATGGGGCTATCTTAGATTTACGACAATCTTAAGATATCTTAGGGCTACGATAGTTTCGAAAATATGCTACGATAGCCTACGATTTCCTTATGATAACTTTACGATAATTTAAGGGCTAAGATCGTTTCGAAAATCTAGGCCCTGGAACCTGCGTCTCAAAATTGCTTCCCCTAGCTGTGCCAGGATACACTGCTTGTCGGTTCGAAGCACAGATTTGCCCCAATTATTATCCCTGCTTAGTCAGTACCATACTCATGGTCGACTATGGCACCAAAACGGTAAACATCTACAAATGGTTACTTGCATCACCTTGGGATCACACATTATCCTGACGTGCTGTGATATTCCCTAAATACTGCGACCTGTGAAGCTCAGGGTTAGTAATGATCTTCATCAACCCATGCTTGTCATAAGAGACAACTAACCGGTTTTGGTGGTCAGGCTCGCTGACTTGGTTGATGCATGTCATTGTATCCTGTGGATAGATGCTCATAATGTTAATCACTGTATTGTCTGGTCCAGACTCGATTATTTACAGTCTGCCGTCATTCAGCAGGAATATTGCTGAGTGCACTGTTAAACAAACAAACAAACAAACAAACAAACATACAAACATACAAACCTAAATACTGCACAAGAGGTATTTTATCCATATTAGCTACAATAATTTCACCTTCAACTTCATTCAGTTGAACAGTTTAACACCCAATCATCTGTGTGGGTGACATTTTGTTTCCTCTCAGCATGCTCAGTGAATAACAAAATATTGATCATCCTGAATTTAATGTAAGTAAATCCTGATTAGTCCCCCTTAATAGGCTCCCACTGTTAGATGTGTACTGTGTAAGAGATGGGAAGTTACAGGTGAATAATGGTCACATTTAAGAGGTTAAGAGGCTTGTCCCTCTGACCATGATAGACAACCAGTTGCTGCCACCAGTCACAGCTCCCCTCTCAGCCAGAACCCTGCATGGAGTAAACTCTCAACTGACTGACCGTTATGTTTACCAATAATTGACGACTGTCGTGACGCCAAATCCTCTTCCCTCATCTAAATTTTTTGGTTGTCAGTTTGAAATTATGTAAATAGTGTCGTGAGAATGTAAAGTTTGGTGCTTTTCCTTTTATTCTGCTATCTCAAACCAATCTGATAAACAAACTGTTGCGCAGTGGAATATAAACAATTACCGCATTCGTTGTAATAAGCGCCCAGGGTGCTCTCAAAATTAGAAATAGGGGGCTCTTATTAGAATATTATTTTGGTGGAAAAAACAGAGTTGAAAGATAAATTTCGTGGTTCATGCTGAGAGCCTGAAATGTTTATATACGACATATTTATTTTTCTAGAATTTAATTGCCTATAATTAAGTGTGCATATATCACACGAGTGCGTAATATATGCGAATAAATAAGTCTTGTGTACATTGATCAATCCGAAGGGGTACAAATTGGGATTGTTCACTAGTCAATATATTAGCAAATATCACCGTGGGCGGTTATTAGAGCGGGGCGCTTATTACGACAAATACGGTAACTGAAATGCAAATTTCCCTTACTGTGTTGTATGCAGGGAACGCAGCGTGAATCTCTTGATAAACTGATGAAGTAATTCAGATAATAAATGTAGGGAACTAAACGAATGAATGAGTTCTACCTACGTCTTACCTTGACGAGCTGTAAAACAAATCTTTCTGATGTACATACTATTGTGATGACATATCATGCCAATCTGACCTTAACTCAAGTGAGTCTGATTGGCCTTGTTTTGCATGTGTTTGGACAGCCAAGCCATATCATACTCTTGTGTTCTCCGCATAGCAAGTTGCGTTCCAGCTGTCTGTTCCAGCTATCTGTTCATGCTTAACATGTCTTCACAAACCACAAACTAACATAAATCTTGGAAGTCAGTTGTGTGTGTTTTCCCAATTTAAGATGCATTCCCACAGACATACACAAGACTATACACGTGACTACATCTAGGGTTTGAGAGAACAAAAGTTAAGATTTTCGTAATGTCCGCGTCTACACTGGTGGCAGCGATAAGGCAGGGAGGGTAACGAAGGCATCACTTGCAGGGATGGAGCTTGATGATAGAGGCCTTGATGTTTGAATATATACTACTCAAAAGAAGTTAAGGAACACCCGAACACAGCCTTCCAAATATGGGTGTTCTTCAACTTGTTTTGAGCAGTATGTAATGCACATTTTGGTTTTCCAAGACATGAATATTTATAGTTTGGATTGTTTTTGTTTCAACCATCACATGTTTTTTCTTTTCTCATGTTTTTGTTCAATATAGCAGTCTGCTATTTGCATATGATTTAAATATGTGATGCACATTTTGGTTTTCCAAGACATGAATATTTTTAGTTTGGATTGTTTTTGTTTCAACCGTCACATGTTTTTTCTTTTCTCATGTTTTTGTTCAATATAGCAGTCTGCTATTTGCATATGATTTAAATATGTTTAATTACTAATATGTAAATGAAGGTATTAGTTATTAATGTTTGGTTAGAAGTTCAACATGTATGTTGGCTTTTCAACCTGTGGAGAGGGTCAAACTAATTTGTTGTGTTTACCATGTTTACAGAAGTGGTCAGTTGTTTGACCGGTTCCGTGGTCAGGACAAGAAGTTGTTGAAGTGCCTGGACGTGGGCTACATCTGTGATCTCATGGTGGAGAAGAAGAAAGTGAAGTTTGGCATGAAGTGAGATCATGGTTTTTAATCTTTCTGTAGCAAATAGAAATAACCCATTGGATCCCGAATTGGTAGGGGTGTAGGAGGTGCACTCCCCTTTCTTCAGACACCTTACATGTCAGCCGATATCTGTCCCTCAATGCTTTGTTTGTTTGTTTGGTTTACGCCGCACTCAGCAATATTCCAGCTATATGACGGCGGTCTGTAAATAATCGATTGGACCAGACATCCAGTGATTGACATCATGAGCATCGATCCACGCAATTGGGATATGATGACATGCATCAACCAAGTCAGCGAGCCTGACCACCCGGTCCGTTATTCGCCTCTTACGACAAGCATAGTCGCGTTTTACGGCAAGCATGGGTTGCTGAAGACCTATTCTACCCCGGATCTTCACGGGTCCCCCTCAATGCATTATGGGGAGATGCTTATGAACCTTATGTCCTGCATTATATGCTTCCTCCTGTCTTCAGAATCCTGATGTGAATATAACGTGTATCATTCATTCCTAAGTTAACCAGAGTGGTGGCATAGCCTAGTGGTTAAAACCTTCTCTTGGCATGTCAAAACCCCTAGTTCCATTCCCCACATGGGTACAATGTGTGAAGCCCATTTCTGGTGTCCCCTGCTGTGGTATTGCTGGAGTATTGTTAAAAGAGGCGTCAAACTATACTCACTCCTCAGTGAACCAAGAAGAGATGGTTCAGATGGCTACACTCTAAACTCAAGACGCTTGTGTTTAAACCCATTTAGCCATTGTTAGCCATGTTGTCTGACTTTCAAATACATTTCTTATGTTCCCTTCTCTAACTGTTGGCATCACATTAGCGACCTACCAACCACAATTTTGTGTCTTGAATTAATGGCGCCATGCTTTGGATATTTATGATCTGGGAAGAATAACTCCAAGTACGTTTTCTGTCTTCATCGTCTTTGATGAATGTGAACAGTGAATAAATGCCTAACTGTAGTCTTTACTGATTCTGACCAAAGCATGCATTTGTACGATGTACCTGCAATATAATTAGGTGCGCAGTAAGATAGGTTTGTTGTCCACCGCTATACTTCAGGTGACATTTCTATAAACTAACATGGAGGGTACATCAAACCCTTGTCCCCCTGGAGACTGGTGGACAGCCTATTATGTAATCGCTGAATGCTATGTTAGAAGAAGGCTGCCTTACAGAAATGTCCAATTTTTGACCAAACAATGTTTTTTTTACATAACAAGAGCCGCTGGTTTTGAATCAATGGTGTAAGATCAATGGTTTAAGATCAGTGGCTTAAGATCAATGGTTTAAGATCAATGGTTTAAGATCAATGGTTTCAGATCAATGATTTAAGATCAATGGTTTTAGATCAATGGTTTAAGATCAATGGCAGTATGAATACCTGCAGTATCACAGTATTCTTGCAGTGATGTTTATTGAAGTTTCCTAAATACTCACTCCTCCTGCTGTGTTTCAGCATCACATCATCTGAGAAAGTGGACAAAGAAAACAGATATGCTGACTTCTGTATCCTCTCTGTCCCTTACCCAGGTCAGTGCTGAGACAGTGAGTGAGAGAGTGCTCTGTGTGGTGTGATATGTGTTGTCAATATGGTCTGTATGGTTAGTGTGGTGAATATGGTTTGTATGGTCTGTGTGGTTTGCATGATCTGAGTGGTCTGTGTGGTCGGTATGGTCTGTGTGGTTGGTATGGTCTGTGTGGTCGGATGGTCAGTGTGGTCGGTATGGTCTGTGTGGTTGGTATGGTCTGTGTGGTTGGTATGGTCTGTGTGGTCGGTATGGTCTGTGTGGTTGGTATGGTCTGTGTGGTTGGTATGGTCTGTGTGGTCGGTATGGTCTGTGTGGTTGGTATGGTCTGTGTGGTTGGTATGGTCTGTGTGGTTGGTATGGTCGGTATGGTCTGTGTGGTTTGCATGATCTGAGTGGTCTGTGTGGTCGGTATGGTCTGTGTGGTCGGTATGGTCTGTGTGGTTGGTATGGTCTGTGTGGTTGGTATGGTCTGTATGGTCTGTGTGGTCTGTGGTCTGTGTGGTTGGTATGGTCTGTGTGGTCGGTATGGTCTGTGTGGTCGGTATGGTCTGTGTGGTATGTATGGTCTGTGTGGTTGGTATGGTCTGTGTGGTCTGTGTGGTCGGTATGGCCGGTATGGTCGGTATGGTCTGTGTGGCCTGTTTGGTATGTATGGTCTGTGTGGTCGGTATGGTCTGTGTGGTCGGTATGGTCAGTGTGGTCTGTATGGTCTGTGTGGTCGGTATGGTCTGTGTGGTCTGTATGGTCTGTGTGGTCGGTATGGCCGGTATGGTCGGTATGGTCTGTGTGGCCTGTTTGGTATGTATGGTCTGTGTGGTCGGTATGGTCTGTGTGGTCTGTATAGTCTGTGTGGTCGGATGGTCAGTGTGGTCTGATGGTCTGTGTGGTCGGTATGGTCTGTGTGGTTGGTATGGTCTGTATGGTCTGTGTGGTCTGTGGTCTGTGTGGTTGGTATGGTCTGTGTGGTCGGTATGGTCTGTGTGGTCTGTATGGTCTGTGTGGTCGGTATGGCCGGTATGGTCGGTATGGTCTGTGTGGTCTGTGTGGTCTGTATGGTCTGTGTGGTCGGTATGGTCTGTGTGGTCGGTATGGTCTGTGTGGTCTGTATGGTCTGTGTGGTCGGTATGGCCGGTATGGTCGGTATGGTCTGTGTGGCCTGTTTGGTATGTATGGTCTGTGTGGTCGGTATGGTCTGTGTGGTCTGTATAGTCTGTGTGGTCGGATGGTCAGTGTGGTCTGATGGTCTGTGTGGTCGGTATGGTCTGTGTGGTCGGTATGGCCTGTGTGGTCTGTGTGGTCTGTGTGGTTGGTATGGTCTGTGTGGTCGGTATGGTCTGTGTGGTTGGTATGGTCAGTGTGGTCGGTATGGTCTGTGTGGTCGGTATGGTCTGTGTGGTTGGTATGGTCAGTGTGGTCTGTATGGTCTGTTTGGTTGGTATGGTCTGTGTGGTTGGTATGATCTGTGTGGTCGGTATGGTCTGTATGGTCTGTATGGTCTGTGTGGTTGGTATGGTCAGTGTGGTCTGTATGGTCTGTTTGGTTGGTATGGTCTGTGTGGTTGGTATGATCTGTGTGGTCGGTATGGTCTGTATGGTCTGTATGGTCTGTGTGGTCTGTATGGTCAGTGTGGTCGGTATGGTCTGTGTAGTTGGTATGGTCTGTGTGGTCGGTATGGTCTGTGTGGTCTGTGTGGTCGGTATGGTCTGTGTGGTTGGTATGGTCTGTGTGGTCGGTTGGTCTGTGTGGTCTGTGTGGTCTGTATGGTCTGTATGATCTGTGTGGTCGGTATGGTCTGTGTGGTTGGTATGGTCTATGTGGTCTGTGTGGTATGTATGATCTGTGTGGTCTGTATGGTCTGTGTGGTCTATGATCTGTGTGGCCTATGATCTCTGTGGTCTGTATGGTCTCTGTGGTCGGTATCGTCTGTGTGGTCGGTATCGTCTGTGTGGTCGTTATGGTCTGTGTGGTCTGTGTGGTCGGTATGGTCTGTGTGGTCTGTATGGTCTGTGTGGTCTGTATGGTCTGTGTGGTCTGTATGGTCTGTGTGGTCAGTATGGTCTGTATGGTCGGTATGGTCTGTGTGGTCTGTATGGTCTGTGTGGTCTGTATGGTCTGTGTGGTCAGTGTGGTCTATGATCTGTGTGGCCTATGATCTGTGTGGTCTGTGTGGTCGGTATGGTCTGTGTGGTCGGTATGGTCTGTGTGGTCGGTATGGTCTGTGTGGTCTGTATGGTCTGTATGGTCCGTATGGTCAGTGTGGTCTGTATGGTCTGTGTGGTCGGTATGGTCTGTGTGGTCGGTATGGTCTGTGTGGTCGGTATGGTCTGTGTGGTCGGTATGGTCAGTGTGGTCAATATGGTCTGTGTGGTCGGTATGGTCAGTGTGGTCTGTATGGTCTGTGTGGTCGGTATGGTCTGTGTAGTCAATATGGTCTGTGTGGTCTGTATGGTCTGTGTGGTCGGTATGGTCTGTGTGGTCAGTATGGTCTGTGTGGTCGATATGGTCTGTGTGGTCTGTGTGGTCTGTATGGTCTGTGGTCTGTGTGGTCGGTATGGTCTGTGTGGTCGGTATGGTCTGTGTTGTCGGTATGGTCTGTGTGGTCGGTATGGTCTGTGTGGTCTGTATGGTCTGTGTGGTCTGTGGTCGGTATGGTCTGTGTGGTTGGTATGGTCAGTGTGGTCTGTATGGTCTGTGTGGTCGGTATGGTCTGTGTAGTCAATATGGTCTGTGTGGTCTGTATGGTCTGTGTGGTCGGTATGGTCTGTGTGGTCAGTATGGTCTGTGTGGTCGATATGGTCTGTGTGGTCTGTATGGTCTGTGGTCTGTGTGGTCGGTATGGTCTGTGTGGTCGGTATGGTCTGTGTTGTCGGTATGGTCTGTGTGGTCGGTATGGTCTGTGTGGTCTGTATGGTCTGTGTGTTCTGTGGTCGGTATGGTCTGTGTGGTTGGTATGGTCAGTGTGGTCGGTATGGTCTGTGTGGTCGGTATGGTCAGTGTGGTCTGTGTGGTCTGTGTGGTCGATATGGTCTGTGTGGTCGGTATGGTCTGTGTGGTCTGTATGGTCTGTGTGGTCAGTGTGGTCTATGATCTGTGTGGCCTATGATCTCTGTGGTCTGTATGGTCTGTGTGGTATGTGTGATCTGTAGGGTCGGTTTGATCTGTAGGGTCTGTAACTGAATTGATGAGTAGCATTGAACTACAAATGTGTGGACTTGAATTCTTAACAGTGTTTTTAGTACACCAGTTGAGCAGTGAAATCTGACAGTGAAATAGTAGGAATGTCCCAATAAATATGTTTGAAATCTGAGTATTGCAATAGCATTGTGATAGTTGCCTAAAAGGCCCTCCCTTCCCTGGGGAGACTCGAGTTCTGTGTGGGTCTCGCCGCGTGACTAGACATGATGGATAGTGTGTTTCTTCCCACAGGCTGTGAGTTTTTCAAAGAGTGGAAGGAGAAGTCGAGTGCCGGCCAGACTATTTGGTATGACTGGAGTCAGGTAAACAGTTGCCTTATATTGTAGAGAACCTTCAACATTCACTCTAGTCTGCTAGCCTCGTATTACTGAATTATGCTGAGGACAAATACAAATCCAGTGATGCTAGTCCTAATGGATTTGAGGGCTGTAATTCTGAACCTGTTCTCAATGCTTCAGTTTTGCTTCAAATTGATCCTGAATGCAACTTAAAAATTGCAGACTTGCAATAACAACAGACAAACCCAACAAAACAAAGTCAGAATATCCATTTAGGACAATTGATAACTTTTGATTTTCAGGGTTTCAATGATGCTGCTCTTGACATCCCGTCTACGCCATTACTGTCTCAGCTACCATTTGACTGGTCCAAGTACAGGGTGAGTAGTGCTTCAAGTCAAGGGAGGTCAAACAAATGTAGATACAATGTCTCCTGCTCTGTTCATTTTGAGATTTTTTGGGAACAGTGGGTTAATTACTTGTACAGTTGTTTAGTTACTTCGAAGTTTAGAATTAGTATCCTTCCTCGTAGCATATCGACCATTCCATTGTTTACATTGTATTCCCATCTACATCTCACTGTCAATATGAAACCGTATGGTGTTTATATGGATGGCATTGTCTAGAAGTCTATATTCTTACAAGGAACATGTCTAAAGCAATAATGATATTCTTTGGGCTGGTGAAAATTCATTATTTAAGATGATTTTGCTGATCACCATTTCGTACGTTCTAGACTGTTTGTTGTTTTACACCGCAGTGAGCAAAATTTCAGCAATATGACGGTGGTCTGTAACTAATCGAGTCTGGACCAGACAATCCAGTGATTGACATCATGATCATTGATTCAAGCAAATGGGATATGATGACATGCATCAATCAAGTCAGCAAGCCTGACCACTCGATCCTCGTTAGTCGCCTCTTACGACAAGCATAGTCGCTTTTTACGTCAAACATGACGTTCTGTTCTGGACTGAGAGAATTTAATTAGGCTCAGACCAATGACTGGCATATTAAATCTAGCAGCTAAGAGGATTTTTTGTGCAGTAGCCAGTTTTTTTAATGATATCATGAATGTAAAATAGAGTACGTTAGTATATTACCAATGCTAATGACAAACTTGTTTTCAGAATAATTTTCTGACAAATGGTGATATTATTAGCTAACCTTGCTTTACTGTGAGTGAATGGTATGTTTCAGTTCCAGTTGTGAAATACGAAATGTTCACTTTTTCTTGGTTCTCACAGTGATACACCAAGTGTATAAATGTGTTATGAGACGAAGTGTTCCTTATATGGTGAAACATGTGTAATTCTCTTCTACAGCATTGGGATTTGGTCCAGTTGACCCAGAACTACCTGAAATTACTGCTTCATATAATAAGAGAGGGTATGTATGTCACACTTAACATGCATCGTATTCATATTCTCTGTATGTATCCTGGAGCATCCTCATTCTGTCACTCACTCTATGTAGTCTGAATTGCAGTGTGGAATATACATACTATACCAAATAATAAGAATTATAAACATACACTCACTTTTTGTCAGTTGGGCATTTTCCTCTGTAGACGGCATCCGTGGCGTAGTTGGCAGAGTTTGCCCGGAGAGCGATTTTTGTGGTTTGATCCTCTGGCCGTGTCATGTCAAAAGACATTAAAATATGATTCTTGTTGTTACCCTGCCTGGTGCTTGGCATTAGGGGGATAAAATAAGGACTGGTCAGCTTGGACTTACATCCCTATTTTCGTGGGTTCAAATCCAGATTTGCTCTGGTAGTATTTGTCTAGGTTGTCAGAACTATACACCTGCTCGTGGGTTTCAACAATGTGGCAAATGTCGAAGACCTGCCTCATTTCAAACTTTACTCCTACATCAAGCTTACACACAGTCATATAACTGAAATACTTTTGCGAGCGCCGTAAAACCCAACTCATTCACTCTCTCATAAAATTTGAACAAGCTGAAACAAGCGGTTTATCATGACTTGTGTCAAACTATTCCTTGTGCATCTTCCCGAGGCAAGAGAGTGAACTGACTTTTAAAGTCCAGTTTCCACCCTTGCCGAACTAGGCTGGAATTCCTGGGCTCAATCGTAGCGCCACCAGTGGCTATTACGAGTTATGTCCTTTCTATGCCTCTCCTATTGACCAATCAGATTCCACCCCTCGTATCACTTGCATTTGCTTCGAACAAAATGGTGGCGCCCAGTCAAGACGATCTGATCAATAATCATGATCTGTATTGTGATAAAACGAGTCTTACATCGCGAAGTGCATCAAATCACGTTAGCACCTTGATGAAAAACATGAAAAGATTTAGAAAATATCTGTTGACAACGAGTTAGCGGTGCACATGCTTTTCAAATCCTGCAGTCGACCGAAATCTGCATGACACTTTACGAACCGGATTTCGATTTTGGTGCGCGATTTTGATTGGACTATGTATAGACTCGTTAGTCCAGCCAAAATGTAACTCTATAATACCAGCCTAGTTCGGCAAGGGTGGAAACTGGACTTTAATAACAGTCAGTTAACTCTCTTGACTTGGGAAGATGTTCCTCGTGTGGCTGTGATATGACCGTGGTATGACCCTATTCACACCCTCTGACTGTGTTCTTCAGGAGATTCTGGCCTGCTAGTCCACTGTATCTCCGGGTGGGACAGAACACCTCTCTTTGTCTCGCTGCTCCGTCTTTCACTGTGGGCTGATGGCTCCATCCACAAGTCCCTCAGTCCTGTGGAGATACTCTATCTCACTCTAGGCTACGACTGGTATCTGTTTGGGTGAGTACCTTTGCAAATTATTTTGACCGTGCACTGAGCATGTTGATTTTCAGGTGAAACATGTGATTTCTGTAAAACAGATGTAAAAGTTTTATTTGTAGCTGATGTAGAAATGGTAGAATTCATACCTTGATAAAAAAACAAAACAACCAACACATGAACATGTTAGTTTCAGTGAAATATTTCCTGCAGGTGCTTTTGTATTTGGTATGTTCCACAAAGATTTTACGTGGTCCTGTGCATAGTGTTCAGGTCACAAGATAAGATGGTGGAGAGAAGGTGGCTGACTCTGTATTGGCAATGAATGGGTAGCTGGTGAGGTGAATTAGTAAAGTAAAAGCAAAACCTTCTCGTGCTTAACAAGCACTTGGGTTGTATACTCCCCATGGAGCTGAGAATGTAGCTACAATGCACACTGAGCCATTGACTTGTAATAATTGTCTAGTGCAGTAAGCCTGCTTTAGGTCATGGATATGGCACTACATATATATGCATTTGTTATTATTATTGTTATATCATCATCATCATCATCATCATCATCATCATCATCATCATCATCATTGTTATTGTTATATTAAACTTTTTTTGTTTCAGTCACAATTTAAGTGATAGGCTTAGCAAAGGAGAAGAGGTGAGTGGTTGCACAGCATCCCATTGATGTGAATACATGTACTTGACTCAAGTGGGCACATGATGGTATCAGAACCATACAACCAGGGTCCATATACTAGGGCTGGGACGAGTCCAGATTTACTACCTTGGTACCCAACACCCTGTTACCCGACCCTACCCATTATAGGTCTCAAGAGTTGGGTACAAAATGTCCGAATGGGAATTGTTTCACTCGAGCCCTGGCAAAAACTATTTAGATACATGTTTAAAACGACCTGATCATGCATACATATCCTTACTTGGACATATAAAAGTCAGAACAAATGTTTGCATAGAAAGAAATGTGAACATTAGCTATACTTATAGAGTTACCATAGAGTTTTATTGTTAATGTCATTAAACAGTATATCACATGACTAAACTCGGGTCCAGGTAGTCGTGTGGGTACCCGGGTCCTACTCAAGACCCACCCGACCCGAGTACCCGAGTTACCTGTCCAAGCCCTACCAGATACTGCTTACAAATGATGGTCAGTGACCCTGGAAGCCTATGACACTGGAGACTGTTACAACCTTCAGAAGCTTTAGTCACTGCAACATCATCATAAATAGTCCTGATGTGCTACACTCCTTTTATGTCTACTGAGTTTGTTTGTACAAATATTAGATGGTAAGTTGGGGATTTATATACATATTTGGCCCCAAGTCTGAAGCAAATGTAGTTCTCAAATCAGAATGAATCCCAATTAATTAAACGGAATGTCCCAATTCACTTTGATATATAATTTGTATTTCTCTGATAACAGGACCAATAAAGAGGGAGAGGTTTTAATGATTAGGTTTATAATACCCAAATGTTAAACCAAATAATATTTCCCCACCAATTTTCATGCCATGGACTCCTAGTTTAGAATCCTTGATAAATCCTGGTATGTGCTATTTCAACTTTTATACTTGTCAGTGAAATGTGAAATATTTCATACATAGTCATTAGAAATAGTTTTATGTCAGAGTTATCAGTATGACCTATCTGAGCTGGAGTTGCTTCCTTCTACGAGTACAGAAACATAAATACTTTCCAAACAATGTCAAATGTCCCTTGAGTGTATATCTGAATAAGGGGAGACAACTGTGCCCTTCTTAAGAAATATTTTGATTATCTGTTACTAAAAATAGATTATTGCGTTATTGACAGCTATGTATAACTACTGTGACACACACATGTGTGCCATGCAGATTGACACTGTGTTCACCGAGGTTTTTACCTTTTATACATCCATAAATGCAAAAAGATATTGAAGGCATATCTTAAATAGTCCAAACTTCTAGCGTTCTTGAGTTGACATACTGAAGATTGTCCAGTGATCGTTATTTAGACTAGGTCTATTTTCCCAACACGAGAAGCTATGACTGGCATGATATAAGGTTAAAATTGTAATAGTCTTGGTTCTGAGGCACCGCCTGCATCATCATAAAAACTGCTGCACTTTTCGTTTTTATTTCCATTTCCCCCCAAAATAAAAAAATCCTAATATTGAAAAACAATGTGGTCCACTATAGCATGCAGTTAATTCCCTTTACATGCCCACCGTTTTACTGCGCATCTTGTGTTATGGTCATGGTGGCAATAGGAGTTTGTATGTTTCTTTTTGTAGGGAGGCCCTTTCCTAGGTAGATGGTACACAACTGTTTATTTGGTTACATACCAGTATGAACAAGCAAAAAAGCAAAAAAAACCACCACCTGCCTGCACTATATTTTCAAAAGTCATTGCCTGAGAACCAATTCTCTATTTTTTTAAGCCTAACATGCCGACAGTGATATTTTGTTTTACATTTCAGATTTTATTTTTCTGCTTTAACTTCCTTCATTATATAACCTCAGAAGAGTTCTCAGTAAAAACAAAGTGAGTACTATTTCATTCTAACATCGATTAAAAATTCTGAAATCGATATTTGTGAATGTAAATTATTATTTTGTAAAATACAGGAGTTTTCTCTTGACGCAGTCCAAGTGCCAGTAACTCGGGATGAGGATGGTTCATATGGTCTGCTACAACATTCAACAATATATTCTAAATAGATTCACGTTAAGCTTTGGCAGAAACTTCACATATCATCTCCACACACATAATTATGATGGATATCAAGACAGGTCAATCTAGTTTGTGTTTTACAAATTTATTTGGTCGATATGTCAAGATTAAGTGAATAGTTTAATCTAATCTGAAGACATTATCATGTTTAACCTGTTCTCTGTGTTCTTCTTCAGACGTGGAAGCCAGCGGCGCCACTCGGGGTATGCGGGAGAAGGAAGACGAGCATGTCGTGTGGACTCAGAGTCCATCATTCCCCCTGGTGGGGTGCTGCTAGGTACACACTGTCATTCCTCTATCTCCCAGACACAGCAATCTCCGTGTTGATGCCATGTTAGATTTGGTCTCCAGCATCCTATATTGGTTGTTAGAGGCCACATAATGGATCTGGTGGTCAGGTTGATTGGTTGGTTGGTTGGTTTGTTGTTTAACGCCGCACTCAGCAATATTCCAGCTAAATGACGGCGGTCTGTAAATAACCAAGTCTGGACCAGACAATCCAGTGATTAATATCATGAGCATTGATCCATGCAATTGGGATCGATGACATGAATCAACCAAGTCAGCGAGCCTGACCATCGATCCTGTTAGTCGCCTTTTACGACAAGCATAGTCACCTTTTACGGCAAGCATGGGTTGCTGAAGACCTATTCTACCCCGGAATCTTCACGGGTCTCTGGTGGTCAGATAGACTTGATAGATACTATGTCATCGTGACCCAACAGTAGTGGTGGGATGGTACACCGATGCATCGGTGGATTGCGATTTTTTATTTTATCAATACATCGATCACAGTCGCACACTAAGTAAAAAGAATTGATTCTTACCTTAAATGTTTTCTTGAATAAGTGTTACACCAAACACTAATTACTAGTGAAAATGAGCAGTTAAAACATAAATATTTTCATCTATTGCACCATACCTGACACTGCCAACTGTAAATCATTAGTGTGCCAGTAACTTGGCAATCCCGTCTATGAAAAAGATAGCTTAAGCACCACAGATAAGTGCACATGCAAGTATCACGATACGTATCGGATCGCACAGTTGGTGTATCGTCCCAGCCCTACCCAACGGTGATTATCATTGCTTAAAATATCATCATTGGATTGTCTGGTCCAGACTTGATTATTAACAGGCCTCCATCATATAGTTGGAATATTGTTGTTTGTGGAATGTTGTAATTAGCAAATATTTTCTATGCAAAACAATGGATAACTTGCTTTTTGATTTTGATTTCTTCATTCAAGTTCGATTCTGGAACAAAATTATCAAGAAAAAATCAAAAATTCACTGTTATCCTTCCACATCACCATACTCACTCACTCACTCACTCACTCACTCACTCACTCACTCACTCACTCACTCACTCACTCACTCACTCACTCACTCACTCACTCACTCACTCACACGTCTTTGACCTCATCAATGCAGAGTCTAATTTTCATCCCCAAGTCTGCAGTAAATGTCAGTAAAAAGTCCTTAATGTGTTAAAGTTATTATAACTAATATTACAGCTTTGTACGTGTGACTTGAAATTTGCTGATGACAGTAGCTTTAATGCTTAAGTTTAGATTATTTTAAATGTTAAAACTACATCGTCAAATACGATTGAAGTTAAGAATATAAGAACTTAAAAATATCACCAAAAAATCCCAGTATTGAACAAAGTAATGATTTGTTCCCACTTTGCCTGCAAGGGCACTTAGCTTGGAATCCCAGATAAATCCCTGCTGTGATAATCTAGAACCCCAATGTCTGTCCCCTCACGCAGGTCCAGAGCCGTCCCGCCCCAGTCCCCGGGGTAGCAACACCAGCATGAGCAGCGTGGGGAGCTCGGAGACAGGGCCGGTCTTCTTCACTGTTGGGAGCCAGGATGATGAGGCTGTGGTTTTGCATGAGTAAGTATAAATTTGGCTTTACATGGACAACTAATGTTTGCAAACATGCCTTTACAAAAGTTTTGAAAGTTTCGAATGTGTGTTTTCACATGATTAATGAATGTTGTATTACCGAGAGCAAACTCATTTTCACCAGGTAAGTTGGGTTGAGGGATAGACTGGATAATACATTTGCTCGTCACGGCGAAGACCCAGGAATGTTCCCAATCTGTGATATTGCTTGAATACTGCCAAAAGTGTTAAACTCACTCACTCACTCACTCTCTCTCTCTCACTCACTCACTCACTCACTCACTCACTCACTCACTCACTCACTCACTCACTCTGGAGTATAACAGTGTAACACATGCTCACTCACACACCCATAATATTTCATTTAAAAGGACCGCCTCCGTGGTCTAGTGGTAGAGCGTCTGCCCGGAGAGCGGAAGGTCCGGGTTTCGATCCCTGACAGCGTCATACCAAAAGACGTTAAAAGATGGTACTTGTTGTTACCCTGTCTGGCGCTCGGCATTAAGGGGCTAAAACAAGGACTGGTCGGCTCGGAGTATACTGTGTCTGAGTGGGGTATTCATATTAAACTGCGGCATGGTATCTCAGTGAGTTAGCACTATAAATCGGCATCAGTCTTGACTAGTACAAGCAGCCACACAAACACACACACGTACATGCACGTCGCTATATAAGTGCAATAATCTTGGACGCGACGTTAAACCCCATTTCACCTCACCTCACCTCATTTAAAAGCTCTGAAATATTTCTGTTTGAAAAGCAAAACTTGTTTTGAGTCAGTATCACTTATAAAAGTTATTAAAGTTCATATTGCTGTAACTATGGTAGCAATGATTCCACCATCTGTTGCAGCCACTCCATGTTCAGCGTGGCTTCCCTGAGTAAACACTCCCCGAGCTCCAAGAGCAGCCTCTCATCAGACAGTTCCCACTCACGATCGTCCCCCCTCCAGACAACTTCCAGTCCGATGGCCGTCCCGTGCAGACGCAGACTTGCAGATGGAGCCAGGTCAAACTCGCCAGGTCTAGGAAGGTTAGTAACCATGGTAACACCAACATGATGACACCTGCACACTTCAAGAAGAGGCTGTCGTAGGATGGGCCACAAAGTAGTCAAAAACCTTTTACTGAACTTCCCTCAACTTTCCCAAATTTATTTTCTGTAGATTAATGTGTTAATATGTAGACTGAATTTCTTAGCAGTGCTTACTAGACTCAAGCTTGGACCTCGTAGTAATGTTGCTGAATGTTATGACATCCTTGTGAAAAATATTGTGTCTAATTAGGAGTTAGTGCAGTTATAGTTGGTTTGTTGTTTAATGCTGCACTCAGCAATATTCCAGCTGTATGATGGCAGTCTGTAAATAATCGAGTCTGGACCAGACAATCCAGTGACTGACATCATGAGCATCGATCCACGCTATTGGGATCGATGACATGCATCAACCAAGTCAGCGAGTCAGACCACCTGATCCCGTTAGTAGCCTCTTACGAAAAGCATAGTAGCCTTTTACAGCAAGCATGGGTTGCTGAAGACCTTTTCTACCCCGGATCTTCATGGGTCATTGTGGTTAAAACATTGTGAATATTATGAATGTTTTGTTTACTTGAATTTATCCTCCATTAGCTTGTGCCAATGTCATCATTCACTACATAGTAACAGGTGGACCAGTTGATTTTGACAGACGTACAGTTTCAAATCTTCGGCACATTGAAATCAGTAGGAAAAATGCACTTGGCATTGTATTAGTGCACTAGTGTTGAAGGTTGCCGAGCGCTGGTAGAATAATAGACTGTAAGGGTATGTCCTTATGTGTATTCACTATTATGGCTAGTAAATATTTGAGGTTACTTTGGCTGAAGGGGTCGTTGTTGAGCCAGGTTTTACAGAAATGTACCCTAGCCAAATTCAAAATACAGAAATGTATCCTAGGATGAGTCCAATCCGCCGCATGGCGCAATGCGTGTTACCGGTTCTATAGGTATTAGCGGCTTCCTGTATGCCAAACTGCGGTTAAATTCAACATGTCAGTACTATCATACTGTTGTATGAGATGCATTCCAGAATATCATATTGAAACAATCATTCACTGTGATGTTAGTACATTAATCTAATATTCTGGCAATATTCCGTTATGCACACATGCAGTCGTAATCAGGCAGACCGGAACTACATCATGAACCTGTTTTTGTTTTGGGTTTGGAAATACGGACTCGTCCCCCATTTAGGGTACCAAGTACGTTTCTGTATTCTATGTACCTGGGGTACATATCTGTAGTACCTGTGCCAACAACGACCCCTTCGGCGTTACTTTGCATCCCTGAATTACCAGGAGGTGGTATTTTGTGTTGTTCAAACTTAAACTCAGCTATTGAGTAAGAGTAAGAAGTGATTAAACACTGTTTCAGCAGCTTATCTGTTGTAATGGCTTTACAAACTTGGCTCACAGACGATGCTGAAGAAGCAACAACAGATCACTTGGAAGAGAAAATATGTTAAAGGTGTCGTGCATTTTATGATTGTGCACACCCTTTGTGTAGTGGTACGACCTCAGATCAAACTATCGGTATTGTGTGTTTAAGACTGAAAAAAGCCGCACATTGTCCATGTTATGTTTGTCCGTCTCGCCCTAAACAGTAACCATGGTAACTCCAGTTCCCTGAAAGTATCCTGACTCCTGCATCCTGCATAGTGAAAGTATCCTGCCATGTGTGTCTGGAACGTGTGTGCTTCATCCTGCACAGTGGAAGTATCCTGCCATGTGTGTCTGGGACGTTTGCGCTTCATCCTGTACAGTGAAAGTATCCTGCCATGTGTGTCTGGGACGTGTGTGCTTCATCCTGCACAGTGAAAGTATGCTGCCATGTGTGTCTGGGACGTGTGTGCTTCATCCTGCACAGTGAAAGTATCCTGCCATGTGTGTCTGGGACGTGTGTGCTTCATCCTGCACAGTGAAAGTATCCTGCCATGTGTGTCTGGGACGTGTGTGCTTCATCCTGCACAGTGAAAGTATCCTGCCATGTGTGTCTGGGACGTGTGTGCTTCATCCCACACAGTGAAAGTATCCTGCCATGTGTGTCTGGGACGTGTGTGCTTCATCCTGCACAGTGAAAGTATGCTGCCATGTGTGTCTGGGACGTGTGTGCTTCATCCTGCACAGTGAAAGTATCCTGCCATGTGTGTCTGGGACGTGTGTGCTTCATCCTGCACAGTGAAAGTATCCTGCCATGTGTGTCTGGGACGTGTGTGCTTCATCCTGCACAGTGAAAGTATCCTGCCATGTGTGTCTGGGACGTGTGTGCTTCATCCCACACAGTGAAAGTATCCTGCCATGTGTGTCTGGGACGTGTGCGCTTCATCATGTACAGTGAAAGTATCCTGCCATGTGTGTCTGGGACGTGTGTGCTTCATCCTGTACAGTGAAAGTATCCTGCCATGTGTGTCTGGGACGTGTGCGCTTCATCCTGCACAGTGAAAGTATCGTGCCATGTGTGTCTGGGACGTGTGTGTTTCATCCTGCACAGTGAAAGTATCCTGCCATGTGTGTCTCGGACGTGTGCGCTTCATCCTGTACAGTGAAAGTATCCTACCATGTGTGTCTGGGACCTGTGTGCTTCATCCAGCACAGTGAAAGTATCCTACCATGTGTGTCTGGGACGTGTGTGCTTCATCCTGCACAGTGAAAGTATCGTGCCATGTGTGTCTGGGACGTGTGTGTTTCATCCTGCACAGTGAAAGTATCCTGCCATGTGTATCTCGGACGTGTGCGCTTCATCCTGTACAGTGAAAGTATCCTACCATGTGTGTCTGGGACCTGTGTGCTTCATCCTGTACAGTGAAAGTATCCTACCATGTGTGTCTGGGACGTGTGTGCTTCATCCTGCACAGTGAAAGTATCCTGCCATGTGTGTCTGGGACATGTGCGCTTCATCCTGTACAGTGAAAGTATCCTGCCATGTGTGTCTGGGACGTGAGTGCTTCATCCTGTACAGTGAAACTCTTCTTGTTATCCAGACTGTAGAACACCCATGGAGCCTGTCCAAATGTTTCTTCTGGATAAATAAGGCATGTTTATGGAGTGCTCTCATTCTGTATCCATCTCTGCATTTCCAGCATCATGACCTTGATGACTCGACTTGAGTGTTTGAGCCTTTGCGTACTTACCCAACATGCTCATGGTATCAGTCACGTTGGGTATTGATAGTTTTTTTTGGGCATTGAATATCTTTTTACTCCCTTGCGGGACGTAACACCTTGGTTATGCCTCACTCATTGCAGTAGAGTTCATATATGTGTGATGATATCAGTAAATGTAGATCGGGAAATACTAGGTACGCAAGTTGAAAAGGAAACGAGTGTTGTCATACCATTGTGTTTTTAAAACTGTCATGTATATTTATACACAAGAAACTGAAAATTAATTGGGTAATGATGATATATTTTGTGTCTCAGTGTCGTACCCATGTTTGTGGGTAATAATGATATATTTTTTTTGTCTTAGCGGCATACCCGTGTTTGTGGGTAATAATGATATATTTTGTGTCTCAGCGTCGTACCCATGTTCAAGGGTAATAATGATATATTTTGCGCTCAGCGTCATACCCATGTTTGTGGGTAATAATGATATATTTTGTGTCTTAGCGTCATACCTGTGTTTGTGGGTAATATTGATATATTTTGTGTCTCAGCGTCATACCCGTGTTCGAGGGTAATAATGATATATTTTGTGTCTCAGCGTCATACCCATGTTTGTGGGTAATAATGATATATTTTGTGTCTCAGCATCATACCCATGTTCAAGGGTAATAATGATATATTTTGTGTCTCAGCGTCATACCCATGTTTGTGGGTAATAATGATATATTTTGTGTCTTAGCGTCATACCTGTGTTTGTGGGTAATAATGATATATTTTGTGTCTCAGCGTCATACCCATGTTTGTGGGTAATAATGATATATTTTGTGTCTTAGCGTCATACCTGTGTTTGTGGGTAATAATGATATATTTTGTGTCTCAGCGTCATACCCATGTTTGTGGGTAATAATGATATATTTTGTGTCTTAGCGTCATACCTGTGTTTGTGGGTAATAATGATATATTTTGTATCTCAGTGTCATACCCGTGTTCGAGGGTAATAATGATATATTTTGTGTCTCAGCGTCGTACCCGTGTTCGAGGGTAATAATGATATATTTTGTGTCTCAGCGTCGTACCCATGTTTGTGGGTTTCATAAAAGGGGTAAATGTCTTTGATGAACATCACTTTGAATTTCCTCCAATATGAGCAAGTGAGTTGGGTTTAACCCTGCTTTGTCCAGTATTCCAGTGATATCACAGAGTGTTAGCTTAATGTGGCAGGAAAGCCCCAAGTGGTCTCAGATGCTTACCACTTTGATGAAACCCACAAGCGTCCACAGGTATGGTGCTGACGAACCTAGAAACATATCTGGAGCAAACCAGAATTTCGAACCCATGATCATAGGCTTAGCAGATGTGGAACCAGGATTTTGAAAAAGGGAGTGCACATATTTCGACATGCAGTGACTTGGCTGAGGGCGCAGTTAGCGTATAAGGTGTCTGAAAAAAGGGGGGATAACCCCCTTCTGGATCTGCGAGTGCCAAGTGTTTCTTCTCTACAACACATCTGTCTGTACGGGCACTCAAGTGCATGGGATTTTCTTGATGCTAATTGCAGTGCTTGCTTTATGCTAAATCTAGGCATGCTCTATGCTAAATCCAGGCATGCTCTATGCTAAGCCTGTGCATGTTGTAGCTTTGTCCCGTGCATGCCCTTGCTCTACGCTACATGATGTGTATGCTGTATGCTGTGTTGTAGCTGGCAGATCATCAGCAGTACAGGGAGTCTGAGAGGCTGCCACGATTCCCCCCACGTCAGCAGCGGCGGCGGCAAGTCAAGCAGCAGCAGCAGCCACATCAGCTTCAGCTCGTATGTCCTCCTCTCCTCCTCCACCTCCTCACGCGTATCTCTACACGCAATAACACACTCTGTCCTCATCAAGTTCTTGCTTGTGATTATATACCTTGTATTTGACCTTATTAGACTAATTGCTTATCTCATCTCATTCCAAAAGGTAGTGGAAACTTCCTGTGCTGTGTTCCTGGAGAACAGAGAAACATCTCACCCAAATGCACCCCTGATCAGCGCCGGGATACCAGAACCACATGACCAAGACCGATAATTCTTCACTGTCTCATTTTCAAGCTATCTGTATATTTGAGAAAAAATTTCTGTGCTTCATAATCCAAGCTATCTGTTCAAAATTAACCTTTTTCAATAATTATTTTTCAACTATTTTATGCATCATACCTAATGATTACCTTTATATTTTGGCTTAAATTTTTATCATATTTTGGCCTTTAAACAGCCTTCTGTTTCATAATGAAAACTTATAATATATGCAAAATATGTGTTCACATTTGGACCCTCACCCTATCTGCTCCACCGTCATTACTCAACACTGCACTGCGGAGAGTACTGGTAGATGCAGTTGCTGTGCCCCTTCAGGGGAAGAAGAATTGGTTAAATATATCTTCATAGTGCAGAGGAAGAAGATGGATTGAAAAAGACGAGAGTCTTCACACTCTACATCTTCACTGGAGGCGGCGTTAATGAAGAAAAAGACTACAGTGGATTGAGAATCCACACTCTGCCTCTTCAGAGGAAGGAAGAGATTTGACATACTGGTAGAGGAAGTTCATCTTGAACTTACTCCTCATGAGGCCATTCCAGTCACCCTTCCCCCACTTCCTCTACTAGCAGCAAAAATTCCAAATAATTGAGATCTAAAGAGAAAGTCTCTAGGCAACGTATAAGTCTTCAGGATTTTGCAGTGAAGAAGAGCTCTTCTTCTGCTCCTTCAAAGCTGTCTCCCCGTGTAAGAGAGTATTTCTACATTGAGGTTATTACCTCCACAAAGCCACTACCTTCATCATCGTTCGCAAAGGGGTTCTTCTGCAACTTCTGCAACTCTGAAGCAGAAAATACCTACGTGCAGCCGTCTACTTCTGCACAACTCCAGACGTTTGTGAACCCTTCAACATGATCACAGTTTCAATTTGATATGCAGGACCCAACCCTTATACAGTCCCTCACCTTCGTGCAGCCACGGGGTCTGTCACCTCTACCTCAGCACTCCATGGTAACTGCTCTATCCTGACGATCATGGAAGGATGGTTCTGGAGATAAGATACAGTCTTCGTGAACCATTATCTCAGTGACTGTGCGACACAGGATGTTGATGACATTCACCAGTTTGGACCTCTAGTAGTTCCCCAACAACTCACTCTTCCTTCCAGAAGATAACTATGAGATAACACTCTCCTGCAATCATGTAGACTTGTCGACATCAGGTTACTGTTTCATAACCATTGACTTAAGAGTCCATGCCCCGTGTTACTTTCAGTTCAGAACATGAGTGATAATTATTGTGTTAAGTTTATTGTTCTTCTCGTAACACTTTAATTGTTCAAGGCAAATATAATATAAGGTTAATATCTCAAGAAGCCGTAACAAATCCACGAAATTTAAGAGATTTACTTCCCTTTTTTCACAAAAAGTAAGGTGTTACCCCAATAGGTACAAGAAGAAAACAATGCAGATTATCAAGCTCGTTCCCACTGGGTTTATAGAACAAGTCTCGACAATCACACATGCTGGTGGAACCAACCACCTTCTGTGAGATTCAAACAATTAGTAAGAGTCAGGATAAGGTAAAATAGGCATATTTTAGGGTAAAAATATCATTTATACTTATCCTGACTTCTACACTAGAGTACCTTCCCGGCCTTCCCCTCACTACTGATGTGTTTCGGACCTTTAAGAAGGAGAAAAAGTGAGTGATGCGTAACGGGTCTTGGTCACGTGGCTCCGGTGCATCTGTGTGGATCAGAGGTCCGTTTTGGTGAGATGTTTTCTCTGTTCTCCAGGAACACAGCATGGGAAGTTTCCACTACCTTTGGGAATGAGATGAGAAAAGCAATTAGTATGAGTCGATATAAATGATATATTTACCCTATAAATTACATATGTGTTATTTTGTGGTAGAATTGTTAATATGTTTTTTTGTCATAGATTTGTAATTGTGTTGCTCCCTGCCACCAGCTGGAGTAGTTTAATACCAGTTTCCATCACATGCATGAGTTTAACAGCTGAATTACTACTAAGGCAATTTTGTTTACTGGGACTGGACTGTGAGTGCTTCATAAGTTTGAGTGAGTGAGTGAATATGGTTTTACCCTACTTTTACTAATATTCCAGCAATGTCACGCAAAGGACACCAGAAATGGGCTTCACACATTGTACCCATGTCAGGAATTGAACCCAGCTCTTTGGCATGACGGGCGAACGCTTTAACCACTAGGCTACCCGACCGACCGTCATAGATTTGATACTTAGAGAGAAACCTACGTGCAACAAGGAATTACGAATTGTCTACGAATTATTTTTGTAATTCCGAGACTTGGCATGAAACTTTGTACATTATTTCATAAGGGACAGATATTCTGGAATTTAGGAGTTGGTTAATACCCACATTTTTTTTTTCTGTGAAAATTTATAAAAAATAGCGTTTACATCTCAAATGTATTGTTGGAAAAAGGTCATCGTCATGTTACAGTATGTTAATATAATGTCATGTTGCTGTTGGCATGTAATAGTTGTTATAACTATCAGTGAAAATTATTGAAAATAATTTCACCTTTTTGCCCCTATGGGAAATATACAATACATCCATCACACATGACTACATACCGTAAGAGGTGTCTATGCTTGTCGTAAGAGACGAACAACGGGATCAGGTGGTCTGGCAAACAAAACATATGGTTGAACTAACTCACCGTGGCTTCAGATCTGGTGCTTCTGATGTGAGGATGATAGCTATTCTCAATTCAGAGTATTTAACTTTTTCTGAGATAAGTATATTTTAAATGTAGGCTTAACTTTCAAACTTAAAATATATATAGTGTGCATTCTATTGAGTATGATGTAATTATCAACTAATGTGCCAAATTCATACATTAAAACCGAGCTGTATATGTGTCACTCATTCTTTACGGTTTTGCATAAAAGTATTATAAATAGTACCGTATATAACTTTTTGAAATATTTTCGCCAAGTGTGGATACACCATTCAGCTATAAGAAAACATACTTATTTGTTTGTGTGCTTAGTTTGTAGCAAATAGATAAAAGGTGAGCATTTACTAATTTGGCGAAAATATGTATTTTCGTCAAATTCGTCCAGCGAAATTCAAAGTATGATGCCATACAGTGCATTGTAAGGGTTATTTACGTGAAGATGTCAAACAACCCTCAGTGGAAGTCATGAGATATAGGCCCTAGCTGCCTGACCCGTGAAGATCCGGGGTAGGTTAGGTCTTCAGCAACCCACGCTTGCCATAAAAGGTGATTCTGCTTGTCCTAATATTAGACTAACGGATCGGGTGGTCAGGCTCGCTGACTTGGTTGATGCATGTCATCGATCCCAATTGCATGGATCGATGTTCATGATGTCAATCACTGGATTGTCTGGTCCAGACTCAATTATATACAGACCGCCGTCATATTGCTGGAATATTGCTGTGTATAGCGTAAAACAACAAACCAACCAACCAACCAACCAACCAACCAACCGAAGGTTTTACTATGTCAATCAAAACCGTTCCGTGGTCTAATGGTTGGAGTGTCTGACTACTGATACGGAGGTTGTGAGTTTGATTCCCGTCAACCATAATGAAAAAGTTTCAAATCTCATCTTCGGTGTTAGAACATTAGAACATCTGCTTCTCTAATCATCAGGTCTTGCCAGGAAAAAGTAAAACTTCATACTCGGTCTTACCAGGAAAAAGTAAAACTCACTAAGAAAAAGTAGAACCTCTTGAGAGGTCATAACGAAAAAACAAGTAACGTCCAAAACAATGGCCATTATCCGTGATAGGTTTATAAGTTTTACACAAATAATTGTAACTAGAAATTCGGTTTTATGTATGGTCCAATTGATGGTTTGAAATGTTTGAATGTAATTGTGTCAGTGCAGTGTTCCATGTTTCTGTTTTGTGTTTCTGTTTACACAACTTTTATTGACACCAAACAACGCTCTACTGTTTATAATAATGATGAACATAATGAAGTGTTGATGAATCACAGTTATCAGGGCATTTGATTGTAAAACATTGAGTGTTTCTTTGTTATGTTAGTATTCCAGTTCAACTTTTCATTTTTTTTAAATTGTCTTCATTAACACATTACAAAGGTGAGCTTCAGTACATGTGGTTAAGATGTATCAAATCTTTGAAACGCATTAGACGTGATACACATAAGGAAGAGAATTTGTGGATGTGACTTCTTTATTATGAGGAACACAACATTTTGAGTATGTACTTACTCCTTCATCAGGGGGGCGGTCGGGTAGCCTAGTGGTTAAAGCGTTCGCTCGTCACGCCGCAGACCCGGGTTCGATTCCCAACATGGGTACAATGTGTGAAGCCCATTTCTGGTGTCCCCCGCCGTGATATTGCTGGAATATTGCTAAAAGCGGCGTAAAACCATACTCACTCACTCACTCCTTCATCAGGTGATTTCACTATTTCATTACTTTACAGGACCCTCATGTTTCCTGTAAGGAGTGAGTGAGTGAGTGAGGTTGGTTTTACGCCGCTTTTAGCAATATTCCAGCAATATCACGGCGGGGGACACCAGAAATGGGCTTCACACATTGTACCCATGTTGGGAATCGAACCCGGGTCTGCGGCGTGACGAGCGAACGCTTAAACCACTAGGCTACCCGACCGCCCCTTCCTGTAAGGACCCTTGAAATAGTAATTGGGCTCCACTGGCCCCCTGTTTTTGTAGGTTCAGATAAACCCCTGCATAGCTCTGGTAGGCTGAGAAAATTCATCTCGCATCACCATTTGTCATGTTAATATACCAGTAGAACATTTCATTTGAGATAATGGTCTTCATTAACACCTTACATAGGAGGGCTTCAATTCCTCACTCACTCATTGAATGTTAGTTGACCTTCACTTTCCTTTTTTATTCTAGGTGTCACGAGGCTACAGAAGGTGCCGAGCAGACCTTACGTTGGCAGCGTCTCGACTCAGTGTGGCGCATGTTCCACAACGCTTACAGCAACTCTGTGTATGTCCGGCCTGGGGCAGAGGCCGGCAGCGGTGCAATATCCTCGCTGTTGGAGAAAGTAGGAATCAAATCCTCAGGGAAATCTAACTCTGTTATATAACACTGTCGCCAGCAGTAGGAACAGTTTAGTTAGCTGATGTAGTCCGGTTCCTCACATGAATACACTGACGGGGGTCACTGTCGACACCTGTATCAGGCCTACCAAGGAAACTGCCCGACTTCAATAAAAAATATCACCACAACACACAAGAAATCGGCAGCATAAAACAAGGAGAACAGAAACGAGGAAACATCATTATAAATCTCAGAGCATGCTGTCGAAAACATGGAATCATCTTCGCTAAAACACACAGACCGCAGCCCACACCAAACACCTCACTGTACACTGTGTGCATGTGTTTATCTGCCCATCCCATTTTAAAGAGGACTGCCTCTTGGGTCTAGTGGTAGAGCGTCCGCCTGGAGAGCGGAAGGTCCAGGGTTCGATCCCTGACCGCGTCATACCAAAAGACGTTAAAAGATGGTACTTGTTGTTACCCTGTCTGGCGCTCGGCATTAAGGGGCTAAAACAAGGACTGGTCGGCTCGGAGTCGGTATACTGTGTCTGAGTGGAGAATTCATGTTAAACTGCGGCATGGTATCTCAGTGAGCTAGCACTATAAATCGGCATCAGTCTGGACTAGTACAAGCAGCCACACACACATACACACACACACACACTCAGAGGCATGCACGTCGCTATATAAGTGCAATAATCTTGGATGCGATGTTAAACCCCATTTCACCTCACCATTTTAAAAAGTGTCGAAAATAAATTTCTGATGTGGTTGGACGTCCAAATACATTTACACATTTAGATTATTCCATTTTTGTGCGGTAACTTGTAAATTTACTCGCTGTTTGTTGATCCTCGGGACATGACATTCAACTTCCTTCTTGTTCTGTGCATGCCTAGTTTGGAAGGCTGTGGTCTGTGTCTTTTAACGCTGCTGTTTCCAAGTCTTTGGCGGCATGCTCTCAGATTTATAATACAATTTCTTAGTCATTGTAGCTCTTATCATGTTGATTATATTATAAGGCCTTTTTAGGATCAGTGGTGTAGATTTGGACTTGTACATTTACAAGCATTGGTTAGAGTAGGGTGTAGTGGGGCAGTTTAGTGATTCATGACTTCGCTAGTCATGCCAAAGGTCAGTTTGATGCACTTTTCTGGTTTTCCCTACAGTGATTTCCCTATGTGGCTCAATCTCATTAAAATCAGATCTTAGTTCTCGTTATCGCTAAACAAGATCTGAGGACATCCCACTACGGGTCACGTCAGAACGACCTGTCATCCGACCGATCAGAGTGTCGCTTACCAGATCATGAAAGTGACAGGCGGAATGTGTTTTCTAATCATGCAACCTCGAAATATTTAACATGGGGTATTCCGAACGACAGTTACGGGTTTTATGATCATATCCATACAACCTAGGCCATCTGTAAGCCATTCCAGAATGTTCATTTTATCAGTTTTAAAATTTCTAATCGAGAATACTTCAAAATATGTTTCAAAGCGTAGTCGCCAGTTTGAAACTAGTGTCGTAAAGCACGAGAAAGCTGCCTTCTGATTGGCTAATGTTGATTTCTTGTCAGTCATTTCATTGATCGGTCAAAATTTGCGAAAGGTCGTTCTGACGTGACCCGTAATGGGATGTCCTCAGATCTTTGTTTAGCGCTAGCAAAAACTAAGATCTGATTTTAATGAGATTGTTATGTGGCTAAACAAGGCGTAAAACCTAACTCTAACTCACTGACTGGGGTGAGTTTACTAGCCTGGGTACATGGGTCAGAGCAGATAATGTACATTGTAAAACCATCAAGCACATTGGTTGTATACTCCCAAGGGAGCTGAGAATCAATTTGAATTGCAGATCTGTGGACCGTGTAATTATGTCCCCATGTTGTGTTGAGTATTGCACTTTATAAGGGGCCAAAGATAATAAGTAACTGAGCTCAGTCACAAAGGTCATTATATATAGACAATTGTCGTTGTTGTAATACCGTATTCGACGAAATAAGCGCCCAGGGCGCTCTCAATAAATAATAATAGTGGGGCTGTTATTAGAATATTATTTTGGTGAAGAAAAAAAAAGTTGAAAGATAAATTTCGTGGTTTATGCGGACATCCCGAAATGTTTATGTACGACAGATAATTTTTTTCCAGAATTTAACTGCCCATAATTAAGGGTGAATATAACACACCAGTGCGTATTATACACGAATAGATAGGTCTTGTGTACATTGATCAATTGGAAGGGGTGCTAACTGAGATTGTTCACAAGCCAATATCTTAGCAAATATCGCCGTGGGCGCTTATTAGAGCGGGGCGCTTATTACGTCGAATACGGTAAGTACCTTGGGTACTATAAAAAATTTAATATGGGGGTGTTGATTAAAACCATACACATGTTAAACTTATTGTCAGAGATCGAGAACAGACTTACTTCAAACTTCCAAACCCTGCTGTGTTTACTGCAAAAAGAACTGTAATATGCTCAAGAAAATAGTGATTGTCTTGTAAATTGTCATGTCTGATACCTTGTGCTTCTAAAGATTATTTAGAGGTTGTTCTAGAAGTTGATCAGGGGCGCTTAATACGGTGAATCAAGTAATAGGCAACTTATTACGTACCTGAAGTACCTTTTATTATTGGAAGGTACAATATTGTCTACCTGAGTGTACTCACTGATTCTGTGGGGGGCATGGGTGGCCCAGTCGTCTAAAGCGCCGCGATTCGCTGTCCAGAGTTGCGTCCCTTGGACACGCAAGAAACCTATGATTGTGGGTTCGCATCCCGGTTCGCCCCGATTATGTTTCTAGGTTTGTCAGCACCATACCCGTGCTCGTGGGTTTCACCAAAGTTTTAAACGTCTGAGACCTGCATCACTTCGGGCTTTCCTCCCACATTAAACTGACACGCCGTGATATAACTGGAATACTGTTAAAAGCGGCGTTAAACCCAACTCACTCACTCACTCACTCACTGATTCTGTGTCGACAATGACCCCCAACAACCTTGTTGCACTGAGTCTGGCCCAGGCCAAATAGGATGTTTTCAGGGTCCAACTAGTGCTCACAGTTTGTTATTGTTGATTTATTTCCTGAACAGGGAAAGGTATTGAACATCTCACAACTTTCCCCAAGTGTTCGTTTTCATAAACACACTAAACCACCCAGCTAGCTGTGAAGTTTAGAATTGGTCTTCAGCAACCCATGCCCACTTATGAGGTGACTAGCGGGATCAGGTGGTCAGGCTAGCAGACATGGTTGATGCATGTCATCATATCCCAATTGCCTAGATGCTTGATGCTCATGATGTCAATCACTGGATTGTCTGGTCCAGACTTGATTATTTATTGACCGCCATCATACAGATGGAATACTGCGGAGTGCTGAGTTAAACAATAAACAAACAAAATAAAAAACTAAACCACTTTGCTAGCATGATGAATGTTATCCAGTCTAAATATTGGTATGTAGCTTACATCGGAGAGCAGACAGGAAGTCCTTTACTGTTTTTTTCTGCTGTACAGCTGTAGAACTGATCAGTTTCAGTCAGATGATGTTGATAATGAAACTGCCCACAGTTTATCTATATTATTGAATGTCAGCATCTACTGTGTTGACAGATTAAACATGCTTACAGAATTAAGGTAATAAATATATTTTATTGATTTACTAGATCGGTGCTCAATGTCAATCACTGGATTGTCTGGTCCAGACAGGATAACTTACAGATCACAGTCATACAAATGGAAAAGTGCTGAGTGCAGCATTAAACAACAAACAAACAAACAAACAAACAATAAATGACGTTGCCTTGACTTGCTGAGGACATGCACTTTTAGTAACAGTTCAAAATTCATAAATATTAAACTCATTGGGATGATTCAGATTGTGAATCATTCATGCACATATTTTAAGTTTTATCAAACAACATTTCAACTAAGGATGTATTTTATTCTCATATTTCTTTCTTTTGCCGTCCCCTCCCTCTATAACTGGGCACAGAGATGAGAAACACACAAGATAATATGTATGGGTTAAAGTGATTACAGTAACCTACAAACTTTCTTTTGTTTATCCTGTGCTAATGTCATGGCATGTTATCAGCTGTGTGAGCTGACTAACAGGATATCATATGAGCCAGTGTGTACGGTACATGATCGTGACTAGTCCCATGTAAACACTTGACACTGACTGCTGCACAAGCTTGCAAGGATAATCCCAGGAAATGACAGACAAGGTCATCATGACCCAGAGTCCAGTCTCAGACTACAATTTTTACCTTACCTTGAATATGGTCTCCATAACCTGTAGATACTTGACAAACCCTGTGTTTTCTTGAAATGTTACAGGGATGCTGGGGTAGCCTAGTGGTTAAAGTGTTTGCTTGTCTCACCAAAGACACGGGTTCGATTCCCCACATGCGTACAATGTGTGAAGCCCATTTCTGCTGTGCCCCACCATGATATTGCTGGAATATTGCTAAGAGTGGCATAAAACAATACTCACTCACTCTCTGAAATATTACATTAGCGCCTCGAACACTGAATTGATGCAACACTTGTTGAAAGTAGGAAAGATATTAAAAGTACAAGATTTGGAAAAATACATTTGCAGAGAACCGATGGTCCTTAATTTCTAACTTTAATACATTAAAGAGCTGGAACTTAATTTCAAACAGTGTTACAACCAGATTTCCAGGGAAACTCTTAAGCTCCTGATATTGACAACTGAGGGTACAATTTTGTTATCCACCAGCTGATATTTACAGCTGTGATTAAAATGCTATTATCCAGCAGCTGATATTTAAAGCTATAAGTACAATTGTGTGATGCTTTGTACAATGCTGATAGTACAATGCTGTGATCCTCCAGCTGATAGTACAATGGTATGATCCACTAGCTGATAGTACAATGGTATGATCCACTAGCTGATAGTACAATGGTATGATCCACCAGCTGATAGTACAATGGTATGATCCACCAGCTGATAGTACAATGGTATGATCCACCAGCTGATAGTACAATGCTGTGATCCACCAGCTGATAGTACAATGGTATGATCCATTAGCTGACAGTACAATGGTATGACCCACCAGCTGCAAGTACGTTGATATGATCCACCAGCTGATATTTACCATCACCATCTCAGGTCAATCACCATTATAGGACACTGTGACCACTTTTTTGACAAAATATGTAATTCCAAAATTATTTTTAACATCATCTGTGATACACGGTATTTATAACCAAAGGAGAGGTTAGACATTTTATTGGTGTATATATTATTTAATCTGCTCAAAAAGGGTTCATGATCAATAATTATCTATTTTGTAAATATAGTGGCTGTGTTGTATTACAATCTCATTAAAATCAGACCTCAGTTCTCGCTGCCGCTAAACAAAGATCTGAGGACATGCCATTAGGGGTCAGAACGACCTTTCATCCAACCAATCAGAGCATCGCTTACCAAATTATGAAAGTGACAGTCGGAATGGGATTTCTAATTGTGCAACCTCGATAACATTAACTTGGAACGATAGTTATGGGCTTAACGACTGAATCCATACAATCTAGACCATCTATTAGCCATTCCAGACTGTTCTTTTGTTCAGCTTTCAAATTTGTATTCGAGAATTTGTCAAAATATGTTTCGAAGCGTAGTCGCCAATTTGAAATTAGTGTCGTAAAGCACGAGAAAGTTGCCCTCTGATTGGTCATTCCATTGGTTGGTCAAGGTTCGAGCAAGGTAGGTCTGACGTGACCCGTTATGGGATGTCCTCAGATCTTTGTGAGAACTAAGATCTGATTTTAATGAGATTGTGTTGTATTATTGTATTATATGTATATCTTATAACAATAATTAAAAGGTATTGTGGATACATATGCAGATATTGGACTTACTGTATGAAAATAGTCAAATATGTTGCTATTTGTGGTGTTTACTGTTGCTACCAACATGTAAGTAGCACCTTGATGAGTCACAGTTCATTGCAAAGAGTTGCATCCCCTAGGTGTGCCAGGATATGCTGATTGGAAATTATTTCCATATTTACCCTGATTATTAACCTTGTTTTATCTACACCGCACCCTCCTACTCCAATTGTCTACTTCACCATTCTTTTGGCTTGAATCATGGCCTATGTCACTCCGAGCTATTCAGAGTAGCGTTATACCCTACAGACTTTCGGCCTAAGACACGTCCCCAGAAATTATGAATTGGAAAAATACTGAATCAGAAAGGAAGAATATCTAGCTCAATAATAAACACTGACTGTAATTAACATTCTGATTGTGTATTCAAGTCAGGCCTGGTACTCAAGAAAAATTGGTCTGCCTTGATTGCTTACACTGAAATTCATGAAAAATAGAAATATATGATTATTGATCCTTTACTTCTTTGCCCAGTATGATTATATTTTAATGTCATGTATTTTTATTTGTACAGTTGTATATTGACTGAGTCCTACTGTTATAAGTGATGCTGTAGGAGTACTGTGAGGTGGAGTCCTCGGATGTTTCTATGTCCTTATGTCACGCCCTTCAAGGTATTCAAGTCGACTTTTGTCTGTTCCTAGGTAGGTGAAGTATTTTCATGAATATGCGAAGGTCAGTGTTGCAACTTCTGGAATATTTACACAAGACATACAGGGGCCCAGGGCCTAAGACAGAATGGTTTTACAAGTTGCATCCTTGTATAGTCAGGATCTGCTTGTCTTGCATACAGCTTAGAGGCGCTTTCTGATTAGACTATTATTGTCTTGGTTCTCAGGCACCGCCCTTGTCATCGTAAAGTCTGCCGCATGTTTCATTTTTGTTTCCATTTTCAATTTTAAAAAATATAAAAATACTTAAAAACAATGTGATCCAAAATAGCACTCAGTTACTTCCCTTTACATGGGCACTGCTTTACTGAGCATCTCGTGTTATGGTCATGGCAGCAGTAGGAGTTTGTATACTTGTTTAATGGGGAGGCCCTGTCTCAGATTGATGGTACACAACTGTTTATTTGGTTACATACTAGTTTGAAGACCCCCCTATCCCCGAAAAAAACAAACAAAACACCACCCGCCACACTATTTCAAAAGTCATTGCCTGACCACCAATTCTTTTATTTTTTTAAGCCTTATAGCCCTTGTTTTTTTTTGGAGCAATTGTGGGGCAAATAGTCATCTATGTTTTTGCACCACATCCAATTAAACAATCACAGTTGTTCTTATTTCGTTAGTTTGAACTTAATTTTACGTTTTACATATATCTACTAATATTCAAGATGGTGGCGTACACTTTATGTTACACAGCCATTTGTCTCTAGCAGTAGATTGGCCTGATAGAGTCTGTCTGCCTGCCTGCCCATGGTGTACTCTCCGTATTAAAAACAGGAATATTTGAGCAAGGCCATGTTTCAACAAGATGACCAGTACAAGTTGTCGCTCTGGGGTAGTAGCAGGCAATTTCAGAGTCTGATATTCACACCCTGGTCTACATCTCATATCACTCAAACAAAATTTGAATTAACATATTTTAAGATTGAGGTTGTTATGAATTATTATCACCAATATTAGACATTGCGGAGGTGACTGGTATTGTACAAATAACAGGGTCAGTAAAGTGGGAAGGAACTTTTGCATTAAATGTGATGTTATATTACCTCTGAATTTTGAAATATAAGTCTTATTAGGCTTAAAATAAGAAAAGAATTGGTTCTCAGGCAATGGCTTTTGAAAATATACTGCAGGTAGGCGGTGTATTTTTTTTCTTCTTTGTTGTTCAAACTAGTATGTAACCAAATATACAGTTCTGTAACCAAATACAATCAACCTGGGAAAGGGCCTCCCTACATAAATGTATTCCTTGATGAGTAAATTACAGGACTACAGTATTTGACTACTGTTGGAGTTAGAATATTTAAGGATTTTTTTTTTTTTATAAAAAATGGAAATAAAAACGAAACATGCAGTGAACTTTATGATGATGGGTGCGGTGCCTGAGAACCAAGGGGGCGGTCAGGTAGCCTAGTGGTTAAAGCATTCGCTCATCACGCCGAAGACCCGGGTTCGATTCCTGACATGGGTACAATGTGTGAAGCCCATTTCTGGTGTCCCCCGCCGTGATATTGCTGGAATATTGCTAAAAGCGGCGTAAAACCATACTCACTCACTCACTCACTCACTGAGAACCAAGACTATTATGTTTTTTAGCCTTACCCTTACCCATTTTATAGGGCCACAAGCACTTAGTTTGTCAGTATTTTTTTTTTTTTTATCCTGTTAGGTGATAGCATATTGCATCAAATGAAGTTGTTCTAAACAAGGACCCACTATTTTGACATGTATTAAACATGGGGGGTAACACAAGATAATATGTATGGGTTAAAGTGATTACAGTAACCTACAAACTTTCTTTTGTTTATCCTGTGCTAATGTCATGGCATGTTATCAGCTGTGTGAGCTGACTAACAGGATATCATATGAGCCAGTGTGTACGGTACATGATCGTGACTGGTCCCATGTAAACACTTGACACTGACTGCTGCACAAGCTTGCAAGGATAATCCCAGGAAATGACAGACAAGGTCATCATGACCCAGAGTCCAGTCTCAGACTACAATTTTTACCTTACCTTCAATATGGTCTCCATAACCTGTATATACTTGACAAACCCTGTGTTTTCTTGAAATGTTACAGGGGTGGTGGGGTAGCCTAGTGGTTAAAGTGTTTGCTTGTCTCACCAAAGACACGGGTTCGATTCCCCACATGCGTACAATGTGTGAAGCCCATTTCTGGTGTCCCCCGCCGTGATATTGCTGGAATATTGCTAAAAGCGGCGTAAAACCATACTCACTCACTCACTCACTCACTGAGAACCAAGACTATTATGTTTTTTAGCCTTACCCTTACCCATTTTATAGGGCCACAAGCACTTAGTTTGTCAGTATTTTTTTTTTTTTTATCCTGTTAGGTGATAGCATATTGCATCAAATGAAGTTGTTCTAAACAAGGACCCACTATTTTGACATGTATTAAACATGGGGGGTAAAATAAAGTCTGTTGTTGATCCTTCAATGAATAGGATGCATTGATGCACAACAGTATTCCGGCTTGATTCGTCAGGTTTGCATTGCTTAAAGCATCAGCTGTGTTGCAGGCTCTCCTCCCTCATTAAACCATTTTTTTTTTTTTTATACCAGCCGACCAGTAGTGGAGGAGAAAACTAAAAGAATAATTGAGTTGCGTTTTTTTCCCAAACAGTCTGTAAACCAAGTTGACATATGTGTGGCCTAAGTTTGTTTTAGACCCCTTAAATGGTACATTGACTTCTGTGCATTTCATTATGAGACATTGCAGTCATATTCTAGTTTTGGTTAAATTTAGATTCAGCCCCAATAAAGGAGCAGGGTGCTGTTATACAGTTTGATCTTAGCGCTAAGGTGATCGTATTTCCCATACCTTAATGTAGTCTTACGACAGTTGTATCGCCAAGGTTGTTTTGTACAATGTCACCCAGTAAAGTTGTGTCTGCATGGACATGCAACATGTTCTCTGAAGGTTGATCCCGAGCTTCTTCATCCAGGATGTCCTCTGACCTTAATGTAGTCTTACAACAGTTGTAGCGCTAAGGTTGTTTTGTACAATGTCACCCAGTAAAGTTGTGTCTGCATGGACATGCAACATGTTCTCTGAAGGTTGATCCCGAGCTTCTTCATCCAGGATGTCCTTCTTCATCCAGGATGTCCTTCTTCATCCAGGATGTCCTCTGACCTTAATGTAGTCTTACAACAGTTGTAGCGCTAAGGTTGTTTTGTACAATGTCACCCAGTAAAGTTGTGTCTGCATAGACATGCAACGTGTTCTCTGAAGGTTGATCCTGAGCTTCTTTATCCAGGATGTCCTTCTTCATCCAGGATGTCCTTCTTCATCCAGGATGTCCTCTGAAAGATGTTATTGTCACCTGTAGGCTGTGGAAAACATGTCTTGTTTCCCAACACTGTCACCTCCGAAGATACTTATTGCCTAATTTGGTGTGTGTTTTGTTCTGATGGTGTGTCTTGTGATTTAGTCAATGAATATGCATTACATTGTGTCTCATATATGCAGGGGCATGGGATGCTTTTGTAGCTCACCTAGTCAGTATTTAAACCGTCTGAATGAAGGAGGCTTCATTTTCAAACTAGTTGCATCAGTCTCAATATAAATGTATTTTCCGACCCACCTTCTGCCAACTTTATTCAATAAATGTAAGGCAAACAAGAATATATTTTGACATGGCCTTCCAGACATTTGTATGTGATTGTATTGTACATTGAAGATTAATTTATTTCTGAAGAAATGTTGAATAGGTATTAATAAGAAGTAATATCTTTTTTAATATAATTTTACTTAGCTTATGGACAATGGTTTAAAACAAATGTAACAAAACATCTTTGAGATGTCAACACTTTCTTTGATCCTTGATTTTACCAGCTGTTTCCTGACCACTTGAACGGGGCTTTAGCTATTGTGCTGGCAGGGTTGGTAATCCCATTCAAGTAGGTGGGGTGGGGTGGGGTGGGGTGGGGTGGGACACAAAGTTTTATCACTCAGAAGGAATGGATTTTCATCACACCTTTTAAGAAAGGAGACATTTTACTGTGTTCAATACTGTACTGGAACAGGTACCTAAAGTCATGGTTGGATTTCTCAGTGAATTCACTGTCTCCTATACATGTGGTCAGTCCCAGGTGACTTCCATCAATCAGATGACAATCTTTTAATATATCATAAACATTTCTTTAATTTATTATCAAATAATTCATAAATCTGTTTTTCTATTTACTTCCCTGTTAAGTTTAGTTAAGCATATAGTATCTTCCTTTTCACAACATCTGAGTTATAATACTAAACCAGACAGATATGTGTGTAGCTATTCTCCGACCACAGTTTCCTGCACACCTGGTCCACCATGTTTATCAACCACAGTCAGGAAGCTAAAGCATGCTACTCCAAATGATATAATAGACACACCTGCCTATGTAAATTATGTAAATATGACTGTAAATATGAAGTTTCAGTCCTTGATTTATTGCAAAGAAATAAATGTTATCCTAAATACACTTGATTTGTGTCATTTGTCATTGCTGCTTTTACCTGAGGGGTAAGGGTTCAAGGTGTCTAATGCCCACCCTTTCATCCCGAATCACCCGGAATAGGAAATGTTTCATGTTCGTAGATAAATCTCAATCATATCTTGAAGTTCTTAAATGAATCTTATTTGATTCCCAAATATTCGTACAGTTCGCGGGAGTTCGTCGAATCAGTGTGAAAGTTTTTGTTTGTCAAAAAATTTCGTGGAAGGGTCCCCGAATTGCAATTTCGTGGCTGTAATGTAATCCATTCGTAATTAATTCTTATGTTCCGAAACTGCTACGTAATCGATTCCTTTGAATTCTTGGCTATTCTTAGCGATTCGTGGCTCCCAAAATTTCTTGTCCTCAACCCGAAAACATCCCGAAACAGCCACGAATGTCCCGAGTCAACTACGAATCATGTAAGAATAAAGTTAGAACAACATTTGGCATATTCGTAACTTAGTCGTAGGTGATACTTACCATTCGTGCATGATCCGTACATGCATCTTGTAATTCGTACAACATGTACCCATTCGTGGCATTGTTCATATTTTCCAAACCGATTAGCCACGAAAGTTTGCATTATTGGCCGTATCATCACGAATTTTGAAACTTTCCGATTAAGGGTGATTCGGGACATTCGTGGTCGTATAGTGAAAGGGCGTCTCATGTCACTGTGTAGAGAAGCACCCACAGGAGTACAAACACCTTTTGATCCTATAAAGTGAACAATAAAAGTTAGAGATCTTGAATATTTTTGGGAATATTTCTTTGAAATTGTGTTCAGTCTTCCTCAAGAATATTTATGATCCCATACTGTTTTTGTTCAGCATAGATTCAGTATAGATTCTAGTGTGTAATACAGTAAAACTCTTGACCTCTGCTTAAAATACTTCAGGATAAGACTTATCCTGAAAACCGAGATACCCCCGCTCCGCCCCCACCCAAGCTAGCCTTAGTGTCCTCAGCAGCCTGTTCGTTGTAGGAGGCGACTACATGGATCGGATGGTCAGACTTCGATGACTTGGATCACAGTGTGACAATGTACCCCAACTATCTTAGCGCTAAGGCGATCGTAATTCCCTAACTTTAACATAGACTTACGACAATCGTAGCGATAAGATCGCTTTGTGGAACGGGGCCTAGGCTGGCAAATTGGCAGTCACAGCAAGTTTGATTTCATCCAACACTACTCGGCCAGCTCACATGTTATGATAAATGATAAATATCACCCTCACCAGTTAGTCTTAGTTTCAAAGACCTAGACTTATCCTGAAAACCGAGATACCCCCGCCCCTGCCCCCACCCCAGCTAGCCTTAGTGTCATCAGCAGCCTGTTCGTTGTAGGAGGCGACTACATGGATCGGATGGTCAGACTTCGATGACTTGGATCACAGTGTGACAATGTACCCCAACTATCTTAGCGCTAAGGCGATCGTAATTCCCTAACTTTAACATAGACTTACGACAATCGTAGCGATAAGATCGCTTTGTGGAACGCGGAATAGGCTGGCAAATTGGCAGTCACAGCAAGTTTGATTTCATCCAACACTACTCGGCCAGCTCACATGTTATGATAAATGATAAATATCACCCTCACCAGTTAGTCTTAGTTTCAAAGACCTAGACTTATCCTGAAAACCGAGATACCCCCGCCCCTGCCCCCACCCCAGCCAGCCTTAGTGTCATCAGCAGCCTGTTCAGTAAAACTCTTGGCCTCTGCTTAAAATACTTCAGGATAAGACTTATCCTGAAAACCGAGATACCCCCGCCCCTGCCCCCTCCCCAACTAGCCTTAGTGTCATCAGCAGCCTGTTCGTTGTAGGAGGCGACTTCATGGATCGGATGGTCAGACTTCGATGACTTGGATCACAGTGTGACAATGTACCCCAACTGCGTGGCTCGTTGCTCATACTATCAATCACTAGATTGACTGGACCAGACTTGATTATTGACAGGCCATCGACATGAGGTGGAATATTGCTCATTGTGGCGTTAAGCAACAAACACCCACTTGAACAGGTCAGCAGTCAGGGCGACTGCGAATATTTCAAACAGGAAGCATTTGGTTGCTTCATGACTTCCGTTCGTGCGTTCCTGTCACCGTGCCAGCCGACTAAGTCTATATACACCAGCAACAGCTACCGACTACGAGGTATGTATATATGGCGTATGATAAACATATTTTATCATATGATGGACAGTTGTCGATGTGATCATTCAATCCGATAAACTTTGTATCATGATCTGGTAAATGTAATAAATTAATGATGTGCCCAAGCAGGAATTACTTCGAATAAGCTCATGCTTATAAGAAATTGTCAACTTTGTCAATAAACTGTTGAATAATGTTTCCAATAAGTTTAGTTCTGTAAAAAATATGGCTTCGAATCATGTAGCAGTATTTATAAACAGTTGCGATGTCTGCTCTAGCATCGTTTTATACGCGTTTTGTAATGTTCCTTCAGTGTTATAACGTCTTAAACATGGACTATTTCAAGATTTACATCATATGATAAAGAAATTATTCCTCTTGTGTGTTACCGTATCGTAAGTATATATTGAAAGGCATACATGGTATTAACAAAATGAGAGCGAATTTAACGCATCTGTATGGCTCTAGAACATAATTTCATCAAATCAATTCTGACAAACTTTAATGTATTAAAATGAGAAAAAAATGTTCTATCAAACACGAAAAGTAAGTTTTCATACAACGTATATATTTCTAGTGACTGAGAAAGAAATACGTTCCTATGTGATATAAGCTACGCGGTGATGCGGCCATTAATTCAGTTGTTGCAATCAGAGGTTATCCACACTGTTGTGGTAAATAACTTGCACCATATCGTTACCTTAGTCCGATTCGAATAACACAGGGCTAAAATAGACGTCCAATCAAAATAACTCATGTGCGAGAGCAATTGTTAGGCAGGTTTGTGATAGAGACGGTGACGTCAAACGAAACAGCGAATTCATCCAAGGTAGTTATCGTCCAAAACAGACTTTATATTTGCTGAGTATAATAAATAAAACAAATATTGTTCAAAGGTCGGAAATCCATGTTTTCCGGGTACTGCAAATACCAGCGATATTTCTTGATAACAAATTTGCGTGTTTAAAAGCCCTAGCGACCAACAGCTAAATATTTCCCTATTCATTTATGCGACACATTAGTAACGTGCAGTTTGCCGCGTGTTCCATCATGTCATACAGAGGTCAAGCCCGGCTCCGCACTAATGTTAGCACGTACTTCAGTTGGGACTTATTTTGTTCCGTGTTCAAACGATTCACTCTGTGTTTGACAGAGCTCTACCACAGAGACGGGAGACCACCAGGCTGTGTTACAAAGACCCAAGTCCGACAGGTAAGGATAGTTCATGTAAAATGTCCGGAGAGTGGGTGAGTGAGTGTGTCGACACAAGGCAGCAGATATTGCTGTTACTTCTCGGATTGTCGTACAAATACAGGTAATCGGCCCACATGGTTACGTTGTTCAGTGTCTGGTGGGTATGGAGGATGAGTGAGTGAGTTGGGTTTAACGCCGCTTAACGCCGAGTTGGGTTTAAAGCCCGAAGTGATGCAGGTCTCAGACGTTTACCACTTCGGTGAAACCCACGAGCAGTGGTATTGTGCTGACAAACCGAGAAACATAATTGGGACGAACCGGGATTCGAACCCACAATCATAGGTTTCTGGCGTGCCGAAGGGACGCAACTCTGCACAGCGAATCGGGCCCCCGTGCCCTCGTATGGAGGATGAGGAAGTGAAGATGGGAGGGGGCTGATCTAAGTCAACCTGCCTGTATCAATGTGGAGTGAGTGAGTGAGTATGGTTTGACGCCGCTGTTTGCAATATTCCATCAATATCACGACGGACAACAGAAATTGGATCACACACTGTACCCGTGTTGGGAATCGAACCCGGGCCATCGGCATGACGGGCGAACACTTTAACCTTTATTACGCATAAGTGTGGAGAACCATACCCATAGAGATTCTTGGTAAGAATATAAGTTCCAAGCAACCTATATGCTTGCAAGAGCCGACTAAATGGATCTTGTGGGCAGGCTCGGTGACTTGGTGTATTCCGTGTCATTGTATCTCAGTCGATGCGGAAATCACTGGATTGTCAGGTCCAAATTATTCACAGACCACTGTCATATATAGCTGGAGTGCGGCGTTAAACAAATGAGTGAGGTTTTACGTCACTCTTAGCAACATTCCAGCAACATCACGACGGGGGACACCAGCAAGGCGCTTTACACGTTGTACCCATGCGCAGAACCGAACCCGCGCCTTCGGCGAGACCAACGAACGCTTCAACCACTAGGCTCCCTATGTTAATGGTGATTAAGGGAGACTAAAAAATACATACCCAGCAATTTTAGAATTCTTACTTAGAGATCCAAGAACCCACAGATAGGATGCTGTACCTTTTGAAATAACAATGCAGTTATTAATCTCAAAATATAATAGCCTGCGCAAAAAGCAATATGCAACCCTGCCCTCTGTAACGGATCCTCACTGTTATGGAGGCCCCATGCCAGTATTGCAAACATCAGTGAGCCTTTGGACTAAATTGTTCTCAAGCCCACTACTCCCTTCATGGACCCATTGACCGCCTCCGTGGTCTAGTGGTAGAGCGGAAGGTCCGGAGTTCGATCCCCGGCCGCGTCATACCAAAAGACGTTTAAAGATGGTACTTGTTGTTACCATGTCTGGCGCTCGGCATTAAAGGGCTAAAACAAAGATTGGTCGGCTCGGAGTCAGTACACTGTGTCTGAGTGGAGTATTCATGTTAAACTGCGGCATGGTATCTCAGTGAGCTAGCACTATAAATCGGCATCAGTCCGGACCAGTACAAGCAGCCATACAAACACACACACGTACATGCACGTCGCATGAAGATCCGGGTTAGAATAGGTCTTCAGCAACTCATGTTTTGCGTAAGAGGCGACAATGCTTGTTGTAAGAGGCGACTAACGGGATTGGGTGGTCAGGCTCGTTGACTTGGTTACAAGTCATCGCATCCCAATAGCGTGATGATTCGATTATTTTCAAACCGCAGTCATATAACACTGGCCCACTGATATAGGTACAATGTGTGAAGTCCGCCGTTATATTGCTATTGCTAAATGCGGCGTAAAACCATACTCACTCCCTCACTTCATGGAAGCGAGTTCTTTGACACGTTGATCTTCCGTCTAACTATTCACAAGGACGACTAGGAAGTGCTTCATTTGCAATCAGGAACTACTTTTTGTCACGGGGCATCATAACATAATACCAGACACTTATGACTCGGTTCCCATTTCAGGCATGGATAGCGTATTAATTTCTGTGTGATATGTGTATTCATGAAATGATTTATTTAAGAATTGACCTCAATTTATTTTGCGTTTACTCAAAGTGTGTACACCGATTTTTACAATTTGAACTCCATAAACGCAAACAAATATTGAAATAAATTCTCACAAATAAATACGTAAATAATAATTCTTCAAAGACTGCTTACCTAATCAACAACAAACACAAGGCTGTAGACAACTGTAGGTAATCAACATTATTGCGCAACACTATCCACACATAATACTGACTCCGAGCCGAGACCAGTCCTTGTTTTAGCCCCTTAATGCCGAGCGCCAGACAGGGTAACAACAAATACCATCTTTTAACGTCTTTTGGTATGACGCGGCCAGGGATCGAACCCTGGACCTTCCGCTCTCCAGGCGTACGCTCTACCACTAGACCACGGAGGCGGATCTTCAAGGAGAAGGGTGAAGTTGTAAAAGTGACTTGTATGATGTTTTTCCCCCACAGAGTACTTATGTAGTGATGACGGTATATTAGTATATTATGTATATATAGTAAAAGGTAGTCAGCGAGCGCTTATTCTATGCGCGGCTTATTCCAAAACGAGGCTTACATTATCGTGTATGTTTTGGATTCTCTTGGCTTTTTCTTCACACATGTCTCAACTGGTAGTACAACAATGGTATCGTGCAGAAACATAATTTTACAGTGCCCGACTAAGGTCACGTGCTACTTTAGGTCTTACAGCCTTAAGGCATCGCTCGGTGACCTCCTCACAAAGTATACTGGTTGTGTCTATTTCAGCTAGCGTCACCATGGGTACTGAGGTCAAGGCTATTGTGGTGGGCGACGCAGGATGTGGGAAGTCATGCCTGCTTCTCCGGTTCTTAAAGGGTCACTTCATCACCAACGATGAAGCAGGGTCCACCTTTGAGACGGGCACTTCCACCGTCTTTGTGCAAGGGCAGAAGGTTTGTGCTGCATGTAATTTATTCAATATCATATTAATAATGAACACCCTACATCGTGCCGGAATCATTGGTCCACTGGCCTATGCATAGTCCAATCCAAATCGCGTAACGACCCCGACATCATGCATGGATTTAAAGTGCAGATTTCGGTCGACTGAGGGATTTGCAAAGCATGTGAACCGCCAACTGGGCGCCGACAGAAAATTTGCAAATCGTTTCATTTTTTTAATCAAGGTGCTCAAGTGATTTGATGCACCTCGCGAAGTAAGGCCCGTTTTATAACAATAAAGTGAGTGAGTTGGGTTAAACGCCGTTTTTAACATTATTCCAGTTATATCACGGCGTGTCAGCTTAATGTGGGAGGAAAGCCCGAAGTGATGCAGGTATTAGACGTTTACCACTTCGGTGAAACCCACGAGCACAGATATGGTGCTGACAAACCTAGAAACATAATCGTGGCGAACCGGGATTCGAACCCACGATCATAGGTTTCTGGCGTGCCCAAGGGACGCAACTCTGCACAGCGAATCGCGGCGCCTTAGACGACTGGGCCACCCATGCCCCCATATTACAATATAGATCTTGATTTTCGATCAGATCGTCTTGAATTGGCGCTGCAATTTTGCTTGAAGCAGTTGCCAGTGATATGAGATGTGGACTCTGATTGGTCAATATGAGGGACATAGAAGGGACATAACTCGTAATAGCCACTGGTGGCGCTACAACCAGACCAGGTAGAAACTGGTCTTTTATAGTGCTTCGACCTCTAAAATCTTCCCAGCCGCCACGGTAGATATGAACAAATACTACCATAGTGGTTGATTTGAATTAGTAACGTGATGTCCACTTTTCATTTGTCCGAGTCTGACCGTTCCTTTCTCCTCCCGCAGATAGAACTGATGGTATGTGACACCGGCGGAAGCAGCATGTTCGACAGCCTGCGTCAACTGTCCTACAACGACGGGGACGTGATAGTGATATGCTACTCCATCACTGACCGAGACTCGCTGCAGAACGTGTCGGAGAGATGGCGTCCAGAGATGCTGAGTCATGTCACCTCTGACCGCCCGATCGTCCTCGTGGCAACGAAGAAGGACCTTCGAGACTCCGATCTGTCTTTCAGCAGCGTCCGTGGCAGCGACAAGCTTCATCAGGAGCCGGTGACCACCCTTGAGGGTCAAGAGATGAGGGAAAAGCTGGACGCCGTGGACTTCATTGAATGCTCGGCAAAACAGGACGACGGTGTGCGCGAGTTGTTTCAGAGAGTGGCCGAGGTTGGCCTGGAGTCTAGTAGGTCACGGCGAAAGAAGATTTGTCGGCAGTCGTGAAAAGGATGGATGGGACAGCGGGCAGCGCAGGCGTACAACGAATAGAGAGTGACACCATGGTTATTCGATGTTCTTAGATCAACGACAATATATAGTGTGTTCGGGACAAACGGAGTGTCGATGATAGACCAGTATTTGTGTTTCAATTAATGAGGAGACCACAAAACAATATAATGTTTGAATAAAAAATAGTTCTTTAACGTCATCTTAAGCCACGTGTTACAAGGGTTGTATTATACAGATAAAAACTCAAGCACTATTGTAGTAGTTTGATGTGAAACAGTTCTGTCTGGACCACGTGTTAAGGTACAGATCACTCTTGTTAAATAAGACCTTTGTTTAAGATTCGATACCTGTCTCATACAGAAATTCAAGGCACAGGTCAAACTCATTTCAATCAAATCATTTTGCTTAAATTCGATGCCTGTCTCAGAACGCAATTTCATCAAAATCATTGTCAAATGTTATGTTCAACACGAAAAGTATTCATACGACGTATATATTTCTAATGATTGAGAAGGAAGTATTTTCCTATATGATATAAGCTCCGAGGTGATGCGGCCACCGTTGTTTCGATCAGAGCTTATCAATAATATGAAACCTCTGACAGACCGGTCAGAATCAAGTCATCTTCAACTTCATGATGGAATCCAATTCAACCACGTTTTTCAACCAATCAGGTTCCAGCCTACACTCACACATGTTGCACTGTATCATCCAATGAGAATTACGTATCAACCATTAGATATTTCTTAGTCGATCTCGCTATATACCGTATTAGACGTAATAAGCGCCCCGCTCTAATAAGCGCCCACGGCGATATTTGCTGATATATTGGCTAGTGAACAATCCCAGTTGGCACCCGTCCGATTAATCAATGTACGCAAGACTTATTTTTTCGCGTATGATACGCACTCGTGTGTTATATGCACCCTTAATTATGGGCAATTAAATTCTGCAAAAATATATCTGTCGTACACAAACATATCAGGCTGTCAGCATAAACCACGAAATTTATCTTTCAACTCTGTTTTTTTCACCAAAATAATATTCTAATAAGAGCCCCCTGTTTCTAATTTTGAGAGCACCCTGGGCGCTTATTACGTCGAATGCGGTAAGTGCAATAATCTTTAACGCGATCTTTAATCTATTTCACCTCACCTTTTCACTGGATCTATTAATGTTACGAATATTGCCTCACGTGACGCATCCTTGTTCCCTTGATACTTTTTTCTCCCACCCTTTCCGTGGTATTCGACCGATATGGTTGGCGAGGACATAGTTATGGGTAGGTTCATGGTTATGTGCCTTCGGTTTTATTGTTTCATCCTGAATATCCTCCGCGACATTGTGAACATACTACAGGCTGCTATCGACGTTCCGGTATATTTTTACTCATTAAAAATGTATCGGCCCACCCAGCGTGTTTACCAATCATCTCAAGAGACGAGGGGTCACGGGTGGCCCAGTCGTTTTAGGCGCCGCGATTCGCTGTGCAGAGTTGCGTCCCTTTGGCACGCCAGAAATGTATGATTGTTGGTTCGAACCCCGGTTTGCCCCAATATTGTTTCTAGGTTTGTCAGCACCATACCCGTGTTCGTTTCACCGAAGCGGTAAACGTCTGAGACCTGCATCACTTCGGGATTTTGAGCTGACACCTTTTAATTCGTCACCTTTCGCCCCTTCGTCAAAGAATCCCTCAGAAATAATTTTTGATTTTACATATGTCTTGCATCTAAAAATATACCCAAGACACAGTTACATGTGTTCACTCATACTGTATAATTCCGCATGTCTATGTATATTTAAATTGCATCTGAAATATATACAATATATGGGGAAATATATGTTAACCATTAGGCAACGAGTTGACAATTGTTTTAGGTATGCCCGTTTGCGCTAAGACGGAACCCGGTCGCAAAAATGGCCATGAGAGGGGCACGAGTCGCTATTCGGTTTGTCCCGGAATAACACTTCGTGAATACCAAGTTAAGTTTCTGACTTGGCTAAGTCAAAACTAAGTTGTTTGATAAATATGGCACGGGTGACGACCGAACGCGTTAACCACATAGCTTCCCCCAAAGCCCCATTGCTGGAACATAGCTAAAAGAGGCGTAAAACCATTACTCACTCATTCACATTCGGCTGCTAAGGGATGTAGTAGTGACATGTGTATGTTTTTATTCAGCCAAAGAAAAGAGGTGGCTTGATTCGTTGGTTAAAAATATATAGCGATAGCGACAACTGTTCAAATCGGCCGGCCTCGTGAGGATCCGGGTTAGAATAGGTCTTCAGAAACCCATGCATGCCGTAAAAGGCGACTATGCTTGTAAGAGGATACGAACGGGATCGGGTTGTCAGCTCGCTGAGTTGGTTGATGCATGTCATCGTATCCCAATTGCGTGGATCGATGCTCATGATGCCAATCACTATATTGACTGGTCCAGACTCAATTATGTACAGACCGCCGTCATATAGCTGAAATATTGCTGAGTGTGGCGTTAAACAACAAATAAAGAAACAAACAAAACTTAGTGCAGCGTTAAACAACAAATAATGCAAACATTGTCTAAAGGTCTGAAATCCATGTTTTCCGGATACTGCAAAAAAACACGATATTACTTGACAGCAAAGTTGGATGTTATCAAGATTGTCGATCAATTCCTTCTTCATGTGAGCAGGAAACGTGACATTCCGGATACACATCTTCAATTGTTTTATTGTTCCGTGTTCCTTCGGATTCACTCTGTGTTTGACAGAGCTCTACCACAGAGACGGGAGACCACCAGGCTGTGTTACAAAGACCCAAGTCCGACAGGTAAGGATAGTTCATGTAAAATGTCCGGAGAGTGGGTGAGTGAGTGTGTCGACACAATGCAGCAGATATTGCTTTTACTTCTCGGATTGTCGTGCAAATACAGGTAATCGGCCCACATGGTTACATTGTTCGGTGTCTGGTGGGTATGAAGGATGGGGAAGGGAAGATGGGATGGGGATGGGCTAATTTCTCTGAGTTAACCAGACTCCAGTATGTAAAGACTCCCGTGGTTTTATCTTCAACCTAAAAACTTGTCCATTTCTCTTTTGTTAATTCCAATACCCGTGAAGATCCGGGGTAGAATAGGTCTTCAGCAACCCTTGCCGTAAAAGGTGACTATGCTTGTCGTAAGAGGCGCCTAACGAGATCGGGTAGTCAAGCTCGCTGACCTGGTTGATGCATGTCTTCGTATCGCAATTGTGTGGATCGATGCTCATGATGTCAATCACTGGATTGTCTGGACCAGACTAGATTATCTACAGACCGCCGTCGTCTAGCTGGAATATTTCTGAGTGCGGCGTTAAACAACAACCAAATCAAAACTTGATTCCAAAGCTCGATAAAAATCCGTGCAAAGAGAGATAAATTTCTGGGTCCAACACACTTACACCAAATCTCGGTCTCAAAGATCAATCATAATCCGTAAAACAATTAAGGTAGGACTTCATTCTATATATTCAGAAATAAATATCTGAGACAAGTGGAATTAATAGTATGTGGATTCTAAAAACCTCAAGGGATTTCCTCATATTCTTACAATTTCAGAAAAGAACAAGTTCACTGAAGCTTGAGGTGTATGTTGATCACATATCGTTCAATAATGGTCAAATAGCCACTGATTTACTCCCTCCCCCACGAACTAGAAATATTAAAGACCAGTGAAACTGACTCATCTGTTCCTGATTCAGATCTTTGCATAAAAAAATTCCTCCACATGACAGTGTGACAAGAGGGGTGACTGCTGTAATAGTCAACTCTCACTTTATGTAGAGTAACCCCCCCCCCCCCCCCCCCCAAGTGAAGTAGTAAAAACGACTGGTTGAATCTTACTTAATACAGTATACTTAATGATGACGGTATGTCAGCATATTATATATATATATATATATATATATATATATATATATATATATATATAGAGAGAGAGAGAGAGAGAGAGAGAGAGAGAGAGAGAGAGAGAGTATAGAAGTAGTCATCGAGCGCTATTTCTATTCGCGGCTTATTCCCAAAACAAGTCGCTAGACTTTTCTTTAATATACAGAGGATAGTTCATTTGTCGAGTGAAATATATCATGTTTCGCTGGTCAAGTAACAAAAATGGCACTTTGCAAACGAACAGTCTCGATTGACGAGTTAAATGAGAAGTGTACAGTTTATAACGAAATATTTTCGAGAGAATTACAAACGGAAAGAAGTGATATTAACGCCATAAATGACCATCTGTCATTATTTTGCCTTGTCAGCGTGGAACTAACGTAAAAGGGACGTCAACAGTTTGTGTACTGGCGAGACACTTACGATAAAGAGAGACAATTCAAGGGGAGGTAACTCTTGTATAACAATAGTTCCGTCAAAGTGTTATGTTCGCTACAGTGAAATATCAAGTGTTATGTTCACTGCAGTGAAATATATAGAGATTACTACACGAGTGTCTGTCATATACCATTTATCTAACAACGTGTTGCTCACAACGTATCTAACGAGCGAAAGTGAGGAGTGACATATATGTCGATGTGGCATCCAGGGGGTTTACACTCTAAAAAAACCATAATGTTCAACACCGACGTAGGTGAACATTCGACTGAAGCACGAGCCACTAATCAATGACTTACAATCAGGAAAGTAGTCCGTCATAATCTGACCTCAGGACATCACCATGGAGTAGCCAATCACGGGCCTGGAATTCGATCTCACACATATGTTGGGATACCAGTTATCTCAACTGGGTTTCACACCCACAGGTGTGTAAGAACAAGTGTTATGTTCACTGCAATGAAAATATCACTTCAGAAAGCACAGTCTTTCACGCTGAAATATATAATAAATGCCCAAACTGTCAGTTATAACACTGGTATAGTTTAGAAAGGGAATTCTATTGTGACGGATTCAGGCATGTGTTACTTTGGCTGTCGCTCGATGATCTCCTCACAACGTCTAATGGTCGTGCCTATTTCAGGTAGCGTCAACATGGGTACTGAGATCAAGGCTATTTTGGTAGGCGATGCTGGCTGTGGGAAGTCATGCCTGTTCTTCAGGCTCTTAAATGGTCAATGGTGATTAATATAATGAGCATCGATCCACGCAATTGGGATCAATGACGTGTATCAACCAAGTCAGCGAGCCTGACCACCGGATCCCGTTAGTCGCCTCTTACGACAAGCATAGTCGCCTTTTACGGCAAGCATGGGTTGCTGAAGACCTTTTCTATCCCGGATCTTCACGGGTACGAAGAGATGAAACTCTTATTACTAGCTGGCAAGGAGTACCACTGACAATTACCCCTTCGTGATATTGCTTTAATATTACTAAAAGAAGGCGTCAAACAATACTAACTCACTCATCTATTGCAAAGAATAATGCATGCTATTTGTAACTGTTTGATGGCAACGTTTAATTTTCTACTAGAAGGTGAGTGAGTGAGTGAGTGAGTATGGTTTGACGCGGCTTTTAGCAATATTCCAGCAATATCACGGCGGGGGACACCATAAATGAGCCTCACACATTGTACCCATGTCGGGAATCGAACCCGGGTCTTGGGCGTGACGAGTGAACGTTTTAACCGTCAGGCTACCCGCCCGCCCCTCTACAAGAACGGTGCAGACTAGGCTGTACACGCTCCTGCCTTTACGTTATACACAATGCAATGCGGGGGCACGGGTGGCCAAGTCGTCTAAGGCGCCGCGATTCGCTGTGCAGAGTTGCGTCCCTTGGGCACGCCAGAAACATATGATTGTCGGTTCGAATCCCGGTGCGCCCCGATTATGTTTCTAGGTTTGTCAGCACCATACCCGTGCTCTTGGCTTTCACCAAAGTGGTAAACGTTTGAGACCTGCATCACTTCGGGCTTTCCTCCCACATTAAGCTGACACGCCGTGATATAACTGGAAAACTGTTAAAAGCGGCGTTAAACCAAACTCACTCACTCACAATGCAATGCATGCTATGTTGAGACACTGAGTGAGTTTTAAAAAAGTATTTCAGCGTGTCAGTTAAAGTAGGAGAAAAGTATCAATGCAGATCTTTGAAAGTTTACATGCTTAAGGGGTGTAACTCTGTACACCGAATTGCGGCGCCTTAGACAATTGGGCTATCCCTGATTCCCCCAATGCCATGCTTGAATCATGCTCACATTAACAACTAAACTATGAATATAAATGGTTTAAGAAATCTTTACCATAGTAATTTACCCCACTATTCTTCTAGATACTGTAGGGGCGGTGGTGTAGCCTAGTGGTTAAAGCGTTCGCTCGTCACGCCGAAGGCCCGGGTTCGATTCCCCACGAAAACAATACTCACTCACGATATTGTGCGTTTACTGGAAGGACGTGTTGCGTACCACTCCGTGAATATCGTCATCATTGTCTATCCCAGTTGATATCCTACGAGTAGGTGTTTACCCTGCTTTTAGGAATATTTCAGAAATACCGTTGTACCATTTCTGGGGAATCCAACCATGGTCTTTTGCCTGACGTGCGCGCGTTTTAACCACTAAAAGCTTCCCCGCCACCCTGATAAAACATGGACAAATACTACCACTGTAAAGGATTTGAATGAGTTTTGTGATATCCATTTTTCATATGTCCGCGTCTGACCGTACCTTTCTCTTCTCACAGATAGAACTGATGATATGTGACGCCGGCGGAAGCAGCATGTTCGACAGCCTGCGTCAACTGTCCTACAACGACGGGGACGTGATAGTGATATGCTACTCCATCACTGACCGAGACTCGCTGCAGAACGTGTCGGAGAGATGGCGTCCAGAGATGCTGAGTCATGTCACCTCTGACCGCCCGATCGTCCTCGTGGCAACGAAGAAGGACCTTCGAGACTCCGATCATTCTTTCAGCAGCGTCCGTGGCAGCGACAAGCTTCATCAGGAGCCGGTGACCACCCTTGAGGGTCAAGAGATGAGGGAAAAGCTGGACGCCGTGGACTTCATTGAATGCTCGGCAAAACAGGACGACGGTGTGCGCGAGTTGTTTCAGAGAGTGGCCGAGGTTGGCCTGGAGTCTAGTAGGTCACGGCGAAAGAAGTTTTGTCGGCAGTCGTGAAAAGGATGGATGGGACTGCGGGCAGCGCAGGTGTACAACGTATAGAGACTGACACCATGTCTATTGGGGACAAGCGAGGCGCCGTTGTTAGACCTGGAATTTGTGTTTCAAGTAATGAACAGACGACCAAACAATATGATGTTTGAATAAAAAAATAATTCCGTTACGTCATCGTTTTCTGTTGAGTTACCAGGATTGCATTATACAGATAAAAGATCAAGCACTATGAGTTGTGTCGATATCAAAAAAAAAAAAAATCAAATATGTCGGGACCACGTTACATCTGTAAAGGTGCAGCTGTCTCAGACGGAGAGAAATCTATGACACATACGAGTATCATTCAATCAAAACGTTCACTAAAATCCGATGCCTATCTCCAACGGGGAAAGCCACAGATCGATCTCATTTCAAGCAGACCTTTTACTCCTGTCTCAAACATTTTTTTAACTGCCATCCGTCTGGTGCATTAAAACACTGTACATTGTAGCTCGATCCAGACAGACTTTCTCTGACGGAAAGAGGTATCGAATCGAATAAAGGTCTTACAGAATTACAAAACAAGAAATCTCACAGAAGTTAGTAGCTTGGTCCGGCAGGTGTTCTCTGAATAAAGGTCGTACTATTCCCAATCACACGTCTCCTCTCCCTATATAAATATGAAAAAACAACAACAACAAAACATGGACACAAACAAGGGTGCAAGTCATTTGGCGCTAAATTAAAGCTTGGGTGGTTCACGCGAACATTGTATGCATTTTTGTTTAAATTTCAAAAGCAACATTTTAAAAATCTATTATTTTAAGAATCGCCTTGAATGATGAACATACTATTATTCTCGTGTATTTTTGCATTATTGCAAAAGCAACATGAGAGTGGACCTTTTCCACCCAATGCCGGGATTGCGACCTGGATGAAAACTGCGAACAAGGATAATGAAGAACAAAGGGTGAGCTGCAGAACGTGGAGGTATGTCGGTAGCGGGCAACACAATGCACGGAGTTCCGGGGTGAGTGAGATCCTGTTGTTGTAGGGGACAAGCAGCTTCCTCGACGGCAGTGTTAGCACGCGGTGACGTCACTTGCGTGTTCACTGTCGCTGGATGAACCTGACAACAGTTCACAGATCCCACGAGAGATCCTTTGAAGCATCTGTAACGGTGAGTGGCATATAATGACTCTACTTGTCTTTATAAGCATGTTACAAGGTGTTACCTGTGATATGGTATAACTTAAAGAAACTTTCTATCCACCACTGTTTTCCCATTCATACGTCTGTGTTGGTGTCATTGTAGGCTGAGAATATTTAAAATATAGAAAAAGGATGCAATTCCTTAGATATGTAAATGTGAATATGTTTCTTGAAATAATAATGTAGGAAATAAAAAGCTCTTCGTTTATTTACATTCCATCAACATAGGTTTTCCCAGGAATAAAATAAAATATCTGTACCTAACTGTAATGGACTTCCCTCTCTCTGGTGACTGGGCCTGTGTTGATGTCGCACAGGACGTTGACTGTCGTTCAGGAAACAGCACTCCTATCACTGCGTGAAGACACTTCCGATTTGTGTCAGTTCTTGACTTCTGACATCAGTTGTATTGTTCTGAGACCTCTCTCATCTAGACGCTACATGTGGAGAACACGTTGCTACAGCGACGGGGATAGGTGCGGGTTTGCATGTAATATCGGTATTGGTACACTTAAATTAGGGCCTTGTAAAAATATAATCTCGACAAAGTGTGTTTGAATTATTTTACCGACGAGGAATGTGCAATTAAACGACACATGCTTAAATATCATTATTATCCAATTCAATAATTTAACCAAAACAACTTATGCTAATGACTGGAAAAAAACCCGTTGATTTCTAAAACCAATTTCGTATTGTTTCAGTACAAAAGATTTTGAAATTTTACTGCCGATGTCGTAATGTAGCAGGTGTTCTCAGAACTGTCAATCAGTTCCGAATTTATGAAAATATAAAAGACGATAACATTTGCTTTGCCCTATGGTCATATGACCATTCACCACCACTTATCTCTTTCCATCTAAATTAGCTACAGTTGCTACAGTTTCCACATCTACCCTGAAACCTGTTTGCAATGGGGGCGGTCGGGTAGCCTAGTGGTTAAAGCGTTCGCGCGTCACGCAAAAGACCCGGGTTCTATTCCCGACATGGGTACAGTGTGTGAAGCCCATTTCTGGTGCCCCCCGCCGTGATATTGCTTGAATATTGCTAAAAGCGGCGTAAAACCATTTTCACTAAATTCACTGACTGTTTGCAATGCTGTGTGATATGATGCAAGTAATGCTGTTTCAAAGACTAACTCATAAAATTCCTATACGATCTCATAATATGGCCGCAACGGAGCACAGTTAAAAAATGTCGATGTGGCCAATTACTTCGCTATGCATCAGTACTATCAACTTTTGGCGTGACTCTAAAACCTAAACACATGGCCGTTCCTCATTCCATCAAAATTCAGCAAATGTATCGATGACAAAAATGATGTCCGATGCAAATCACTATTTTGACTTGTACTACATGTTCCCCTGTTTTTTTAGGTGAAAAATTGACTTTCCTTTGCGTGTGTTTGTGACGGGTGCCATCGGTTGGGAAGAATACGTTCACATTTCGCGAACACCTGGTTTCATCACTGTTTGATAGTGATTCATAAACACATGCTCATGGTATAATCGGAATCATACTGTCGACTCTTTTGGTTGGGATTTCTTTGGAATAGGGAAGGGATTTGTATCTTCTATTTCTTTGCGCATCTGGTTGCTTGATTCATCGTCTGTCAAGAGCCTAAATGGACATGTTGTTTAACAGGGCATTAGAGGTCACACTGGGGCACACTCTACCTATTGTAACGTTTTATACTTTTAACACTGGCACAGTAGTTTAACAAACGGCTGGACTATTGCGGGTTACGGGTCATCGTGACCCGATGATTACGGGTCATCGTGACCCGATCATTACGGTCATCGTGACCCGATGATTACGGGTCATCGTGACCCGATGACGTGGACCGCTGCTCATGTTTGACACTGGTTTCAGATTCCATTCTTCACAGGCCACGGTAATAACACTGTATTATTGCTGACTGTGGCGTAAAACAACATTCACTCAGTTCGTTCAAACAATGCACCAGTCCTGTATGTGTTACAGTCAGTCTCCATACCGAGATGTCAGGTCGCAACATCCACGCACTCATCTACGGCCACACGGGATCAGGGGTGACAACTCTCATCATGCGCTGGGTGAGTGGACGGCTACCGACCTCTGTGGAAGAGCTCACAGCGCCCTACAATGGCGTCAAAAACATCAACATCCAGTTAGCGGAACAGAAAACTTCGGTAAGACAATGTTACTTTGATGGTTGTATTTTTTCAATACTGTAAAACATCCACAAGGCGGAATAGAAGACTTCGGTAAGATTATGAAACCGTAATGGTTATTTTGTCTCTTTAATTAAAAAAAAGAAGCTATTGGGCGGAAGAAAGAATTCGGTATTATGATTTGATTTTTCTTCTTTTAAGACATCGTAAAAACACGTGTTAGTATTACGGTAACGCTTTTTTTCAGGGCATTATCATTTGCAGAATCCCGAGGTCTTTCATTAACTGCCCGTTGGCTTTATCCTGCCGAGAAACCTGCCCATTATATGATAAAATTTGTTATCAAATAAAAAGAAATAGAGGTTATCACGCGAGTGTGTTTGGGGATGGTAAATATCCTGCATTAGGAATAAACATTGTATTTAGCGAGCCTTGGCGAGCTAAATACATAGTGTTTATTCCTAATACAGGATATTTACCATCCCCAAACACACAAGCGTGATAACCTCTTTATCATATAATGTCATTCTTTAATTCTGTGCTTCAAAATCGCTTTCCCTCTCTCACAAACACTGAAACATTGCGAGTTTTCCTGCAATGCGCGCATTAATATGTATTACGTCACAGGGTAAGTGATGTGTCAGTCGGACAGTGACAGTAGCCAATATACTTCCAACTGAAATCTGTTTCTTATACAGTGGCGATGCAACATATACGCAAAAAGACAATTGTTTTTAATTGCCTTTCGCGGCAATCCATCGGTCTGTCCGCTAGAGTAACTGCCCTTTGTCAAAGGGGAGCTACTCTAACCCTAGTCTATGAGACGTCACGGCCAGGGTCAAACATTGTTGACAGTCGGTCTGTCCTGTCATAACGATAAGAAGTGTACTCAGATGTACACACAGCGACAAAACGAAACAAGGTAACAATTCAAACATATTTCCGTCAAATCCAACTATTTTAATTTGTGGAGAAGGTTTCAAGCCGCAAAGGTCTACAAGCACAGATATGGCTACTGATCCTGCTTGGCTAGGCCTCGTGCCCTCGCCAAATTGTTTCGAAATTTATATCTCCAAAGTTGCCAAAACTCATAAAATGCCTTAGCTGCGTCACAGTTAGACACATATTTTCAGTCTATTAGACTGTTCTTTTGATAATGATAGCAATTATCCCTGTAGTTTATCCAGATTCCCGATGGTTAATTCTGACTCGATCGCCGAATGACGAGTGCGACGCCATGTTTGTTTATAAACAGTAAAAGTAGTCCCTACTTGACCTGTGATATTTGCATTCTCTATCCGCATATGACCCCAACGGATATCGTTTTTATCCGTTGGCTTTATCCTGCCGAGAAACCTACCCATTATATGATAAACAAAAATATGTGTTTTGAAACATTTACTGCAATCAACACGAATGTCACTGACACACTCCGTCATGCTCATGATGTCAATCACTGGATTGTTTGGTCAAGGCTCGATTATTTACAGACCGCTGTCGTATAGCTAGAATACTGCCGAGAGCGGCGTTAAACAACAAACAAACATAATGTATTACAGAGTTTGCGAGACGCCTTTTCACTTTGAACAGTAAATGTTCCCAAATCGACAGAAACATCTTATTAATCCCTTATATTTCAGGAGGTTGTCATGGTGACACTTATAGACGGAGGCGTGTTCCTAGGCGACGAGGAAGGTCTGAGAAGAGTTTGTCGGAAAGTTGACGTTATTGTCGCATGCACCTGTGTCCAAGTTGATGACCTCGGCTTACCTGAGATAAGACGCCTCAGCATGCTACTCGGTTTACGAAGACCGCCCATTATCGTCCTTGGGACAATGAGGGACCTGCGGGATGAAGCCATTGATCAGTTGCCGCTCCTTACAGCGATAGCTTGCAGTGATGATGTGGAGGAGCTTGGGGACGTGATAGAGGAGACGGAGGAGGTGGGGAGACGTAACGCACTGTCGTCTGGATACCCTGAACTGGCAGTGGAACCAAGGCGGCTCGGTAACAATAACGATGGAAAGAAGCCCGGTTTGGTTGAAACTCCGTCTGTCACGTCTGAACATTCTATTGAAGCAGACGTATTTGAGGAACAGAGCCCACTGCTGCTGGTGTCCAAATGTCAGGACCAAAGTGTCGAGAGGAATAGAATGGAGGAGAAACCTGTTAATGGTGGCGAAACACAGTCATTAATGCCTGGACAATTTCAAGTCACAGTTAAAATAGAGAATGCAGAACTTCAGAAGGGATGTATTTATGGATCGGAAAGTTTGGATCTTGGGGTTGTGGTTCCTAAGACAAAAGAAAAGGTACATTTCAGCGAAAGCGAATCACACCCAATAGTACCTGAATCTGATGTTATTGAAGAAACTGGTGACATTGTGAACGGAAGCAGTTTGTCGAGAAAACTCGAATTAACCATACAGAATGTTAAGAGGCACAGCATAAAGAACGAGGAACCGGAAACAGAAATATGCTCTTTTGAAGATGACTGTTCCGCTGCGCAGGAAACGCCTCTGATGTCTGATGGGGAGGCGAGTGACGTCACGGGGTCAGACAGGCGAATGGCATCGCCCACTGATCTCGAGTTTGATAACATTGAGCATGATTTGTCGTTTTTGAGCAGGGAATTGATGAACATCTCCTCCCACCGTATGAACCCGGACTACTGGTCAACGGAATCCATCAACGGATCCGTTGCCTCACCGCTGGACCACTCCAGGGATGTGATCAGTGTGGTGGAGCCAGCCCACGGTAGACCATTCAGAGAGAATGGGGACGCTGCTGAACCGTCCCCGCACCAGGACCACGCAAACACAAACGATAACGGTGTGATAGGTCAAGAATTAAACCATTCATCTGACACCAACACATCACCTTTAAAACCAATGTTAGAAACCCACTTCCCAGCCGACAATGATTCATCGTTCACTGTCAAATATTTCCCATGTACCCAGAATTCAAAAACAGAAATATCCAACCAACCAATCGAAACTCATTTCCCGGAGCGTGTTACCGCAGCTGCTTGCATGTATAGATCTACAGAGTGTTCTCAAGCGGCGTTGGACAAGAACAATGTTGCTAATTCATGGATACAATGCACGGGTAGATCGTGTAGCTGTGATGAGTGTATTGCCAGTAAAACTCAAGAAATATCTAGTCCCGCCGCGTTGCCTCATGGGGAGGTGTCCACGTCATCCTCTTCATCATTTCCGGAAGTGAAGAATCTTCACATCAGCCTTGACCTAGCTCCCGTGAAACTGATTGACCCTTACCCAGGCAAGGCGAGACTGAGGGGGGCGAATAGTGACAGCTTTATGAGTATCGAGGACGGAACTCGCTGTGTTAAGAATGTCCGGGGGGAGCGTTATATGGAGTGTTCTGCTCTGACAGGGGAGAATCTGCATCAGGTGTTTGAATACGTGGTAAGGGCTGGATGTAAATACAATAGGCGGAGGAACGCTAAGTGTTTAATATCATGATACAGCACTATTATTCTGTCTCACAGTCCCTGAACCATATTATTTTCCCTTCCACCAAGCCCTTTCTGTAATGCAAGCCCTTTCCTCAGGTTCAGGTTCTGAATCTCCCATCTCTGTAGGCTCCTTTTCAATATAAATGGATTTTTTTGTTTGTATCCGAAAAATATTCATTCTCAGAGACTAAACATTCGACTGCAGCACAATAGTCTAACTGCAAGATGTGTGTTAAAGGTGGGCTAAGCTCGGACAAATCGGCAGGCCCAGCCAGTTTGATTCAAGTCGTTCAAACACTTCCTTGTTTGACTGTTTACTCAAATTGTGTGACGTATGTAATGCTAAGAGTTAATAATGACATTAAATGCATAGAAACAAGGTTGTCCCTGGAAGGGAGAGGGACAACAGACGGTGGCGCAAACTCCCCCCTCAAGACTATTTCGTATTACTTGGTTTGCAGCTCCGCAGACACAACCTTTGAATGATTTTTCATATCGAGTCTTTTAACTTTCGTCACGTAGTGTAGGAAGCATACTTTTCTTTTCCGTATTTCTCCTGACCGACAACTGTAAGTAATCACAAGAAGGCACCACGTGGATTTAAAGTTTTATTTTCATGTTTCTTGCGAAAACAAATCTGTAAAGCAAACGTTTAGGGGCTTAATGGAAGAAGTCTGGAAACATACCATATTTAGTCAGAAGTATTCAAGACACTAACTTCATGACTTGCTGGCCCCGTCTCTGATCCCGTGGAGTGAGTGAGTTGGGTTAAACGCCGCTTTGAACAGTATTCCAGTTATATCGCGGCGTGTCAGCTTAATGTGGGAGGAAAGCCCGAAGTGACGCAGGTCTTAGACGTTTACCACTTCGGTGAAACCCACGAGCACGGGTATGGTGCTGACAAACCTAGAAACATAATCGGGGCGAACCGGGATTCGAACCCACAATCATAGGTTTCTGGCGTGCCCAAGGGACGCAACTCTACACAGCGAATCGCGGCGCCTTAGACGACTGGGCCACCCGTGCGCCCTGATCCCGTGGAAGGAATCTTACAATTGTAATGATCTAAAATCAGATCTTTTTATCATTTGACAATTCTGTGTAAGTGCATGTGTATACTTATGGACTTGTGTTTCAAAAAAATGCTACGTGACAACTTTTACAGAGACCATGTGATGTATATGCCGTCAAATAAATACAAATTACCGTCGTGTCGACCGAATTCTTGGTCACATGGTTGGAATCGTGGCATATATTGACTAGAATATATTCACAATCTGGTCTTGTAGAGGCCACTTTTATCTGGTATCCATATTACTGGTGAGTGTAGGGACTGTTCTCCAGAGTTACCTGTTTCAGACAGGATGTATGGACACTGCCAACTTTGTAATAAGACTTATTTGAAACTCATTAAAACATCAAGGAAGTTTGCTTCTTGTTTTTCGCCTTCGATGGCAATATTCCATTCATTGCATGGCGGTCTGTACATTTCGTATCTGGACCAGACAAACCAGTGGTTGATATCATGAGCAACTTCCAACCTTGGTACGATGACCCACAATCTACCAAGTCACAGAACACGACCACCCGATTCAATTTAGTTGTCACTTATGACTCGAATCGCGTCGTATCTTTGACACGAGTTCCCACGGGGAATTGAAACGGAAGTTTGTCAAATAATTAATCAGTTAAATCCATCATGGACGCTTTTCCGACAAACATGGGGCACTTGGACATCTGAAAAATGGTTAAGTACCATCCATTTTTAATTAAAACTGTGCACACATCCTCCACATCCGCCTATTTTTTTAATCTCTTCGATGTCTTAGATATCACCTAAAGCTACTGAAAGGTTTAGAGAACCTTTCTCCATATGGACGCAACTGCTGTTTGTTTTTGTGTTTTTTAACGCCAAGTAATATTCCAGCTATTTGGCACCAGCCTGTTAATAGTCGAGTCTGGACCAGACAATCCAGTGATTGACATAATGAGCATCGATCCACGAAATTGGGTTACTTCAACCAAGTCAACGATCATGACCACCCGATCCCGTTAGTCACATCTTACGACAAGCATGGCGTTTCTGAAGGCCAATTCTGATCTTCACTGGGGATCAACTGCTGAATCATAGCATATAATTCAAGGAAGGAGTAGTTATGCAACAGTTAGGCCCGGGTTTCGATTCCCCACGTGGGTACAATGTGTGAAGTCCATTTCTAGTGTCCCCTGCCTTGATATTGCTGGAATATTACTAAACGCGGCGTAAATCCATACTCACTCACTCACTCACTTCCCATGGCGTTTTGTTAGATTTATAGGTTTACGGTTCCACCGACCCTTAGTTTGACAAGTGTAGCTTACAATTAAAATTATGAGGACAGTATTTCTTCACCGTTGAATGTGTTGATATATTTCACTAATAGAAACAGATAGTGCTGCAAGTATAGGTTGCTTTCGAGGCTCGTAACGTAAATGTTCTGGGTAAAAAAACCTTACGAACTATGACTGTCGTTTACTGGTTCTGGACGTTTCTGCTTAAACAGCAGTAAAGCTGGTCATATATTTAATTTTAATCCTAACCGTGTGTGAGTGGGATGGTTTTACGCCGCTTTTAGCATTATCCCAGCAATATCACGGCGGGGGACACCAGAAATGGGCTTCACACATTGTACCCATGTGAGGAATCGAACCTGTGTCTTCAACTTGACGAGCGAACGCTTTAACCACTAGGCTATCTCACCGCTCCTTTACCCTACCAACTGTCCTATACTTAGGGGTAAAAGAAACTATACATCTCAGTTGATCTTTTCAGATGATTGATTTTCAATTGAAACTATCTGAAGTTATCGATATTATATAAAAACAATATACTGTACTGGCTCTTAGTCAACACTCACTGAGTACTTCTACATTGCTTTATTTGTTTAAATATAATTTGATCAAAAAGTTTTAAAAATCTTATCTTATCTTTTAAAATCAATATATTTGTTTTTTCGGCATACAGCTACAACATTTCAAACATGGTAGGTGTCACGTGGTTGCAAATTGATTTCTTACCCCAGTCTTCATTGAACCAGTTTATTTTTACACAACACAACCCAGCCTGATTACTTTTTTCAAACTTTTGCAGGAATGAGTGATAGTTACATAGACATTTCAAATTTCTAATTTTAATAGCCGTTCTTTCTCTTTTCAAATTCATAAAAAACAAACTCGGTATACTTTCTTTTGCCCCACGTTTTTTTAGTGACCACTTTACAAAACTATTGTTTTTGTTTTTTTAAAGTTTTATTTCGTCTACACATGTACACCCCATGTATTTAAGAGAATAATCCGAAAACCAAGTATGAAAACAAAGGAAGAACATATAAACTCACTGCTTTTTTCTAGCATGACATAGTGCGCATACCAGACACACACTATGTCACAAAAGTAGGCTCAAAAACTATCCACGCCTTTCACTGTCCTGTGTATTTGAAGTCCTGGCCCTATTCTAGATGGATCGGCTTTCAGACCGAACTGCGCATATAACTCGAAATATGCGTGACGTATTAACCACACAGACCTTTGAACAGTTGAAGCAGAGGGATTGTGACGTCTGACTAAAACTGCCCTGCCTGTGTCGATGTGACGTCACCGCGTCCATTGAACGGGCTTTGATGTGTGCTGAGACCGGGGCTGCGATTGAATAGCGCGTGGGAATAAGGGGAAGTAACTCTCATATACATTACTCATCCTTTGCATCTTTGTACAGGATCGTACTTCAAACCTATCCTATCATGTGTCGTTGTCATATTCGAGTATGATACAACCCATGTTTAACTAATGTTTAGATTTTGATCCTATTTTTAAAAATGTGAGGTAGGGAATTGTATTATATTATTTTATTTCAACTGTCTATTGATGCGACCAGAGACCATAAAATAGATTTTATGGTCCCTGATGCGATGAACGACATAGGAAGTGTGACTGTTTGGTAGGTGTTTACTATTTCAACAAGTAAACGAAAAAGGGTTTCTTTTCTATATTTAAAGAATATATGGCGAGTTGGTGATAATAACATTATAATATAAGCATTGTAAGGGAGATAATGCGACATTTCCGAAGCACAGTAACAGCTGTGTGATTAAATCAACTGGTAGACAGCAGGCTAAACGCACCAGCTTCCATGATGACGGGGCCCTTGTCAAGCTACTTTAAGATACGCGGAAAATGTTCATATCCAAAACATTTAGATACAAGACGTAATGATAGAGGGAGCACACGTGGAGGTATAGTCAGCACAACGAAGGTAGCCCCAGTCCGTGGTATACAGGCGTATAAGGTTATATACAGGAATACAGCATGTCATCGGACACCCTCGACATGTGTCTCGCCAATGTGCTGACTAGCCATGCATATTTCACTGGAGCTCTAGACACCGTCCCATAAAGCGATCTTAGCGCTACGACTGTCCTAAGTCTGTGTTAAAGTATGAGAGTAACGGTCATCTTATTAGCGTTAAGATCGCTTTGTGGAACGGACCCCGTTGATTAGGATTTAAATGGACCCACGGCCTCCCCCTCCCCCCCCCCCCCCAAGTTCCGATATACTTATGTTAAAATCCTACATTTTACGCGAGACTATCAACGCGGAGAAAATGCGTTAAAATTTCGTCCATTAACGTAACTGGGAGATAGCTCTCTCAAATTTGCGCCCATCTCTTGATTACTCAGTCCAAGTGGAGAAGTAAACATAAGAATCACATGAACGTCAGCAATATTTGAAATTAACTTTCGCTTTCTAAGTCCCTTCTCGAAACTCTGTGTACATTTGTTCTGGGGCCCTTATGTGGTCACAAGTTTTTGTAAAATCGTAAAGCTGTTGTTTCTGGCCATCCTCTCAAGCTCCTCATTTTTATCCCCTACCCGGGAACTGTGTGACATATATAAATCTGCCCTACATAGCAGAATATTATATATGATAGTTAACTGGGTTACTTCGCCATGCCATGGCCTATTGTACGTAATTCAACCGCTGCACACCGGCTTTGCCCTCTAACCTCGCCAGCCTATTGTTTAGACAACCCCGGAGGCCAACACGTAACTAAACAACAGTCGTGGGCAGACGATCACTGTTCCAAGGGAGGTAACTCTAACTCAGTTCTGATTCCTAAAAATAGCAGAACGTGTTTCCGTTCTCGACCAATCAGTGTTTGCAGTCTTGTCCTATATTTAGCAACAGGCAAACCGCCTATATATACAGTCCTGGGCCTTGACTCACGTTCACAGCGAATCTGTACATAGGTAGCGGACGCGGTGATCAAAGTACACCACAAAGCCAACAAGTTGACACAGATCACAAGCGACACCACAATTCACTTCATAACTGAGGCAGTCTGGACAGGATACTATCGTTTACTCGGATAACTGACGTGTCCAGGTAAGTTACCGTAGTTTGTTTAACGGTATTTAAAGCAATTCCGTTTACAAGTTGGTTGTCTTGTGTCACAAGTTGTCAGCAGCAAACATGGATGTCATCCAATGTCGGACCATATCATATGACCTACCCGTGTTTGGTCGATTAAAATAGAGATAAGGGGGTAAATGACTGAAAAGTAATTGTTGGTTATTTTGAAAACTTGGCGTGTGTCATCGGTGCAATGTGTCTCATTGTCTCCCTGGCCCCTGTAGGCGTCCCAAGTTGCCTTAGGTTGTAATAGGATCGGTATGCGGACAAGAGCGAACGCCCTCTGTGGCCGCCGAGTTGTGTACAGGTAGACACGATGGTGTATATAACGCCTAGATGATTTACGCTTACAACGAATGATATATCTCCTTATCATATATCATACTGTACATCATGATGGGCGTGGCTCGGTCTGGCCCGGCCCGGGAGGGGTCGCAGTGTCAACTTCCGGGTTGTTGGTTCTCGAGACGTTATCAGAAAAATGAGTGGTATTTCTGTGGACTGATAAAATTATGTGGTTGCTTTTTGAAACTGAAAAGAATTGATTCACGATTAAGCATATGTAAGGGGTTATTATAAAGCTGTAAGATGTATTATCAACCACTATAATAGTTTGTATTCCTGGAATATGTAAAAAAAAGTACACATGGTGTAAGTTTTAACACGCTATTTGTTGTTGTAAGACATGACAACTCAAATGACATGATTATATCACAAGAATAATATATTTGTACATTTCACCATTTTGAAAATTAGATTTTCCAAACATACATCCAGTTAATAAATGCATCGTTACTTGAACATTGTTGAAATATTCAAACAGAATACCAGTTATGGCGGTTGTTACATTTGACACCACTTAGCTGGAGACATATTTATACGCTTACACCAGTTATGCCTGAGAGCGAGGTATGCCAGGTTATAGAGATTGAATCCACAACAGCTTTTGTGCTGCTTATATTCATCTGACGACTGGGTCACATACTTGATCTCCCATAACACACACTACCCAGCCAAGCTTGACACAGCAGTCGAGGTGGGAGTTCTCTGAAGGACAAATAGCAGGTGTGTGGCAACGGTGTTCCACAAAAGTATTTCACACAATTGGCGTGACGAACGTTGCTATTATGTTAGTACATATAATAATATGATTTTACTTTTATTGATATATTTATATTATATATTTAATAAATGGGCGTTTTCTTATTCCAAGCTCTTACACCATGCATATTCTTTTCCACGTTCACTCGGGTATGGAGGGATTGTGTTAGGATATGGCGAGAGTATCGTGACAAGGTATAGTTTAGTGAGTATATCTGTCCATTACGCTATGGATTGATTACAACATGGTGGCGTCACGTGATAAGACAATCGGTGGTTGGCAATACTCCGGTGACAAACACGTTAGGTAAGACGTCAATGTGTACCCCAATGCATTATATTACCAATATTTACTCGTCCCCCTTTCAACATCGATGTAGCCTAAGGGTTACATATAGTGTTCGATCGCCAACCGGAAGACCTGTGTTCGATTTCCGATATGGGCATAATGTGAACGCCCGTTGACGGTATTTCCACCGACATGTTGCAGGCTTGGGGAGACGTATAGTTCTAAATCTTAATTTTATGAACAAATTCGAAATAATTTTAGTTGAGAAATGTTTTTTGTGTGAAATGTAACATAGCTAGGTGGGAGAGATATGACAATCGGTATTGGGTGGAATGATGCATATAATCGACGGGAAAATTGTGAGAATATCCGGGAAATACCAAATATAATAAAATGGACTAGTCCAACATTGTATTCAGAGAGTCATCATTATTTAAATACGGGTAAATGTTCTTAAAGCCTGTTCATTTTCTGGACATCCTTAAAAAGGTTGTACAAGATGTTGACATCTCATATAAGAAATAGACGACCCATGGTCGTTGTTTATCGTACAATAAAACACTGCAGGGAGAATAAATCACTCGGGCTGTTCCCCTCATGGTTTATTCTCCCTGCTGTGTTTTATAATACGATTAACAACTCCCACTCGTCGTATATTTCTTAAGCAGCATGCGACTTATTTAAGTGGTTTAATGAGGGGAGTACCAAAGCAAACGGAATGCTATCTTGGAGGTGATTTTAATGATTTGTAATTTGTTATCTTTTCGTGTAACCCAGTGACATTCGGCAAACACTCAACAACACTTTACTAGGTAGTGTACTCGAGGCTACACAGTACGTTGACCCTAGGTGGCGTTGTTAGTTTCTTTTTAAGATTTTGTTTCCGATAACAGTTGTTCAACGTTTCATGTACACGGTACATCCATACGCCCATTATGTGGCTCCAAGCTCCAATCGCAATACGGATCATAACTGTATGGGTCAAGTTTTGTGTTTGTCTTGAGAGATGAATTACTATGATAGACAGTTGTTAAGGGGATTAGCAGAGAATGTGTTCGTACATGGTCAGTGAAATCTGTTGATTGTTGTTTTAGATGGATATGGGGCGGTGGGGAAGCCCAGTAGTTAAGGCGTTCAGTTGTCAAGAGGAAGGCTCGTGTTCGATCCCCACATTGGTACAATGTGTGAAGGATATACCTGGTGCCCAACCCCTCCCTCCCTGACGTAGCTGGTATGTTACTTATCAGAGTAAAACCATAGTTTGTTTGTTTGTTTGTTTGTTTGTTTGTTGTTTAACGCCGCACTCAGCAATATCCCAGCTATATGACGGCGGTCTGTAAATAATCGAGTCTGGACCAGACAATCCAGTGATTGACATCATGAGCATCCATGCTAGGGATACGATGAAACACATCAACCAAATCAGAGAGCCTGACCATCCAATCCCGTTAGTCGCCTCTTACGACAAGCATAGTCGCCTTTTACGGCAAGCATGGGTTTCTGAAGACCTATTCTATCCCGGATCTTCACGGGTAAAACCATAGTAAACTCACTGCTGAGTATATTTTCCGAAACAGTCACATTGAGTTACGCTATTTGGTTAGCGACAACGCAAATATTAACTTGTATCGTTTTTCGCAAGATTTCGAACAAATTAACATGCGTATGAGCTTTCCTTTTCATAACATATGTGAATAACATTACCAGATAACAGGACATACCTGTTAACTTATAAAGTGAATTCTGGTTAGTGATTTAACTAAATGGTTCAGACAGAGACTAGCACCGTGGCCTAATAACGACACGTCACTATCTCGAAATGTGGATATTCCAATATATTTCCTATGGTACCAATGACTTAAGAGTGTCACTGCTTTTTTATATTAACAGAAACTGTATTTGTACGTTTATTGTTTTTAGGACAACAAGATGGCGAATGCACCGCGCCGGAAGAAGCTAGTGATTGTGGGTGACGGTGCTTGTGGGAAAACATGCCTGCTGATTGTATTCAGCAAAGACCAGTTTCCTGAAGTCTACGTGCCAACAGTTTTCGAAAATTACGTTGCGGACATCGAAGTCGATAATAAACAGGTATGCATCATTCCCAGGCCACACACCTCGTGACCTTCTTCAGTAATTGGTGTGACGCCAAGGAACATAATGTCCCGATTAGGCCACAATGAATTATTTATTAGATTTTCATCTAAAGTTTCACAAATATGAGGCGCCGAGCTTCATAATTTTTGGTAGAGGTAGTTTGGTAGTGGAGCGGGGATGAAATCTAAAAAATACTAAAAAATAAGAAATATATCCTATATACAAACGGTAAAAACTAACATTTTTAGTCCACTAGTCCTTATGATGATAACATATAGCAAAAACCTTAAACATGACAAATTTCTACAAGTCCTTATGATACCCTAACTATTTGGCAGTTTGGCAAGGACTACGAGACTAGTGCCAACTTCTAACGCTGTGTACGGGGAGGGAAGGGTGTAACCTACGGAAAGGTTTCGCTCCTCAAGCCGAAGACTCGGGTTCGGTTCCCGATATGGATTCTATGATATTGACCGCTATGTGTCTGGAATATTCACCAAAACGTGGCGTTAAATAACATTAACTCTTTGGGAACGTACCGTAATAAATCCGATTACATCCACACCGAAATTGCCATGTAGTAAGCCTCTTTATGTTATGGTAAACGTGTTCACATTGAGAAACGAGTAGTGTAAACGAAACAATGAACAATATTCATTGAGGTCATGAATAGGTTTTATTCTTAGTACCAATATTCCTTACCAAAAGAAGGGCATGGGTGAGTGAGTGAGTGAGTGGGTATGGTTTTACGCCGCTTTTAGCAATATTCCAGCAATATCACGGCGGGGGACACCAGAAATCGGCTTCACACATTGTACCCATGCCGGGAATCGAACCCGGGTCTTTGGCGTGACGAGCGAACGCTTTAACCACTAGGCTACCCGACCGCCCCAAGAAGGACATGGAACCATAGATGACAACCAATATGATGAATAGTTGATTTGTTTGTGCCCACCTCCTCCAACAACCTTTAAAACAAAGGGTTTCTCTAACCCCAGTCCCCAACCAACCCTGTAAACGTAAATTCATAATTTGATGTGTTGTTATTTACGAATAGATATTGCCCTTCATGACCTACATAACATTAGGGGCGTTAGGGTAGTAATGCTAAAGGCCCGGGTTCGATTTCCTGGATGGGTACGCTGTATGAAGGCCATTTCAGCCCCCGCCCCCGACGTTATAGTGCTGGAATATTGGTAGACGGGGTGGAAAAGAACGTCCTCCCTCTCTTTTGACCTTCTTTCAATTGTTTCCTCTATGTAGGTGGAACTGGCGTTGTGGGATACAGCAGGTCAAGAAGACTATGATCGACTCCGCCCGCTGTCCTACCCAGATACTGACGTCATCCTCATGTGTTTTTCCATCGACAATCCAGACAGCCTTGAGAACATACCCGAAAAGTGGAACCCGGAAGTGAAGCATTTCTGCCCCAGCGTTCCCGTCATCCTCGTCGGCAACAAGAAAGATATCCGTAATGATGACCACATCAAGGCTGAGTTGGCGAGAAACAAACAGTTTCCGGTCAAATCGGAAGAGGGTCGTAATGTGGCTGAGAGAATAGGAGCAGAAGCGTATCTCGAATGTTCGGCTAAGACAAAGGATGGCGTGAGGGAAGTTTTCGAGACAGCAACTCGTGCAGCGCTGAAGTCGAAGAAGAAGAAGAAGTCCAAAAAGAGCAAATGTAAGATTCTGTGAAGTCAGAGGCTTGTTGTTGACAAGACTTTTTGACGTGCTCGCTGGCCAAGGTATTGTTATTGGCATATTGCTATGCGATGATTGGAAGAAGCGGACTCTTTCCTGTAAACGAGCACATAACAATTATCGCCTCTGTGCAGGCACGTTTGACTTTGTTGTGAAGACGATGATGACGTTTAGACTATGTTTATCAGTATTCATATGTTGTTTTTATCACGAGTTCCCCTATGTAATGCACAGATCAACAAACCAGCAGGGGGCGCACGATGCATATCCAAGCATTGTTTAACTTCTGCCAAAGTTTGATTGCAACGAATCCTAGAATATTTCACCAAATGTTATTTGGGATATGTGTTTCTTTTTATTGCTTCAAGCCACATGAACAGAATGTCCCCATCACTGAACTGATCACTGATATAGAGCTATCCATATTGTATCAAGGGCAGATAATCCAGGACCCTACTACCCTGCCGTGCTCAGTGCAGTCCTGCTAACGTGTGATATTTCATCGTAACGTGATAAATGGCTACATTCCCTTGTGCGATGGTTGTTTTGTAGATATGTATACATACAATGGAATGCTCTTAAAGGGGGACTCCACTGTCCGCAGACGCCCATTTCCGGTCTCGTTCTAGTTGTCATTATCGCCCTCTGTGAAACGAGGCAGTCACTCATTGCTGTGTAAATTAGCGTGCTCTGTGAAACTTGACTGTGTTTAATTGCAGTTGGAGTTAGCGTCCTTTGTGACACAGGACAGAGTCTAATTGCAGTTGGAGTTAGCGTCCTTTGTGACACAGGACAGAGTCTAATTGCAGATGGAGTAAGCGTCCTTTGTGACACAGGACAGAGTCTAATTGCAGATGGAGTTAGCGTCCTTTGTGACACAGGACAGAGTCTAATTGCAGATGGAGTTAGCGTCCTTTGTGACACAGGACAGAGTCTAATTGCAGATGGAGTTAGCGTCCTTTGTGACACAGGACAGAGTCTAATTGCAGATGGAGTTAGCGTCCTTTGTGACACAGGACAGAGTCTAATTGCAGATGGAGTTAGCGTCCTTTGTGACACAGGACAGAGTCTAATTGCAGATGGAGTTAGCGTCCTTTGTGACACAGGACAGAGTCTAATTGCAGATGGAGTTAGCGTCCTTTGTGACACAGGACAGAGTCTAATTGCAGATGGAGTTAGCGTCCTTTGTGACACAGGACAGAGTCTAATTGCAGATGGAGTTAGCGTCCTTTGTGACAAAGGACAGAGTCTAATTGCAGATGGAGTTCGAGTGTAGTTAGCTGCTGGGTTGTGTTTCTTACTTCCAGAGCTTGTTTCTCTCATCTTACCTTTGCATGAAACGGTCGTGAAAACATCTGGTTCTTTTAAGGTCCGCGGTGCAGTGACCATTTACGGTTTCGATATTGACCTTATCCAGACTTGGGTCAGAGACTCTATTTACGTGGATATTAAATTGTTAATGACTAAACAGATACACAGACACACGTCTCACACTGGCTAGGACTGCCTGTTTCCCAGAGCCTTGCCTCCCTTTAAATCAACAGCATCTCAAAACAATGATATTTTAGGTAAGGTTTAGTTCATAGTTTGGTGTCACGTGATTCATTCTGAAGGCAAAATTAGGGGTGACCTGTGAACCAAAGTGATCTGTGATAACGGTATCTCAGTGTAAGAATGTTGTTTGTAACGTACATGTTGTGGATATGACGCTTTGTTTGTGTCAGTCCAGTACTACGCGAGTACACCGATTATCTCCCTTGAATGGCAAATCTCATGTACACTGTGCATCGAGACATTTTTATGTAACTTACACCTACAGAATGGCAACGTGACAGGTAGATACAGAAATGTTAGAATACTGTCTAGTCTCTAGCGTATCGATGACATTAAGATAGACATGTACATATATTGCTGAAGTTAATTAAATACAGTTTAATTCCAGGATATGTATGAAACTGAAACCCTTGACATATTTGTTCACCTACACATTACATAAATGCCATATTCGAGTGTTGTTTTTGTTTATACCATATATTCGGATATGCCACTTTTTGTTTCATTTATTATGTTTCGATTTCAATTTTGAATAAAATCAAATGTTTTTCAATCTGTTTTTTACTTTTTGGGTGTGCATAGTAGTGTTAAATTTTGCTAGACATTAAACATGTACAGGGATCAAGTCAACATTATTGTTGAGTCGAGGAAAGAACAGATTGACGGTCATAAGCGTTCATCATGTTTTATGATAAATCGAGTATTTGACAGTTACAAGTTTTAAGGGTTCCATTCCCGACATTGGTACAATGTGTGAAGCCCATTTCTGGTGTCCCCCGCCGTGACGTTGCTGGAATATTGCTCAAAGCGGCGTAAAACCAAACTTTAAGCGTCTCACTGTACATGATATGAGCATCCTCTTCACCGGAACGGAAAGGTGTGTGTTGTCAAGCATATGGCCTCACCTCAACCCTTTAGGATTATGTAGTAGGCGGAATAAGGCGGAACGTGGGTGAATTAAAGGGGCACTAAGCTCGGGCTTCTTCCCGACTGTCTAACACTGCCTGCTTGGGCTCACAAGCTGCCGTGAGTCACTTTGCTCGCTAACGCAACTGGGCGTGACAAGAGACTGGGCTACCACCTGTAAGGACAGCGTTAACAAACTTTGAGGCAATATTTGTACGCATTTCTGACCACTGATTGGTTACCCGTGATCTATGAAGATTTTGATATTGGAAAGGGTGCATGTTAATTAATTTCTTCAACTTCAACAAACAGATGAAAAGAATTGTGAAAGCTCATCGGATGTCGGTATTTGGAAATTCCCATGATGGTTAATAAATAAAAGTATCCCTGCAGTTTAAGCAGTTTTTTTTATTTGGGATTGCGTGGATAATACGATTACTACTCTCTTGTTGTCATCCATGTTTCCTGGTATAACCCTTCATCATTGTTGTCATTCACGTGATGCTCAGTTACTGAATTTATTACAGGTATAATTAGTGGTAGCACCACTCAGAATACCCGACAAAGGTTCCCATTTGGCATGTCTTGAGTCTGGGAAAATGATCCAATCTAAATCCAGGTTTGGAATCGGGTAAAATGTAATATGCACGTGACAGCGCAGCAAGGGAGGAGAGATCAGTTGAGATTCAAAAAAGAACATCCATCAAAGGATTAACCGAAAATACGTCGATTGATTAATCACTGTTTTTTTGCACAGTGGATTTGTCAAAAGTAAGAGTTTAAATGTGTAGGTTTACTAAAGTAGACGGAATACACATATTTAGGCGTGAAGTGCCAATATGAAACAACATACATGTACTTTGTTCAAAGGATTAACCGATAATACGTTGACTGATTTCTCATTGTAATCTAACTCAATGGATTTGTGTTAAACACCGTGGACATTATGAAAGCTGACCAATGAGACTAGAAACCTATGTGAAACACCTGAAACAAACTCACGTGATTAGTTGAGAAACGAACTCGGGTTATGATATCCAGACACGCTATATGTATTTTATACTATTACATTGTTACAAAGACACGTGGTATCGAACAAGTTTCTTTGTACAGCTGCTGACGTATGGGATAATGTTCCTTTATGTGGATATTTACGGATACATCCGAATATTCTAAATACAGCCTTGGTCGGTTGTACGAAATTTGCATTTTGTTTTCATTCATTTGCTGTAGCATTAAACATAATCATTCTCGTTCCTCTATTTTTCGTTTGGAAGTTCTTCAGTGCGAGACAGATAATACAAAGCTTTTTCGTTTGTGGGCATGTAAATATGGTGTTCACCTACTTTATCTAATCTTTTGGTAAAAGATTGGTTAAAGTAATCAGGTAATCTAGGTTTTACTTTGCTTGACTGGATTTAGGTCATGAGGTGATGTGGGTTAACTATGCTTGACTGGATTTAGGTCATGAGGTGGTGTGGGTATGGGTGATCCCACTCATGAATAGATTACCCAAGTGAAATGTTTAGTCATTAAACACATTGACTTTTACATATACAAAAAAAAACAACCCCAAACTTTGCTCACGTCAAATATTTAGTTTTTGTTACAACTCAAAATAGTGTAAGGGGAAATCCCACAATACCAATCAAGTGACTTATCAAAACTTCATCATCATTACCGACGCTACCCACAAATACATTTCCTTATTGTTTCGACCCCTGAAGATCCGGGGTAGTATAGGTCTTCAGCAACTCATGCTTGCCATAAAAGGCGACTATGCTTGTCGTAAGAGGCGACTAACGGGATCCGGTGGTCAGGCTCGCTGACATGGTTGATGCATGTCATCGTATCCCAGTTGCGTGGATCGATGCCCATGATGTCAATCACTGGACTGTCTGGTCCAGACTCCAGATTATATACAGCCCGCCGTCATGTAGCTGGACTATCGCTGAGTGCGGCGTTAAACAACAACCAACCAACCTTATCATTTCACAGACATATCTGTATTTTATTGTGTTGCTCAATGTGACGATACGCCCTTATACTATCAATAAAAGCGACAAATGCGCTTACGGCTGGCGAAACTGAGGTCGCGATCTTGTAGTGATTTCTGGGATTTGATCCCAGTATCCACAGGAAAGACAAAACAAACAATAACAGGGGCAACAACCAGTGGCGGTGAATTGTCAGAGATCAACGGCCCTATCTCAACCTCCTCACAGCGATAGCCCGTTCGCGGAGCTTGTTGCTATCTTGTACAAGGGAGGTAACTCTATGTTAACTCATGTCACATGCATGTCCGATTGAATTCGACCAATGAGTGGGCTTGTTTTGTTTTATGCTTCTCATAAGGAAAACCATTTAATTAGTGATTTATCCACTATCGAGGAAGATCATTTCTCCATGATCTGCTGAACCGACATTATTAAAAGTGCGCTTGTTGAAAGTAAGTTCTACCTTTGGTAATTAGGGTCGATCCTCGCCTCATTTCATCATGCGTGTGACACCTGGCAAATTTGTTTCATGACTTTCGAGATACCATATGTTGTAAACATACATATATGTATGGAATATTAGTTAAAGAAAACAAAATTTTGAATAACTTCATTTTCAATGTAAATAATCATTTCTCAATATATCAGAAGCAACGGGGAAACGAAACGTGTTCGGCATCAATCATCTTAAATTACATGAAGGCATCAATCATCTTTTACATGAATGTGCTAATTTTTCACCTGCGCATATTTTCAGATGCATGTGTATTAACAAAACCAGTCAATGACAGGTTGCATGGAAAACAATTGTTGAGTGAAACCTTCAAATATATTCTATTTTTTAAATTTCTTGTGTGGCTTTGGCTGTATACAAATAGCGCATGCGCAATCATTCAAAGAATAGCTCATATGAATACACCAACAACAAAAACAGAAAAAAGGGGTGGGTCGGCTACCCCCTCGCTTTTAGCAATATTCAAGCATCACCAAGGCGCGGTGCTTTAATTTTGGGCTACCCAGCTGCTCAATTTAAAATAGCCTTTACTTTGAATACGACAGGCCCTATATCCGTGTACTGTGCAGGGGAGGGTGTTTGGCCAGCGTACTTTGCGTATCGTGTGTTGTGTGCCGAATAACCGGGTTCGATTTCCCATATGGGTTAAATGTGAGAAGTCGATTCCTGGTGTAGCCCTATTGTGAGCTTGCTGAAATATTTAGGTAGAACCTCACTCACTCACTCACTCAACCTAGCGCTCACCCACTCACTAACCCAAGCGATCGCCCGCTCACTCACTCACACACTCACTCCCTCACTAACTTATATACTCACACACTCACTCTCTTTTCCTTGCGCTCACCCACTCTCTCGCACAATACAACAATGGAATAACACCAAACGTAACTGATTATGTAATCTTTCTTACAGCATTTTAAAATATCACTACCGCCATCCACACCCAAAATTGTGATGACAGTCAGTGGTTCAAAAGTTCACCAAAGTGGTAAGGATTAGCATCATGGCGCTGCCTAACTGTTGCTTGTCGAAGAATATGTGCGAGCGCACGAGTACAATTGACACCTACTTATGTTTGTCATTACAGACCTAGTTTGAATTATTGTGTGTTTGAACTCACTGCCCTGCAGTGGAACATCAGCACATAAGGGGGCACGGGTGGCCCAGTCGTCTAAGGCGCCGCGATTCGCTGTGCAGAGTTGCGTCCCTTGGGCACGCCAGAAACCTATGATTGTGGGTTCGAATCCCGATTCGCCCCGATTATGTTTCTAGGTTTGTCAGACCATACCCATATTCGTGGGTTTCACCGAAGTGGTAAACGTCTGAGACCTGCATCACTTCGGGCTTTCCTCCCACATTAAGCTGACACGCCGTGATATAATTGGAATACTGTTAAAAGTGGCGTTAAACCCAACTCACTCACTCACTCACTCAGCACATACATTGTTCAGGGTTATTCGTGAATGGAAACTTAATGGAACAAACAATGATTATACATACATAATAATGAAATTGTGCCTGAATTCAATAGTGGTATAATATTAATCGATACTAATCTTGTGTATGGGTACCGTTATGTGTACATTTGTTCAAGGCTATCATCTTTAACACACGACATTACTGAACCTAATTACGATACTGACAGACATATATTATTGTAAAAAATACATCTCAGAACGTGAGGCTTATTTTAAGATTTTATGGACGCCTCAGACACTCTCTCTCTCTCTCTCTCTCTCTCTCTAGTCTCTCTCTCCCTCTCTTCTCTCTTTCTCTCTCCCCCCCTCTCTGGCCACTCGCTCCCTCTCTTCTCTCTCCCCCCCCCCCCCCCCCCCCCCCCCCCTCTCTCTCTCTGTATTTACATACGCACGTGTGCGAGTGAGTGTCGCAATCGGTAACAATCCATCCTTCACATGTCTACCCACGACACTTTTTGAAAGCGCTACTGAGGCCTTGACTGATGAATTCTGATCTATCGAACATTCGAGTGTTCGACATGAGGGAAAAATGACTATTAGAAAGTTGAAGTAATCCCTTTGTCATACATTCTTAAGTTGAGCTTTGTATCAATCTGAATCTGTGGGCATAGATCCAATACGTGACAGATGAGGCGGTTTCACGGGTCTCTTACATTTC